TCGATGCGCTGCATCATTTTCAGTTCTTGACAGTGCCCCGCCGCCCAGAAAGCGATGACGGCGGCGTCCCGGCTGTGCTCGTTCCCGCCGGCAATGCCGAGCGTGTCGCAGAACGCCTTGACCGCCGCCTTGTTGTCCTTGGCGGACTTGCGCATGTTGATGGGAATGATTGAACGCCAAGTCTGAGGTCCGACCCACACGAACGGCAGATTGTAGCCGGCCACACACATCGTCGCCGCATAGGCCAAGCCGGATGAGATCAGCGTGCTCTTGGCGTTTACCGTTGTGATGACCCGCGTTTCGCCGGTGAGAGGATCGGTGACTGTCTTCTCATGTGTCTTGATGTTGCTCAGCGGCGCCTCGATCGCGACAAAGCCGGGCTTCTCGGCCTTCAGGATCTTTGGGAGAGCCGAACGCAGCGTCCTGATTTTGTCCGGCTCGGTGTCGTTGCTCGAACCGCACCTGAAGGAGCCCATACGGATCGCGGAGTGATGGCGATCGGTGTCATAGACCGCCCATCCGACGTTCGTGGCTGCGTCGAGGCCGAGGATGATCATGACCGCTGCCGCCGATCTAAAGCGGAGCGGCCCGGCAGCGGATCGCCCATGAGGCGTGCGGTCAGGTCTCGTCGGTCCTGCGGAATATCGTGCGTGACATCGGCGCTCGGTCGCTTGTCGGCACGGACAGGCCGACGCTTCCCGGTGCCGGTGATCGTCCCGCCCCTGTCAGATTTGTTCGCCAGACGCCTTTGACGGGCTTGCTCTGCCCGGTGCTCGGCATAGCCCGGCACAGCCGCGCGGCTCAGCAAGTCGGGGGAGACGCCGAAGTATTTGGCCAAACCCGCGATCGACGATCCGATTTTGTAGAGGTAGCGCGCATCGACAATCTGAGCCTCGGTCAGCTTTGCCTTCGCCTTCATTCGCCCGCTCCATCATCCAGGATGTTGTCGATCAGCACAGGCTCATGCGCGATGCGAAGCAGCACGTCATGTCTCAGGTCGGATGCGGACACGTCGCGCGCCTTTGCCGCCCGTTTGAATTGATCGGCTATGAAGCGCGTTTCGGATCGGCGCTGGCGGCCCTTTGGGGACGCGAGTTCGACCAGATTGCGCACGCTGCCGGGCTGTAAGCCCATCTCGCGCCCGATCTCGACATACGTTGCCCGGTCCTCGATGCGCCGATGGACGGCAAAGGCGGTGCGGGATGGAAAGCCTCGGAAGGGCTTGACGCTTGGCATCACGCCACCTCCCCGCCGAACAGCGGGCCATGTGAGGTGGCCGTAGAGCGCGGCTGGACTCGCCATTCTCGCTCAATCCGTTCGCGGGCCATGCGCGCATACTCTGGATTGAGTTCGATCAGTGCCGCTCGCCGGAAGTGGCGAAGCGCGACGAGCGCTGTCGTGCCAGCGCCGCCGAACGGGTCAAGCACCAGCCCGCCCTTCGGGCATCCGGCAAGAATGCAGCGCTCGGCCAGTTCGAGTGGGAAGGTGGCAAAATGGGCGCCGGAAAAGGGTTGCGTTGCGATAGGCCAGACTGACAGCGGCGCGGGTTCGTAGTTTCGCAACAGCCGTCCATTGGCCATTTGCTCGTCGCGCGACATTTGATCCCAGCGATCGTTGAAGCCGGCGTGACGCCGGCTGTGACCGCGTTGCTTGTCAATTGTCCGGCCTTTTTCACGTCCTGCGCGATGACGCGAACCATGGCCGCCCGGCATCTTGATCTTCTTGTTGCCGGTTGCCGTACGCTTGCCCGGCTGTCCGTTGACATAAGAGCCGCCGCGAAAGCCATTGGCATCTTCAGTCGATGTCCGGCCCTGACGGACGGTTTCAGCGTCATAGTATGCGCCCAGCCTTAGCCATCGTGGGCCGTACTCATTAGGCTTGGTGACCAGTGGGCACCGCTCCGACAAATTAGGGGCAAAAGACACCTCTCCGTTATCGCGCGCACGCCAGACATCGCCGTCCGCGCTCTTGGTCAGTAGGAATATTTTTTCGTGAGCGGCGGAGGGGCGGTAAGCGCCAGAGGAGTCAGGCATCGGGTTCGGTTTGCCCCAGACGATTTCCGAACGCACCCACCAGCCGGCATCCTGCAGCGCTATGGCAAGCCGGTTCGGCACCATGCACAGGTCTTTCGGCTTGATCGTGCCGCCCGCGACAGCCCGTCCGCCATGATAGTCACGGTCGCCATTGCCCTTGTTGCCCGACTGGCCGCGACGATCCTTGTCACCATCTCTCGGTTGATAGATCGGCCCGGTTGTCGAAAAAGGCTTGTCGCGGAACGTTCGGTCGTCTTTGCCTGCAGCTTTGGTGTCGGCCGCTGATCGACCGTTGGGCGATGTGGCATAGCAATCGCCATAGTTCAGCCAGACCGTGCCGGTCGGCTTTAGCACACGGCGGACGGCTTCGAACACATGGACCATCACGTCCAGATGCCCGCCGAGCGTCGGCTCCAGCCCGATCTGGCCATCAACCCCATAGTCACGCAGACCCCAATAGGGCGGCGAAGTGACGACGCAATCAACGCTGTCGGGCTCCATTGCCGCCAGCATCGCCAGACAGTCACCGACATGCAGAGTGACACGACCGTCGAGAAACGTTTCTGGCTGATCAGGCTTGCTTTGCACGAGTTTGTGCCGCTTTCCGACAGGTGTGGCAGGTCACCGCGCCGTAGCCGGCGCAGCACTCAGGGTTCAGGCAATCAGGCCGCAGAGCGCTGGGGGCTACTCTGCGGCGTTCATAGGGACCACGTTGTCGCGGGCCTCGTCCTCGGTGTCGTCTTCCTCGGGATCGGGGAACGGATCGTCGGCGCCCTTGATGACCTCGGGCTTTTCCTCGGCGGCGTTTTTCTTCTCCATCGCCGATTGCAGCGCATCGCGCATCTCAGCCTGGCCCTCGTCATAGCCGCGAAGCCATGCCTGCCCTTCCGGGCTGTCGGCGCCGTAGGGTGCCTCACGCTTCAATGCCGCCAGACCAGCGGCCTTGCCTTCTTCAAAGGCCCTGTCTTCAAGGGGACGGCGATCGGCGAACAGGTCCATCTGGTCGCCTTGCGGCGCCACGCCGAAGTCCTGGGCGATGCCGTAAAGTTCGCGAATCTCATCCATGAAAATCGACTGGTCTTCGAGTTCCAGAAGCCGGATGCCCGCGTCGATCAGGCTCAGCTTGAAGCCGTCAGCCTTGGCGGTCTTGCGCAACTGATTGTAAGCCTCGCGCTCCACATTGACCCGGCCCTTCTGCGCCATGATCCTGCGAATGTGATCCATCTGGAGCGCGCGTTTCTCCTTGTCGGTCAGTTCCGAATTGTGTCCGGGCTCAGCCATTCTCAGCGTCCTTTCCGTTCCTCGATTTTCGCCGCCAGAGCCGCAGCCTCAGCAGCAATGCTCTCAAGAGCGTCATCGTCAGTTCCTTTCGCGCGCTCGACCGCGATGTCGTGTTGAAGTCTGGTGATCTGCATCTCGCACATGGCGAGGTATGCCGCCCTGATCCGGGCAAACATGCCGGCATCGACCGTCTTGGCCCGGCCCGTGCGCAGATTGTTCTGCGTCCAGAACGGAATGCCGAACTTCCGCTCGATCCGGTTCATCGCATTGGACTGGTCACCCCAGCCCTTGCTTTCGCTGGCGACCATTCGTCGAACGTATTCGGTCGCTGCCTCGGCCGTACTCATTTCACGCTCCTGGTGCTGACTTTCTCTGCACATGATGCTTCCACCTCCGTGCCATGGTTGAACCCATGGCGAGAAAGCATCGACATACCCTGACGAGTTGTGGCCGCACCCGGTTGGCGCCTTTGGCGGTCCATACTCATCGCTCGCCCACCCCATACTGGCGGACCAAACCATCCGTGAACGACACAACGTCAGAGACGATCGCGCGGGCTTCATCGTCGGAAATGGTATTGCCGGCGGAAGTGACCGCGTTTGAAACCAGAAGGAGGCCCATGTTCAGCCGTTCGCGCGGCGTATAGTTCCGCCAGTGGTCCATGGTCGTGCCTTGAAGGCTCTCGACGGGGCTATCGCGGAAGATCATGCGGCCAGCCCGCCATCAATGATGCGAAGTCGTTCACCAAGCTGCTGCTCGATTGGCGACAGCTCTGGTTCTTCGGGAAATTCGTCAGGGCGGTAGTCGGACTGGTCCCAAGCGCCCTTGCCCTGATTGCACTCATCACAAAGGACTTGAAGATTATCGCGTTCAAGCCGAAGGTCCCAACGCTTTGCAAGCGGCTCGATATGATCGACACAAATGCGAACCGGGTAACCGCCACTGTCGGTCATGTCCGGCGTTGCGCCGCAGCACATGCACCGCCGCCCAAACTCCTTGAGAATCTTCATGCGCAGCGTGCGCCATTCCCACGATGCGTAGAAGTCGTCGCGGGCTTTCGCTCCATAGCGCGCGGCCATTTTGCACTTTGGCCCGGCTTGGCGGACCTTTTTCACGCCAGCCTGCGCGAAACATGCCTGCCGATCCTCAGGCGTCAGAGCCTTGAGAGTGCGATGCGCCCTGCGCATTTCGCCTATGAACGATTGCGACCGATTGCGCTGAAATCCGAACACTCTTTCAAGGACATCGAATATCTGGTCTTCGGACTTAATCTTCCGCTTAGAAACGCCGAGCGGAAGCGTCGTCATGCCGATCACCGAGGAAATGATCCCCTGATCGCGTCTGGTCATCTGATGTCCAAGAAACGGGCGCGGCTGGCCGCGCTTACGCTTGCTCATTCGGCAGGCTCCGCTCGGAACCAATCGCCAAAATCCACAGCACCGCCGGTGGCCTCCTTGATCCGAATGATCATCTCTCGATCCGGCCATCGATGGCCGTTCGCGTACCGATTGATCGTTGCCTGTCCGACGCCAAGCTCGGATGCGAGTTTGGCTTCGGTGTTGCCGTCGATCTTGAGAAACTCTTTCAGCGTCATGACGGCAATATACCTAAACGGTATTTTTATGCAATAGAAAAAATACCATTATGGATTTTGACGCATTGGAGGGGCCAGAATACCAATCCGGCATGGGTAAGTTGCAAGAGCTTCGCGAGGCGGCCGGCCTGACTCAGGCCCAGTTGGCAAAAGCGGCCGGCACGTCTCAGCCGCAGATTTTTCGTTTAGAGAAATCGAAGCGGACACTGTCGAAGGATTGGGCTGAACGTCTGGCGCCCGCACTCAGGACGAGCCCAGCCGCGTTGATGTTTGATCAGGCGGCCGCAACAGGGTTGCCGATTGTGGGCGTGGCGCAGGCCGGTGCCTTTCGCGAGGTTGCCGTCTTCGACTACGACGAAGACGATCGCCCCATGATCGCTCTCGCGCGCGACTTCAGGTTTCCAGACGCGAGCCAATACGCACTTCAGGTGGCTGGTGAAAGCATGAACCGGCGCTACCCAAACGGGACATTCGTCAGCTGCGTTGCTTGGGCAGACACTGGCCGGATGGACCCGGTGCCTGGTATGTGTCTGCACGTAGAAAGGCATCAGGGGCCTTTGGTCGAGGTCACGCTCAAACTCTATGCAGAGCGAGACGGCAAGCGATGGCTGGAACCCGACAGCACCGACGGTCGATTCAAGCCGATCGAGATCAACGGCGACGACGGTACAGAGATCGTCGTGAAGGGGCTCGTAACGGGCTCGTGGCGACCTGAAACTTTCGATTGAGCAGCTTGATCAGGCTTGGAGATATCAGTCCCCCCTCACTGCCCTATTTCCAAGAGACAACCCTTTAGAAATTCAGCTTTATAAATTGGGGTGACAAATCTGTCACTCAACAGGGTGACAAATCTGTCACTCAAACGGCAGGCGAATGTAATACTCGTTGACGCTTCGATGCTTGCGGACAACGATGATGAGCCCCGCCGTCTCTAATTCTTCAACGGCGCGCAAAACCTTTCTCGGTGACATCGACAGGTGTTTGGCAATCGTCTTTGTTGCGGGCCATGCGCGCTGGCTTTCGCCATTCATACGCTTTGCCAGCCAGTGCCCTACGCGGAACGCGCGGTCGCTGATGTCGGAGCGTTCGCACACATAATCGATCCATTTGCGGCGCTTGTCCAAAAAGGCCGCAGCCGCTTGACCGTCATCGTTTTTTCCGAACATGGCAAATTAAATACCACTTCGGTATTGACGGGTAAATACCATTCTGGCATATATCTCCCCATCACCAGATGCGGGCAGACCTCACCCGTTGCCTGATCTGGTGGTTGCCGGGGCGGTTCGTTGCGAGCCGTCCCGGCCGATCAAAGGGAGAGCGATGATGGCAAGCTACTTGGCCAACAATCAAAACCGTGACGTCGTCACGTTGCTGCTTTCAAAGGCCGAGGCCGAGGCCCTGCACGGTTTGGCCGAAGCGGGATTCGACCATGCTGATGAAAGCATGAACGGAAAGACGCGAGCAGCCGCGAACCGCGCAATGGATGCCCTCGCTGCTTCAACCAACGCCAGCGCTCGACGCGCGGGCTTCTTTGACATCTGACCTCACTCACCTGCGTGCCAACGGAGCGCTTCGATGCAGCACCTCGACCGACAGGAACGCCTGTTCATCGACACCAGTCGCGACTTCACCGTGACGCATGGCGAGCAGCCCGGCGTCGTGGCGGTCGCGTCCAAGGATCATCGTGATCACTGGTGTTGGGCGGTCTACGACCGGCTGATGACGCATCGCGGCCGCGCTGACAGTCTCGAGGAGGCGACGGGCGCGATAATGGCGAAGATCGCGGAACTGGATGGCCTGTTCGCGGCGATTGATGCGGCCCTGACCGAGCGCCAGCGCGATGCCGCTGTCTTTGACCTTGAGCGCCAGACCTACGCTGGCCCCGATGCTGCGCTGGCCGATCTTTATCGCGCCTACAACACGCGCCTAGCGGCGAACGAGCGCCGTAAGGTCTCGCACCCCGCCTACCACACGAGCGGCGCACGCACGGACGATGAGGCGGCGCTTGCCGGCCTGCACGTCAAGATCGAGGCCCGCAAATCCGAACTCGCGCAGCAGGAGGCCGCGTGATGATCAGAGAGCGATCCTTCATCCACCTGTACGAGCGCGCATATGGCCACACCGCCAAGCAGGCGGCCTACATGACGCTCGACGAAGCCGACCGGGCGATGACCGATCTTCGCACCTTCATCGAACAAGCAGAAGCCGATGGGGTCGACGCGGATCTTCTCAGGCGACCGCGCCGTGACTGGCTCGAAATCTACGAGCGCTGGGCGTCGTTCAAGTTTGACGATCAACCGACCGCGCAGCCCGAGTATCGGGAGGCGGCGGAATGAAGCCGCTCGGTATCGATTTCGAACTTCTGTCGCTTCTCAGCGCGATCAAGCAACCGCCGGCAAGAGGCGACGGCGAGCATCTGCGCACCATCGACACCGAAACGATCCGTCACCGCCATACCGCACGGAAGCACCCCATGGTGGTGACTTCGACGCTGACGGTCTGCACGGTTGTTCCGAAGCCCAGCAAGTACATGCCGCACCAGGGAAGGCAGGAGATCGCGCGCCGTCAGAGGCAGGAGGTGCGCCGTGGCTGAACCCGAGAGCACCAATGACAACGACGACCTTCCAACTGACTGGAACGCCATGACCCTTGAGCAAGCGTTCATCGCCTCGGCGGCGCTGGTGATCTCCGATGACGGCTCCGAGGAAGGCGACCTGTCAGCCGACATTGAACTTCGCACCATCATTCGTTGGTTCCAGGAGTCCTCCAATGGCTGAATCCTCCAAGATCGAATGGACCGACGCGACGGTCAACTTCTGGTGGGGCTGCACCAAGGTCGGGCCGGGCTGCGACAATTGCTACGCCGAGGACCTGAACCGGTTTCGCGGGACGGGCGAATGGGGGCCGGGCACACCGCGGCTGTGGATCAAGGGTTCGACGGCGCTGATCCGCCGGCTGCATCGCCAGCACGACAAGTTCTTTGCCGAGCATGGGCGTCATCGGCGCGTGTTCATCCAGTCAATGTCCGACCTGTTTGACAACGAGGTCGAACGTTCATGGCACCGGATCGCTTTCTCCGAGATCGGCGCCGCGCGAAACCTTGATGTGCAAATCGTGACGAAGCGGGTCTCGAACGTCGTCAAGGTCGCTCCCGTTCGCTGGTTGGAAGGATCGTGGCCGCGCCATGTCGGGCTGATGATCACGGTCTGCACCCAGTCCGAAGCCGACCGCGATATCCCGCGCCTGCTTGATCTCAAGAAGCGGCTTGGCATCCCATGGGTTGGGCTGTCGATGGAGCCGCTGATCGAGCGCGTCGAGTTGCGGCCCGCATGGCTGGAACAACTCGATTGGGTCATCACCGGAGGCGAGAGCGGCAAGAACGCCAGGCCAACCCACCCGCAAGCGTTTCGCGATCTACGCGATCAGTGCCGGGCGGCAGATGTTCGATATCTGCACAAGCAAAACGGTGAGTGGGTTTCGGTATCTGAGGTCGAGGGGCCGGGTCGCCACCACCAGTTCCTCGACGGAGCAACTGTCCGCCGTATCGGCAAGAAGCGCGCCGGCCGCACTATCGACGGCCGCACTCATGACGCCTGGCCGGAGGTGGTGCGATGACGTTCGGCAACCCCAACGCGGTCCAGTGCCCCGAATGCGATGGCACGGGCGCCTACAAGCCCGATTGCTGGCTCTGCAAGGGCACGGGCGACGTCAAGATCGAGACAGCCATCGCGGAGGGTTACGACGAGGCTGAACTGGAATGCTATGACGACGGGTATTGTCGTTGCCCCGCCTACGAATGCCGCGGCGACTCCTGCGACATGTGCGAGGGCGACGGCACGGTCGATCCCCGCGTGCCCGAAGATGAGGTCACGCGTGTCCTGGTCTTTGGGCTGACCGGCGTCATCCCGGAGCGTCGCCATCGGCTCCACAACGGAATGATGATCGAATGCGACGACCTGCTCGCGCGGTTCGCGGCGGTCGTGTGTCGAGATCGGGGATGGATAATCTGGTCGGTCTCGATCTTTGGCGACGAGATTTGTCTGACAGCGGCCGGGGAGGAAGAAGCGCGCCGCCGCTATCCCGATTGGGTGAAGCGGCGAGACGTTCAGCACGCGCCGCTAGACCACTTTGGTCGCTGGGCCGACGACGGTGGCGCGGAGGCAGTGCGATGAAGCCGATCGAGATCCGTCACGCCCATCTGTTCTGCGGCCTCGGCGCCGCCGCCCACGGGTTCAATAAGGGCTCTGCCCGGGTCGGTTCGGCCGAGGCGCGGTTCCGCTGCATTGGTGGCATCGATGTGGACGCGGCGGCGATCGACGATTTCGGTCGCTTGGCCGGCGTGCCCGGCACCCTGCTGGACCTGTTCTCCCGCGAGCAGTTCATTGCTTTTCATGGCCGCGAGCCTGACGCCGAGTGGCGCGAAGCGGTGCCGGCGGACATTCACCGCGCCTTTGGTCATGAACGCCCGCACATCGCGTTCCTGTCGGCGCCCTGCAAAGGGTTTTCGGGCCTGCTGTCCGAAACCTCATCGAAGACGGCCAAGTACCAGGCCCTGAACGCGCTGACCCTGCACGGCATGATGCTGTTGCTGGAAGCCTACCGGGATGATCCGGTCGAACTGATCATCTTCGAGAACGTACCCCGGATCGCGACACGCGGCCGGCATCTGCTCGACCAGATCGTCGGCATGCTGCGCTCCTACGGATATGCCGTGGCCGAGACCACGCACGACTGCGGTGAGCTCGGCGGGCTGGCGCAGAGCCGCAAGCGGTTCCTGCTGGTCGCGCGGCACGAAAAGAAGGTCCCGCCTTTCCTCTACGAGCCCGGGAAGCGACGCCTGCGCGGTGTCGGCGAGGTGTTGGAGCATCTTCCGATACCGGGGCCCGAACCGCTGCTGCCGATGCACCGCATGCCGATGCTGCAATGGAAGACCTGGGTGCGGCTCGCCTTTGTTGAGGCTGGCTCGGACTGGCGATCACTCAACAAGCTGCGCGTCGAGGACGGTCATCTGGCCGACTATGCGATCGCGCCCGATGTCGAGCGGCATGGCGGATTTCTGGGTGTGCGGGCATGGGACGAGCCGGCGGCGACGATATCCAGCCGGGGGACCCCGACGACGGGCGCCTACTCGGTCGCCGATCCCCGGCATTTCGGTCTCGACTATCAGCAGTACGGCGTCCGGCGCTGGGACGAGAACACGGGCGCGGTGATCAACGTCAAGGCACCCGGACAAGGCAGCTTCTCGGTCGCTGACCCCCGCATGCCATTCTCGGCCAGCCGTCAAAACGGAATCTACCGGATCGTGCAATGGGATAGTGCCAGCCATGGCATCACCGGCGCGAAACATGTGGCCGGCGCAGCTTTGTCCGTGGCGGACCCCAGACCTGCGCCTCGAGATGACTACAAGCAGACCAAGTACCGCGTCACGGGCATCGATGAACCGGCAGGGACGGTGATCGCCGCTTCGACGACTGGAAACGGCGCAATCGCCGTCGCTGATCCTCGCGCGACGTTCTCGCAAGACGGCAAGCCCCTTTACACGACGGGAGGCCACTACGGCGTTTTGCATTGGGAGGATGCGAGCGGCGGCGTGACGGCATCGGGCCAGCACGACAATGGTCGCTGGTCGGTTGCAGATCCCCGCCCGGCAGTCGGCGAGGATGTCGGCACCCTGCCCGACCTAGCCGACAGACTGTTCTGCGTCATCCGCGCACTGGACGGGACCTGGCATCGCCCCTTCACGACGCTGGAGCTCGCCGCCCTTCAAGGCTTGGTCGACCCGGAAGAAACGCTCGAACTGCATGGCGTCTCCGATTCCGCTTGGCGCGAGCGCATTGGCAACGCCGTCCCGCCCCCGGCAGCACAGGCCATTGCCGGCGTCATGGGCCGGACATTGCTGCTCGCATGGGCGGGCGAGACCTTCATGCTCTCGTCTGAACCGATCTGGGTGCGCGATGTCGCGGTCGGGCTGTCCGTCGATGAGCGGAGGGCCGCGACATGAACGCCCCCGCCTTCCAGCCCCAATCCGCCACTGAGGCCGCGGCATTCGCGATCTACTGCGTTTTCATCCGTGACGGCGCCGGTGGGAGCCGGTCGCCCGATGAGCGCTGGGAGCGTGCGCCCCAATCCACCCGAGCCGAGTTCATGGCCTATGCCGAGGCGGCGCGGCCGTTTTTCGAGAGGAGCGCTTGATGATCAAGATCGGCCACCGCTTCTGGATGGTTTGGAATCCGCACGGGCAGTCGCCGACGGTGCAGCACAGCAGCCGTGCGCGCGCTGTGGCTGAGGCCAAGCGCCTCGCCGCAAACAACCCCGGCCAGTCGTTCTACGTCCTCAAGGCCGTGGGCGGCTTTGAAGCCGACAGCCCAAAGATCAACCGGATCAAGCTGGTCGAGAGCGACGCTCCGACCGACGACGAGATTCCGTTCTGAGGAGCATGGCATGATCTTGGACCCCGACTTCCGCGAAGTCGACGAACCGATCGTCACGCTCCGCATGAGCCAGACGCAGGCGGAACAACTCTCGTTCGCGATCTCTGACCTGCTGTGCTGGACGCGGGGCTTCATGGCCGCCCAGCCCGACGATTTCGATCACGCCCCGATGGGCACGAATGAGGTGCGCGAACTGAACATCGCGCTCAAGAACGCAATGCGGAGGGCAGAGACATGACAAAGCGATACGTGATCACCGTGACCGAGATCGGGCAGGAGGTCCGCACGATCGGCAACCAGTGGATGCGCGGCGCCGGAGAGACGCCGGACGACTACGGCTACACGCCGGAGATCGAAAAGACCTGCGACTACGAGCGCGAGATTTTCAGGCAGACGGTCGACGAGCTCGATCTTGCAGATGTCGTCCGCGCAGTGAACGGAATGTGAGACATGACCGAGCAATCCATAGGCGAACTGGCCAGCAAAATCGTTGATCCGTGGGCGTGGTGGCAAGCAGCCCTGCAAGACCCGAACGGCATCGGCCGCGGCTCGCTGACGATTTCCGAAGCGCACCCGGAACAGGGCTACTACCGGACCCGCGACAAGAATGGCGATTGGGAACCTGTTGCGATCTTCTATCCGGAAGGCTCGCGCGAACTGGTCGCTTACCGCAACGGGCGGGAAGTCGCGGAGATCGAACGGCTGTGGACGTTCTGCTGCCGTCACCCGATCACCTATGACGCCTATCAGCGCGCGATCGACGGGGGTGGATGGGCCGACGAGCCGCCCAAGCCGACGATCGGAGACAATTCCGGCGACGACGATCCGTTCGAGGCCATCCGCGTCGAAATGCTGGGCGAGGTCGAGCAGGCGCGCGAGTTCATCAAGCAGCCGATCACGACCAAGGAAGCGGCTGACAAGGTTGGCATCTGGACCACGCGCGTTCGCAAGCTCGGCACCCGTGCCGATGATGAGCGCAAGACCGAAAAACAGCCTCACCTCGATGCAGGTCGGGCAATCGACGACAAGTGGCGGGAACTGATCGACCTTGCCAAAGAGGTCCAGGCTGACCTGAAAAACGCCCTCAAGCCGTACCTGCAAGAGCAGCGGCGACAGGAGCAGGAGCGCGCCCGCAAGGCCGCAGAGGAAGCCGAGCGCGAGCGCCAGAAGGCGATGCAGGCTGAGAATGACGAAGCCCGCGAGAAGGCACTGGAAGCCGCCAAGCAGGCCGAGGAAAGCGCAAAGCCGAAGAACGCCCAGGCCGGGCGCACCGGCGCCAAGGTTTCGATCCGCGTCCAGAAGGTCGGTGTCGTCACTGATTACCAGAAGGCCGCGACGGCGCTGGTCGGCATGAAGCACCCCGACATGATCAAGCTGATCGACCAGTTGGCGAACCGTGCCGCGAAGAACGCCATGCCGTTCGACGGGATGGAGATCAAGGAACAGGAAACGGTCGTCTAGATGAACGCTCGTCGCTTCATAAACGCGCTTCGCATCATGCACTCGCTCGACCGGCACGAGTTGGTCGAAGCCGGCGTGATCCCTGACGACAACGACAGTTGGTGGATGCAGATGCGTGACTATCCCGTGCGGGGCGCGATGCGCCTTGATGATGAACGCGCCGAACGTCTGTGGCGCCTGATCGAATCCAGACAGCCGAAGGGGCAAGCAGAATGAACCAGCATGTTGCCACACTATCGCCATCCCGCCTTCCGATCGCGCCGGCTGTTGCTAAGGAGTTTGATATCCAGCCTGCGGAGTGGCGGGTTCTGGTCGATCAAATATTCCCGGCCGCACAGTCTGTCGAAGCGGTGACGATGGCGCTCGCCTATTGCCGACAGCGCAAGCTCGATATCTTCAAGAAGCCAGTGCACATCGTGCCCATGTGGTCATCCGCCAAGCGACAGATGGTGGAGACCGTTTGGCCCGGCATCTCCGAGATCCGCACCACGGCGTTTCGCACCGGCCAATATGCCGGCATTGATGAGGTTGTGTTCGGGCCAATGGTCGAGCGCACGTTCACGGGCCGGGTCAAGAACGGGCAGGATTGGGAGGACGCCGAGAAGTTCGTCCGGTATCCCGAATGGGCCAAGGTCACGGTTTATCGCATCGTGCAGGGCGCGCGGTGCGCCTATCACGCGACTGTGTATTGGGAAGAAACCTACGCCACGATCGGCAAGTCTGACCTGCCGAACGACATGTGGGCGAAGCGCCCGCGTGGCCAGTTGGACAAGTGCGTTGAGGCCGCTGCCCTGCGAAAGGCGTTCCCCGAGGAAATCGGAAGCCTCTACGCGGCAGAAGAGATGGAAGGGCGGACGATCGACGGAGAATCGATCGCTCACGCTGAACCGCCGGCACCGCCCAAACCTCCAGTACCACCGCAAAGCGAGGCCAGCGCCGCCCAGGCGCCCCATGAGAGCGATGTCATCGACGCTGAGGTGATCGAGCCCGACGAGCCGGAAACGGCCACACAGGCCGGCCCTGCGCCGGAACAGGCGCCATCCGACACGGATGCGTTTCTCAACCAGGTGGAAGCGGCGCTTGAACGCGCTGACACCGCAGAAGCGGTCGCAGAGGCGTGGTCCGACCTCGACGTTGAGGCCACGCTGACCGGCGAGCCCGACGCTTTGGGCATCGCCATCAGCATCCGGAATGCGCGCATGGGGATGCTGAAATGAACGCCCACACAAAGACCGATCAACCGCCCTTCCGCATGCGGATCGAGAACGGCCATCTGGTGCCGGCCACGCCCTACGACGCCGAGCGTCTGAGCACGTTCCGGTCGAGCAGGGAATTGCTGGTCTATCCGACGCAACAGCCGAACAGGAAGCTGGTGCAGAAGTGGTTCGCCGTGATCAGCAAGGCCGTGTCGGAATGTCCGACGCCATGGCACAACAAGGATCAGGCGTCGGACGCGATCAAGCTGGCGCTCGGACACGGCACGCCGATCAAGACAGTCGGCGGCAATTGGGTGCAGGTGCCCAAGAGCCTGAACGAACTGAACGACGCCGAATTGAGCGATCTGTTCGATCGGGCGATGACTTTGCTCGAAAGGATCACGGGCGTCGACCCGTTGACGCTTGGCGCCGAGGCAACATCGGTCGACGCGCCTGACGACCACGAAGACCAGAACACCGACGCACCTCCTCGCGCGTCGGATCAGGAGGCGGCGGATATGTCATCGGCCGACGCTTCCACTGAGGGTGGCGAGGTCTCTCCTCCCGCCTCGCCGCCCTCGCCCCTCGTTCAGTACGCCGGCTATCTGGTCCGGATGGTTCAGAACTTCGTCGATGACGGTTCGATCACCGAAACTGACGAGTGCAAGAAGGCCCTCAACGACGCCTGGAAAAACGCAACCGATCCAGACGGCATCGCCTATCTGGTCGATGCGTCCGAGGAAACGATGAAGAAGGCCAAGTCCTTCACCGGCTGGGCCATGGATGTGATCGACCAGAAGAATTCGATGCTCAAGTTCAGGTCGAAGGTTTGCGAGGTGGCGAACTGCCGCCCCAAGGATCTGGAGCAGCCGGCATGATGACGATGCTTTCCATCATCTGGTCCCTCGCCGTCGTAGTTCTGGCCATTCTAGGGGTGGTGCTCATCCTCTTGGCTTTGGCCGCCCTAGAGCGGCGCCGGCGGCCCGCGCCACCTGACCCGGGGTTCAATCGGCGTGTTGCAGACGCGATCGCGAGCGGTGAAGCCGATGCCGCTATTGCGAGGGCGCTCCGCCGGAATTCGGAGCGAAACGAGCCAGGGCCGGTACGATGAACCTTGTCCCGCATCTCAACGCACCGGCGGCGATCGTCGGCACCACCGGAAGCGGCAAAACCTATGCGGCCAAGGGCGCGGTGGAGGCGCTTCTGGCCGAAGGGCGGCGCGTCATCATCATCGACCCCACCGGCGCCTGGTATGGCCTGCGCAGCGGGGCCGACGGCGACCAGGACGGCGGCTTTCCGGTCCTGATTTTCGGCGGTGACCACGCCGATGTCCCCATCACCGATCGCAACGGCGATGCCTTGGCCGAGGAACTGGCGCAACGTGATGTCCAAGCCATCATCGACATCTCCGAGTTCACCGGTGGGGAGAAGCGCCGCTTCCTGACACCGTTCCTCGAACGGCTCTATGCCAAGAACCGCTCGGCCTTGCATCTGGTCGTCGACGAAGCCGATGAGATCGCCGCGCAACGGCTGGCCGATGGTGAGCAGCGCATGTTCGGCGCCTTCGACCGGATCGTCAGACGGGGCCGGATCAAGGGTTTCCGCCCACTGATGATCACCCAGCGGCCCGCCGTCATTCACAAGAACGTCCTCAGTCAGATCGGCACGCTGATCGCGCTGAAGCTGACCAGCCCGCAGGATCGCAAGGCGATCGAAGAATGGGTAAAGGGGAACGCTGACGCCGATCAAGCCAAGGCAGTGATGGCATCGCTGCCCACGCTGTCGCGCGGCGAGGGCTGGGTGTGGGCCCCGGCCGACGCCGTGCTGGAGCGCACCACCTTCCCGGCGATCCGCACCTTCGACAGCAGCCGCACACCCGAGATCGACGAGACGGCCGTGAAGCCTGCCCTGACCTCGGTTGATGTGGTGGGCCTGCGCGAGAGTTTAACTTCTTCCACCTCAGATGAGGGGGCAAATCTTAAACGCCCGGCGCAATCGGAGATCGAGGCTGCGGAGAAGCGGGGTTACGAACTCGGAACCAAAGAGGGCCACAAACGCGGCTACCGGGAGGGCTGGTTTGCGGCGACTGCCGCGATCACGCAAGCCATCGCCGAAGTCGAGACACCCGATGCGCATTGGATCGGAGATCCCCCGCCGTCTAGCGGTGGGACGCCGGACTTTGTATCCGGCAACGATAGTTCGAATCCATCCGGGGCAGCCAAACCCAAGCCCAAGCGCCCGGCCTCGACCGGCGATCTGAGCGAAAACCCGTTCTACACGACGGCGATGACGATCTGGCCGGCTCGCGCGACCTGGCCAATTCTGGCAGCGATGTGCGGGCGAAAGGCGCGCGGCGGTCACTTCAACACGATCCGCAAAGGACTGCTCGAGCAAGGGCTGCTGGTCGAATCTCAAGGCGTTGTGGTGCCGGCCAGCCCACCAGATCACGGCGATGCGATTCCGGCCGATCTTCTCGAGGAGAACTTGCCGGAGCCGGCACGCAAGATGTTTGTCGAGATCAGGCAAAACCCTGGTCACTCGGTCGCAAGCCTTGGCGCATCTCTCCAAATGCAACCGCGCGGCGGACACTGGAACACCGGTATGTCGCTGCTTCGCAAGAGCGGGCTGATCGTAGAAGACCGCGGGGAGCTCTGGATCGAGCCCTCGTTGGAGCGGGCGTCATGACCGTGCTGCACCGTCTCGCCGAAATAACCAATGATCATGCGTTCGTCGCCGCTGCTATGGCGTCTGAGCGGTTTCTGATCGACGCCCGGCTGATCTCCATCATGGGCCGCGAAGACGTTCAGAAATCGATCGCAGCCATCATTGAGGCGGACATCTGCCGGCTTCCCTACGAGGACATGCTTGTCGAGTTCATGGCAGAACCGCCAGTCTGGCGGATGGTGCTGCTCAGGCAAAGGCTCGATCATATCGAGGCCGAGGCGGCCTATGTGAACGGCAACCACATGGCGGGCGTGCTTGATCAGCCCGCAACGGTTCGGGTCCGCGACAATGCCCTTGCGATCGAGGGTTGTTCCGACCAATCCGCCGCTTCGGCAATCGCTTTTGCGGCCGCGATCGCGATCCTGCTGCTCAACACCCGAGGCATCGAAAAGGAGCGTGTTGTTTCCACGCGGCTGAACCGAAAGCGCGAGCGCAAGGGCAAGCGTCCCGTTCCCAAATACACCCACGTCAGGGTCGGGCACATATACGACCGGGACGGAAGGCGTCAGGGCCTCAGCAAGACCGGTGTCAAACAGCCTGTCCACTTCCGCGCCGGCTATACCCGGACGGTCTGGTACGGGCCGGAGAAGTCGCTGAGCCGGATCGACTATGTACCGCCGTGCCTGGTCAATTTTCGCGGCGAGATGCCCGCTCCCAAGAGACGGAAGGTCGCAGCATGACCCACCGCATCGCCCGGCCCGATACCGCTTTTTCGAGCGCGCCCACCGGCAAGGACACCGCACCGGTGAAGGAGCGAGATTACCTCGGCTTCATCGCGGAACTGCCGTGCATCATTCAGCGCACCCACCCGGTCGAGGTTGCGCACCTGAGCTTTGCCGAGCCAGCCTATGGCCATTTCGGTCGCGGCAAAGCGCGCAAGGCCAGTGATAGATGGTGCCTTCCTCTCGATGCGCGCCTTCATGCAGCGCAGCACAGCGGATCGGAAATCCAGTTTTGGGCGCGGCACGGCATCGACCCGCATTTGGCGTGCCTGGTGCTGTACGGCCTTTTCAATGAGCGAGGCGAGGACGCCCTGCCCCATGCGGAACGCATGATCAGAACGCGCCAGATCGGGCGCAACATCGGAAGGAGCGAATGATGGGCACTGTATCAGATGCGGATGAGGCGATTGGCAATCTCGGTGTTGAAAATCTTCGAGAACTGTCGGCGCTGGCATGGTTCTGCGACTGCATGCCAGACGGCAAGTATGCGCTCATCCACTCCAGCCGGCGCAAGTCCTATGAGGCTGGAGGGGACCTTCACGCCCTCGTCACCCTGGGCTGCGTCAAGGTGCTGAAATCGACCTTCTGCGAGTGTCACGGAAAGCGAAAGCCCGCAGTCAAGATGGAGCAGTTTGGACGCCGCGTTCTGCGACGTGCCGCCGCCCTACAGATAGACCTTAGCGACCCGGAACCAACTGAGGACCCCACCCAATGACCAAGACACAGACAGACGGCGGGCCGGCGTTCGCACGTGCAGGCACGATTTGGACAGATATTGAAGGCCGCCAGACCGGCGACGCGCCCGAACCTGGCATGTCCATGCGAGACTATTTCGCCGCGCATGCGCTGCCGCAAGCTGTCCTCGACTACGGGGAGCCGAGCAGCGCGATCAGCGCAGGTCAGCGGCGCGACCGGGGCAACCCAGTGGTTCCATACGCCACCGCCGCTACAGGCACGCGCGAGGAGATCATCGCACGACAAGCCTATCGCTACGCCGACGCCATGCTCGCCGTTCGGGAGACAGACAATGGCTGATCCCATCCAAGAGCAGCATCGCGAGCTCATGAACGCGCTGGCTGAGGGCATCGACACTGCACTGAACGGTGAGCAACTGCCCGGCCTTCCTCGCAAGCGCAAGATCGGCTTCGTCCTCTTGGTTGCCGAGTTCGGCAAAATGGAAGGCGGCCGCGTCAACTACATCAGCAACGGCGAACGCGATGACATGCTGACGATGTGCCGAGAGTACCTGGCGCGCGCCGAAGGCCGCTACGTCGAAACGGACACGAAGCAGTGAGGATGAGCTATGACTGATCATGCACGGGCAAAGGAAGTGATCAAAAACCACGAAAAGCGAATGAGAGGGGCGCTTTCGTCCGCCATGGACGAAGAATTGAGCACCATCATCGGCTACGTCCGCGCCCTTGAGGGTGAACGTGACAACGCACAGGCACAGGTGGCGACGCTGGCCAAGGCATTGCGTTGGGCAGGCGGAGCGGCAGAATACGGTTGTTCCGGTGAGAAGTGGGGCTTCTGGCAAGAGAAGTGCGCTCCGGCCCTCTCCGACACCAGCCAAGCCGCAGCAGACCATGACCGGCGGGTGCAAGTCGAGGCGCTGGAGAGCGCGAAGCGTGAGTGTGACATTTTAGCCAGCGCGGCCGCACATGAAGTCGGTGGCGCCGGTCTCCTGTCAGAAGGAAAAATCCGAGCAGCCAACCAAATCCACAAGCGAATTTGTCGATTGATCGAAGACGCCACCGCCATCCGCGCCCTTGCTGACAAGGAGGGTGAGGGATGACCGACCTCACCCCCATCATCGCCCAAGCACAAGCACTGACAGAGCCGTCGCGAGAAGTGGACTGCATGGTCGCGGTTGCCCTCGATGGTTTCTTCATTCGTGGCGAACGGTACGGCGAACCTGCCTATTTCTACGAGGACGAAGACGGTGGCATCGTTGGGCCGGGGGGCCATGGCGACCAACTGGTGCCTGCCTACACCGCCTCTGTAGACGCAGCCCTAGCGCTGGCGGAGCGGGTTACGGGGCATCAGCCGTTTTTGATGACCACGTTCGATGAGGGATGGGATGTGGAAACATACGCGCCCAATGAGATCGGAGCGATCCTTGGACATCATGCATCCCTCGCCATCGCCATCGTCATCGCCACCCTGGAAGCAAAGATGGGGGGCGGGGATGGAGAGTAGGCCAAAACAATCCGATATCGCTGCCGCCCTAGAACAGCGCCGTTCCGACCAGGACGTTTTCCGCCGCATGGTCGAGTCACCGACGCGGTTCTCGGTTGGCGACAATGTCATCAAGGTTGGCGGGGACACTGCGTTCTGCGGCGAGGTCAAGGTGATCTATCCAATCACCAGTGTGGCCATGGGCGCAGCTTGGCGCATGGACGTGATGTCCATCGTGCCCGGCGCCGAAGGGATGCTGCACATCTACCGGCCGGATCAGTTTCGCCTGATGACTGATGAGGAGTTGGAGAAGATCGAGCGCATGCGCGCGATCTGGGAAGGCCGCACCACAGACAGGGAGGACGGGTAGATGGCGGCACGACCATGCGACACATGTCGATGGGCCACGCGCGATGGCAAGTTTTGTGATCGCTGGGAAATGAACGGCACCTATTCTGTTCTGACAGCAAAGGCGATGGCTATCCCCAACGGCGGCTGTCAGGGGCAACTGTATGAGCCGCGCAACCGCCACCCCTCCCCGCAACCCATAGGTGACGGATGACGGGCCGATGTGGAAACACCGTGAGTAACCTGTGAGCACCATGGATGCCCCACGCCCATTGTTGAAGCCCGACGAAGCTGCCCGATACCTTTCGGTTTCGGTCAAGCAGCTTCGCGAACTGACCGTGGCCGGACGCATCCCATACATCAATGTCGGCCTGGGTGAGAAGCGCGAAGCGCGCCGCTACTGTCCAGATGATCTGGATCGCTATCGGAGTGAACAAAGATGTCGGTCTACAAGCGGAAACGAAAAGACGGGTCCAGCGAAGAAACCTACTCCTACGACTTCGTCAGGCAAGGTGTTCGATATACAGGCAGCACGGAAGAAACTTCGCTCCGCGCCGCTGAGCGGTTCGTCAAAGACCTCAAAAGGCGCATCCGCGACGCACCCCGGCAACGGGACTTCATGACCATGGAAGCGGCCTGCGTTCGGTTCTGGGAGGAAGTGGGGCAATACCATGCCGGCGCCGAGACCACCCTGACCGATCTCGGTCGGTTGCGCGATCGCTTGGGCGGCTCCAAGGACATATCCCAAATCGACGGTCGAGACGTGGCTAAACTGGTCGCCAAACGACGCGGTGACGGCGTAGCGCCGGGAACGGTCAACCGCGGCACGACCAAGCTACTGCGACACCTTTTGAGCCGAGCGCGCGATGTCTGGCAGATCGATGTGCAGCGGATCGAATGGGGGCGGCACCTGCTGAAAGAGCCGCAAGAGCGCGTGCGCGAGTTAAGCGAAGCCGAGGAAGCCGCCCTTCTGGCCGAAATCCGCGACGACCTCCGCCCGCTGATCAGCTTTGCCATCCTGACCGGCTGTCGGCGGCAAGAATGTCTGGATCTGGAATGGCGACACATCGACTGGCACAACCGCGCCTTTCGCGTGACAGGCAAGGGTGACAAATCCCGCACTATCCCCATGACGCAGACCGTCCGCGATCTGCTTTGGCCACTGCCCCGAGCCCACGACCGGGTGTTTACCTATGTCGTTCAGCGGGGGAGAGATGCAGGGCAGCGAAAGCCGGTCGAGAAAGAAGGGCTGAAAAGCCACTTTGCCCGCGCCGTCGATCGCGCCGAAATCATCGACTTGCGGTTTCACGATCTCCGCCACACGGCAGCAACGCGGCTGCTCCGCTCATGCCGGGACATCAAGACCGTTCAGCGGCTTCTTGGGCACGAGGACATCAACACGACGACCAAGTATGCCCACGTCACCGACAACGACCTTCGGAACGCCTTGGAGTCAGTCGGTCCCGCGCAATCCCCGCGCGCTTTCGATCAGGCGGCAAATGTGATAGAAGATTCAAGAGGATAAGCCATGGACACGTCACACCCCCAGTGTAGTGCGCTACCGGGCTGCGCTACGCTCCGACCGTGGCAGAGCTATAGTGGCGCGCAGCGGCGCGCACAAGCCCTCAATGCGCGATCGAAGGGCCGCCTACCGCGTCTGGTCGAGAAGCCGCTTGCACTCGAGAAGGTCGAACAGGGCTTCCTGGAGCAATGTGCGGTTGTCGCGCGACAGATCGGCCCCTTCGCCGCTTTCGCCACCCTTGCCGCCAAGCCCGAACAGGCCGCGGCCGCGCGGCCGTGCATGGCCAACCACGACATCGGCGTCGGCCTGGGCAGGCGGTGCGGCGGCGCCCGCCTGCGGCGCGGCCGCTTCGGTTTCCGCCTCGGCCTGGCGCGCTTCGGCATTGCGGCGGGTCATCTCCTCAAGCGCCGACATGTCGCCCGTTCCGATGGCGATGGCGAACTGGATGCCGTTCTCGCGCAGGATCTTCTGCACACCCTTGATCGTGTAGCCTTCCTCATAGAGCAGATGCCTTATGCCGCGCAGCAGGTCCACATCGGTCGGCCGGTAATAGCGCCGGCCGCCACCGCGTTTGAGCGGCTTGATCTGCGAAAAGCGCGTCTCCCAGAAACGCAGCACATGCTGCGGCAGGTCCAGATCGTCGGCGACTTCGGAAATGGTGCGGAACGCGTCGGGGCTCTTGTCCGTCATGGTCGTCCTTCACCTGTCGACAGCGGCGGCCTGGCCATTTGCCCCTCAGCCCTTGCCGTGGCGTTTCTTGTAGCCATCGATGATGCGCTGCTTGAGCACGTTGGACGCCTTGAACGTCACCACGCGACGCGGCGAAATCGGCACTTCCTCACCGGTCTTGGGATTGCGGCCGATCCGCTCGGTCTTGGAGCGCACCTGAAAGGTGGCGAACGACGACAGCTTGACCGTTTCGCCCCGCACGACGGCGTCGCAAATTTCGTTGATGACCATTTCGACGAGGGCGGCAGACTCGGTACGTGACAGGCCCACCTTGCGGTAGACGGCTTCGGTCAGGTCAGACCGTGTGACCGTTTTCTCCCCCATCAAGCTGTCTTTCCGAAGCGCACAAAATCAGAGCCAAAAAAATCGTATCGCCAAAGGCCTTGTAAATCAAGCAAATGCCCCGTGATCCGCGGGACGGAAGGAACAGACGAAGCGCGGAAGAAAGGTGCGGTCACCAGCGCACCAACAATGCGCCCCAGGTGAATCCGCCGCCCATCGCCTCAAGCAGAACCAGATCGCCGCGCTTGATGCGGCCATCGGCGACGGCAACGGAAAGCGCCAACGGGACCGAGGCGGCGGACGTGTTGCCGTGCCGGTCGACCGTGATGACGACCTTGTCTTCGGGAATGCCGAGCTTCTTCGCCGATGCTTCGATGATCCGGCGATTGGCCTGGTGCGGCACGAACCAGTCGATCTGGTCGCCCGAAATGCCGGCTGTGGCGAAGGATTGTTCGATCACGTCGGTGATCATGCCGACCGCGTGCTTGAACACTTCGCGGCCTTCCATGCGCAGATGGCCGGTGGTGCCCGTCGTCGACGGCCCGCCATCGACATAGAGCTTGTCCTTGTGCCGGCCGTCCGAACGCAGATGGGCCGCCAGAATGCCCGTGTCCGATGTCAGCCCGACGCCGGCGGCCTCCTCGACGACAACGGCGCCGGCGCCATCGCCGAAGAGCACGGCGGTGCGCCGGTCGGTCCAGTCAAGAATGCGCGAGAACGTCTCCGCGCCGATCACCAGGACACGCCGCGCCAGTCCGGCCCTGATGTAGGTGTCGGCGGTGGTCAGCGCGTAGATGAAGCCGGTGCATACGGCCTGGATGTCGAACGCGGCGCCATGGTGCATGCCAAGCCGGTTCTGGATGTTAACGGCCGTGGCCGGAAACGTGTTGTCGGGCGTGGAGGTGGCGACGATGATCAGGTCGATATCGTCGGGGGTCCGGCCGGCATCGTCGAGCGCCGCGCGCGCAGCGGCTTCTCCCAGAGACGCGCTGGTTTCGTCGTCGCCGGCGATATAGCGCTGGGTGATGCCCGTGCGCTGCCTGATCCATGCGTCGGAGGTTTCGAGCTTGGCCTCGAGTTCGGTGTTCGGAACGACCCGTTTCGGCAATGCGGAGCCGACGCCGGTGATGGCTGATCTTATCATTGTGCTGCCTTGGGCCGAGCGTCTTCGCCGTCTTCTTCCGGACCGCCACGGCCAGGACCGTCGTGGAACAGGTGAATGTCGTGGTGGATCTTGTCGACCAGACCGTTGCGCACCATGTCATGGGCCATGTCGACGGCGGCGGCAAAGCCTTCATCGTCGGTGCCGCCATGGCTTTTGACGACGATGCCGTTCAGGCCCAGGAAGACGCCGCCATTGACCTTGCGCGGGTCCATCCGGTCGCTGAGACGACGGAAGGCGCCGCGCGCCAGAACGTAACCGAGGCGCGCCATCAGCGTCCGGCTCATCGCCGCGCGCAGATATTCGCCGATCTGGCGCGCGGTGCCCTCGGCGGTCTTCAGCGCGATGTTCCCGGAGAAGCCCTCCGTGACGACGACATCGACCGTGCCGCGGCCCAGATCGTCGCCTTCGACAAAGCCGTGATAGTCGAGCCCGTCGAGATCGGCCTCACGCAGGAGGCGCCCGGCTTCCTTGACCTCTTCCTGTCCCTTGATCTCCTCGACGCCAACATTGAGCAGGCCGACGGTCGGACGCTCGACCTCGATCAATGCGCGCGCCATTGCCGCGCCCATCACCGAGAAATCGACCAGTTGCAGCGCGTTGGCGCCGATGGTCGCGCCGACATCGAGCACGATCGATTCGCCCCGCAGCGTCGGCCAGATGGCGGCGATGGCGGGACGCTCAATATCGGCCATCGTGCGCAGGCAAAAGCGCGACATGGCCATCAGCGCGCCGGTGTTTCCCGCCGAAACGCACACATCGGCCTCGCCCGACTTGACCGCCTCGATCGCCTTCCACATGGACGACTTCCAGCGCCCGTTCCGCAGGGCCTGGCTGGGCTTGTCGTCCATTTTGACGGCGACATCGCAATGAACGATCGTGCTGGCCTCGCGCAGTTTGGGATGGCCGGCAAGCGCCGCCTCGATCTCGTCCTTCTTGCCGAACAGCAGGAAGCGCATGCCGGGATGCCGCGACAGCGAGATCGCCGCGCCAGGGATGACGACCGAAGGGCCGTGGTCGCCGCCCATCGCATCCACCGAGACCGTTATCACCGTGTTGCTCATCCTGTTTCGCGCGTGTCCGGGCCGGGCGCGGCGTGGGGGCCGGCCGCAGCGTGCGGCACCATAGCGATAATGATCGTCCGCTCAACCGGCAATTTGGCGTTCCTAGCCATCGCCCTTCTGGCGCAACGCCTTGAGCGCGGCAAACGGGTTTTCCCGCTCTTCGGCCGGCTCGACGGCCTTTTCGGAAGGTGGTGCAACGCCTGGCGCGCGGGGATAGGGATCGAGTGCGAGCGCGAAAAATTCCTCGGTCACCGCGCCGATATCGAGCATGGGCGGCTCGAACGGTTCGGGCAGGTCCGGCCCCTCGGCATCGATGATCAGATCGCCGCCCTCGCCCGGTTCCATGCGCCTTTCCAGCGCCGAACCCTGGGGCACATAGATCGCGTCGATCTCGGCTTCGACGGTCGCGGCGACCGGCTCGAGCGAGACGACGCATTGCTGGGTGACGCGCGCGCTGACCCGGCCGGTCAGGCGGACGCCGTCACGCTGCCACCGCCGGACATGGACGGTGGCCTTGAAACTGTCGGCAGCCAGCAGACCGTGCGCGGCGGCCAACTGTTCCAACTGCGCCCCATCGGCTGCGATCGTCTCGTCGCGCCCCTTTTGAGGAAGCACGGACACGTTGATGGCGTGGGAAACCGGCGAACTGCCGGCAGCGGGCATGCTCACGCCACCGCCCCGGCATCGGGGAAGGCCACATCGCCGGTGAGCAGCGTCGCATCGTCCCGGGCGGCGAGCGCCTTGACGGCGGCCAGCATGTAACGGGCGATCGCATCGGCCCTGAAATCGGCGGTTGCGGCATCGCCAGGCATGATGTTGCGGCCGAGGGCGGCTGCCAGCGCCCCGGCATCGCCGGCATCCATCGCCTCCCAGTAGGGTCCCATGCGGCCATAAAACATGCGGGCAAGCTTCTTCATGCGCTTGGGAACGCCGACGTCGCCGACGCCTAGCTCCCGGATCGAGTGATCGACGTCCTTGAAGAACTCGTCGAGCACATCCTGGGCCAGGGCCTGCAGCGGTTCGCTGCTGTCGCGCGTGCGGTGCAGCAGCACGATCATGTGCAGGCCGAGCGATTCATAACGGCCAAGCGGCGTATCGGGGATGCCCCAATCGGCATAGAGAACCGGCTGCCGTGCGGCATCGACGACATGCCGGAACACCCGGTCGACGATGATCCGGTTGGCGTTTTGGCCCTTTCGCCGAAACAGTGACACAATCATGCGCTTATCCAGAACGGGTTCCGGCGGCGAACGGCCGACGGCTTGCACGGCGGCCATAGCTGGGTTACCGGGTGATTTCCAGCGCGGCCGGGTATTGACGGCCAAGGAGATGAATGTGACGGCTCGAAAATTCAAGGCGCATGGCCGCTCTTTTGCCGGCGTGGCCCTCGTGTTGGCTGCGGCAACGGCCCTGTCGGCGTGCAATGCATCGACGAGCGATGTGCTCAACATGTCCGAAACGTTCAAGCAGGGCTATGTCGTCGACGAACAGACGCTGGCGCTGGTGCCGCCCGGATCGAGCCGCGACCAGGTGCTGCTGACGCTCGGCACGCCGACCACGACCGAGACGTTCGACAATGAGGTGTTCTACTATATCTCCCAGACGCGTGAGCGGCGCGCGCAGTTTCTCAAGCCGCGCCTGGTGGACCAGAGGGTTCTGGCGGTCTATTTCAACGAAGAGAGCACGGTCGAGCGGATCGCCGATTACGGCCTTCAGGATGGCCGCGTGTTCGACTTCATCACACGCACGACGCCGACCGGCGGCCGCGACCAGACGTTCCTGGCGCAAATCCTGTCCGGCTCGATCGGCGGGCCTTCGGCGGAATCCATCTTGCGCGGCGGGCGGTAGGCAGCCGCCGGTTCGGGCCGTCGCCCCAAGGGCAACTATCAGATTCAAAGAAAAAACCCGCGCGGATCGCTCCGCGCGGGTTTTTCGTGTCGGGTCGCAATGCCCGCTAGTGGGCGAGAACCGCCAGCAGCAGCAGTGCGACGATGTTGGTGATCTTGATCGCCGGGTTGACGGCCGGGCCGGCGGTGTCCTTGTAGGGATCGCCGACCGTGTCGCCGGTCACCGACGCCTTGTGGGCTTCCGAACCCTTTTCGTGCTTGACGCCGTCCTTGTCGATGAAGCCGTCTTCGAACGACTTCTTCGCATTGTCCCAGGCGCCGCCGCCCGAGGTCATCGAGATGGCGACGAACAGGCCGTTGACGATCACGCCGAGTAGCATCGCGCCGACCGCGGCAAAGGCCGAGGCTTTCGAGCCCGAGATCAGCAGCACGCCGAAATAGACAACAAGCGGCGCCAGAACCGGCAGCAGCGACGGCACGATCATCTCCTTGATCGCGGCCTTGGTCAGCATGTCGACCGCGCGGGCATAGTCCGGGCGCTCGGTGCCTTCCATGATGCCCGGCTTTTCGCGGAACTGACGACGCACTTCCTCGACCACCGCGCTCCCGGCCCTGCCGACGGCGGTCATCGCGATGCCGCCGAACAGGTACGGAATCAGGCCGCCGAACAAAAGGCCGGCAACGACATAGGGGTTGGACAGATCGAACGAGATCTCGCCAACATCGGAGAAGTAGCTGTAGGTGTCCGGATTGGCGACGAAGTAGGTCAGATCGTTCGAATAGGCTGCAAACAGGACCAGCGCGCCGAGGCCGGCCGAACCGATGGCATAGCCCTTGGTGACGGCCTTGGTGGTATTGCCGACCGCATCGAGCGCGTCGGTGGACTTGCGCACTTCCGGGTCGAGACCGGCCATTTCCGCAATGCCGCCAGCATTGTCGGTGACCGGACCGAACGCGTCGAGCGCGACGATCATGCCGGCGAGGCCGAGCATCACGGTGACCGCGATGCCGGTACCGAACAGGCCGCCAAGCTGGAACGTGGAGATGATGCCGGCGACGATGACGATGGCCGGCAGTGCGGTCGATTCAAGCGAAACGGCCAGACCCTGGATGACGTTGGTGCCGTGGCCGGTCACCGATGCCTGGCTGATCGAGTTGACCGGACGCTTGTTGGTGCCGGTGTAGTATTCGGTGATGATCACGATCAGGCCGGTGACGACGAGACCGATCAGGCCGCAGTAGAACAGATACCGGCCCTCGATGGTCTTGCCGGCAACTTCGCCGATCTCGCCCCAGCCGACGGTCAGCGAGGTCGCCGCGCCAAGGCCGAAGACGGTGAGGATGCCAGTCGCGATCAGGCCCTTGTAGAGCGCGCCCATGATCGAGCCGTTGGTGCCCAGACGCACGAAGAAGGTACCGATGATCGAGGTCAGAAGGCACGCGGCGCCGATGGCCAGCGGATAGAGCATGACCGAAGCCAGCACGTCGGTGCCGGCAAAGAAGATCGCGCCAAGCACCATGGTGGCGACGACGGTCACCGCATAGGTCTCGAACAGGTCGGCGGCCATGCCGGCACAGTCGCCGACATTGTCGCCCACATTGTCGGCGATGGTTGCCGGGTTGCGCGGATCGTCCTCGGGAATGCCCGCTTCGACCTTGCCGACCAGATCGCCGCCGACATCGGCACCCTTGGTGAAAATGCCGCCGCCGAGACGCGCGAAGATCGAGATCAGCGATGCACCGAAGCCCAGCGCGACGAGCGCATCGATGACGGTGCGGCTTTCGGGCGAAAGGCCCATCATGTCGGTCAGGACATAGTAGTAGATCGCAACGCCGAGCAGCGCGAGGCCGGCCACCAGCATGCCGGTGATCGCGCCCGACTTGAAGGCGATGTCCAGACCGCCCGACAGCGAGTGGGCGGCGGCCTGGGCGGTGCGCACATTGGCGCGGACCGACACGAACATGCCGATATAGCCGGCGACGCCCGAAAGCACCGCGCCGATCAGGAAGCCGATGGCCGCCGTTGCGCCCAGAAGCACCCAGGTAATGGCGCAGACCACGGCGCCGACGATGGCGATGGTGGTGTATTGCCGGTTCAGATAGGCCTGTGCGCCCTCGCGGATCGCGCCGGCGATTTCCTGCATGCGCTCGTTGCCCTGGTCGGCTGCAAGCACCGACTGGGTGGCCCAGATCGCATAGACAATCGATACAAGGCCGCAGGCAATAACGGCGAGAAGTATCATCGATTTTCCTCCTGAAGTTCCGCCCAAGGTCCCCCGGCGGATCGGATCAATTCTGAATTGCGGCACCCGGACGGGCCCGCATCGGCGTCGTCTATGCAGAATGGGCGTTTGGGGGTCAAGGCACCAGGCGCCCTATTCCCAAATGGTTGTAAAACGGGCCGTGCGCATCACGGGTGGTGGGCGGCCTCCGAGGCGGCGCGGCGATCGTGAAGGACGAAGATCGCAAGGACGACCAGGCAGACCGCGGCGACCGGCAGCAGGATCCAGTTGAGCGCCGCCCAGCCCAGCTCCACCTGGCCGCCGAACAGGTTGAGCGTCGCCCCCGACATCAGCGAGGCGAAGGCGACCGTGCCGAAAAGGGCGAAATCGTGCACACCCTGCACCTTGTTCTTTTCGGCGGGCGTATAGGTTTCGGTCAGCATGGCGGTGGCGCCGATGAAGCCGAAGTTCCAGCCGACGCCGAGCAGGATCAGCGCCAGCCAGAACTGCCAGAGCGCAATGCCCGACAAAGCCACCAGACCACATGCGATCAGGATGAGAAGCCCGGTGGCGACGATCGTCTCCTTGCCGAACCGGGCGATCAGATTGCCCGTGACGAAGCTGGGCGCGAACATGGCCATGACATGCCAGGAGATGCCGAGCGTTGCTTCTTCGGTGGAAAACCCGCAGCCCACCATGGCGAGCGGCGCGCCGGTCATCAGAAAGCTCATCAGCGCATAGGTCGTCACGCCGCAGACGAAAGCGACGACAAAACGCGGCTGGGCGATGATGGCGCCAAGCGAGCGCTCCGGCCCGGTTGGAATGTTGGCCGGATCGGTCTCGACGTGATCCTTGATCTTGAGCGTCGACAAAATCGCCGCGCCGAGAAGACCCAGCCCGATGACCGCCACGAAGGCGCCGGCGAATTCGACCGGCGCGAACATGTCCTTGGTGTGGATGACCGCCTGTGGCCCGATGATCGCGGCGAAGACACCGCCGCCCAGCACCCAAGAGATCGCCTTGGGCTTGAACAGCTTGGGAGACGCGTCGGCGGCGGCGAACCGGTATTGCTGGACGAATGCGCCGCCAAGGCCGATGACCAGAAGTCCGGTCGCGAAAAGGATGAAACTTGTTTGGAACAGGCCGAGTGCGGCGATCGCGCCGCCAAGCGCGGTGACCATGGCGCCCGAAACGAAGCCGTTGCGGCGGCCGACGGCGCGCATCAGCATGGCTGCGGGCAGAGCGCCAAGCGCAACGCCGATGTTGAAGCCTGTCACGGGCAGTGTCGCCAGCGTCTTGTCGGCGCCCAGAAGATAATGGCCGGCGAGCCCGCCCAGCGAGATGGCGACAGGCGCCGCCGCGCCAACGATCGCCTGCGAGGTGGCGATGGTCAGCGTGGTGCGCTTGGCGGTCACAAGGTCCTGGGCTGCGCTTGCGGTCATCGGTCTCGCGCCTGTCCTTTTATTGTTGTCGATGCTGGCGGGCGATGCGGTCGAGCACCGCATTGACCATGCGCGGCTCCTCGCCCTCGTCGAAGAACGCATGCGCCACATCGACATATTCGGTGACGATGACCGGCACCGGCACATCCTTGCGATGGAGCAGTTCCCACGCGCCGGCCCTCAGAACCGCGCGCAACGTCCCGTCGAGGCGCGACAGCGGCCAGTCCTCGGTCAGCGCGTCGCGGACAACCGGATCGATCCGGGTCTGTTCGGCGACCACTCCCGAAAGGATCGCCCGGAACCAGGCGGGATCGGCGTCGCGATACTGGAAGCCGTCGATCTCCTTGCCGAGGCGAAAGGTCTCGTATTCGGCGGCGGTTTCAAGCACGCCGGCGCCGGACATGTCCATCTGGTAGAGCGCCTGCACCGCGCCGAGGCGCGCCACGCCGCGTTTGTTGGCAGCCTTGGTTTTGGAGGCGCTGGCGTTCATCGCACGTCGAGCCTTGCACGCAGCGCGATCATGGCCAGCGCGGCTCTCGCTGCAGCGCCGCCCTTGTCCTTGCGGGTCTTGTCGGCGCGGGCCCAGCCCTGCTCCTCGTTCTCGACGGTCATGATGCCATTGCCGATGGCGAGCTTGTGGTTCACGGCGAGATCGGTCAGGCCGCGCGCGGATTCGTTGCAGACCAACTCGAAATGATAGGTTTCGCCGCGAATGACCATGCCGAGCGCAACATAGCCGTCATAGCGCGTCCGGCCGTCCTGCGCGAAGGCGATCGCCGCGGGCACTTCGAGCGCGCCGGGCACGGTGACGATGTCGTAGGTTGCGCCCGCGTCCTCGATGGCGCTGATCGCGCCGGCGAGCAGCGCGTCGGACATGTCGTCATAAAACCGTGCTTCAACGATCAGGAGATGCGCTTTTTCGGAGCTCATGGGATACCGGTCTCAAAGAGGTCAGGCCGGAGCCCTACGCCTCTTTTTCGGCAGCCGCAAGACGGTCGGCATAGTGCGCGACATAACGCGCGATCGGATCGATCTCGAGGTTGATCCGGTCGCCGGCACGGCTCTGGCCCCAGGTGGTGACGTCGAGCGAATGGCGGATCAGCAGGACGTCGAACCGGTTGGCGTCGACGCCATTGACGGTCAGCGACGTGCCGTCGAGCGCCACCGATCCCTTGGGCGCGATGAACTTCATAAGCGCCTCGGGCGCCTCGATGATGAAGCGCGTCGCATCGCCTTCGGGCCTGGTTTCGGCAATGGTCGCCATCGCATCGACATGACCCGACACCATGTGCCCGCCATATTCGTCGCCGGCCTTCAGCGCGCGCTCCAGATTGAGCCGTGTTCCTGTCGCCCAGGCGCCGGCCGTCGTCAGGCGCAGGGCCTCCTCCCAGGCCTCGACCTCGAACCAGCGGGCATTTGCGCCTTCTTCGGGGAGTGCGACCACGGTCAGGCAGACCCCCGAACAGGCGATCGACGCGCCGATGTCGATGGTCGCCGGCTCATAGGCCGTGGCGATGCGAAACCGCCGGCCCTCGGGCAAGTCGGTCACGGCGGCCACTTCGCCAATGTCGGTGACGATACCAGTGAACATCAGTCCTGGCGCTCCAGCAGCATGAACCGGTCGGGGCCATAGACCGCGCGGCGCCGGATCGCAAATCCGTCCGGCAGACGACCGCTCGAGAACGGGGCGGCAATGCCACCTTCGCCGACGACAACATTGCTTTCAAAAAGCGCGATGCGGTCGGCGAGCCCTTCGCGCAGGAAGGCGTCTGCAACCTCTGCCCCGCCCTCGACGAGGACGCTCGCGACACCGATCGCGGCAAGGTCTTCGAGCAGTTCGGGCAGCGCGATGCGGCTGTCGTGGCTTTCGCCGGCGATGATCCGAACGCCCTTTTCGACGAGGGCCCGCGCCCGTTCGGACTGCGGATGGAGGGTTGCGACATGGACCGGCGCCCGCCCCGCCGTTGCAACGAGACGCGATTCGACCGGCAGGCGGGCATGGCTGTCGAGCACGATGCGGCGGGGCGATCTGTCCTCGAGGCCTTCCAGCCGGCAGGTCAGCTCCGGATCGTCTTCAAGGACCGTCCCGATGCCGACGAGAATCGCGTCATGTTCGGCACGCATTATGTGCGACTGCGCCCGGGCGACCGGGCCGGTGATTGCGACCTGACCTGCGCCGTGCCGTCCGACCATGCCGTCGGCGGAGACGGCCAGTTTGAGGGTCACCTGTGCGCGCTTTTTCGACGACCGGGTCAGATAGGCGCCCAGCACGTCGCGCGCGCCGACCGGATCGCAATCGGCCAGAACCTCGATCCCAGCGGCGCGCAGGATGGCATAGCCTTTGCCCGCCACGCGGTCGTCGGGGTCCGAGACGGCGGCGATGACGCGCGTCACGCCGGCGGAGACGAGCGCCTCGGCGCAGGGCGGCGTGCGGCCATGATGAGCGCAGGGCTCGAGCGTGACATAGGCGGTGGCGCCGCGCGCCGCCGCACCCGCCTCGTCCAGCGCGATGGTCTCGGCATGGGGCCGCCCGCCAGGGGCCGTGATCCCGCGGCCGACGATGGCGCCGTCGTTGACGATCAGCGTGGCGACGGACGGGTTGGTTCCCGTTTGGCCCAGATGGCGCCGGGCAAGCCGCAACGCCGCATCGAGAAACCGGCGGTCATCCACCGTCAGGCTTTGGTCACTCGGCGGCATCGGGTTCGACATCGGCAATGGGGCCCGCGATCTCGCCCAGCAGATCCTTGAAGTCCTGCGGATCGCGGAAATCCTTGTAGACCGAGGCAAAGCGCACGAAGGCGACCTCGTCCATGCGCTTGAGCGCTTCCATCACCATCGTGCCGATCTCGTCGGCGTGGACGTCCTGCTCGCCGGAGCTTTCAAGCTGGCGCACGATGGCCGAGACGGCGCGCTCGACGCGTTCGGGGTCGACAGGCCGCTTGCGCAGCGCGACCTCGAAGGAGCGTGCCAGCTTGTCGCGGTCGAACGGAACCTTGCGGCCGTTCTTCTTGACGACGAACAGTTCGCGCAACTGCACCCGCTCGAAGGTGGTGAAGCGCCCGCCGCAGTCGGCGCAGACACGGCGCCTCCGGATGACGGTGCCGTCCTCGGCGGGACGGCTGTCTTTGACGGCCGTGTTTTCAGTGTGACAGAACGGGCAGCGCAACGCGCTCGGCTCCTCAGTTCAGATGCGGGTAGATCGGAAAGCGCGATGTCAGGGCGAGCACATCCTGCTTGACCGCGCTCTCGATGCCGGAATTGTCGCCGTCTTCGCCGGCCTGCGCCAGGCCATCGACGATCCGCACGATCATCTGGCCGACCTGGCGGAATTCGGCCGGTCCGAAGCCGCGCGTGGTCGCCGCCGGCGTGCCGAGGCGAATGCCCGAGGTGATGGTCGGCTTTTGGGGATCGTTCGGAACACCGTTCTTGTTGCAGGTGATGAACGCCCGGCCGAGAGCGGCCTCTGCCGCCTTGCCGGTGACGCCCTTGGGCCGCAGGTCGACCAGCATCAAATGGGTGTCGGTGCCGCCGGAGACGATCTGCATGCCGCCCTCGATCACCGTCTGGGCCAAGACCTTGGCGTTTTCGGCCACCGCACTCATATAGCCTTGGAAATCGGGTTGCAGCGCCTCGCCGAAGGCCACGGCTTTTGCGGCGATCACGTGCATGAGCGGGCCGCCCTGAAGGCCGGGGAAGACGGCGGAATTGATCTTCTTGGCGATCGCCTCGTCATTGGTCAGCACCATGCCGCCGCGCGGGCCGCGCAACGTCTTGTGCGTCGTCGTCGTCGCCACATGGGCATGCGGGAAGGGGCTGGGATGGATGCCCGCCGCGACCAGTCCCGCAAAATGGGCCATGTCGACCCAAAGATGCGCGCCGACCGAATCTGCGATTTCCCGGAACCGTGCGAAATCGATGATCCGCGAATAGGCCGAACCGCCGGCAATGATCAGGCGCGGCTTGTGCTCTTCGGCCAGTTTCGCCACCTGGTCATAATCGATCAGGCCGGTTTCCAGATCGAGGCCGTACTGGATCGCGTTGAACCATTTGCCCGACATGTTGGGCCGAGCGCCATGGGTCAGGTGACCGCCGGCATCGAGGCTCATGCCGAGGATCGTGTCGCCCGGCGCTGCCAGCGCGAGCATGACGGACTGGTTGGCCTGGCTGCCGGAATTGGGCTGGACGTTGGCAAAGCCGCAGCCGAACAGTTCGGTCGCCCGCTCGATCGCCAGGTTTTCGGCGATATCGACATACTGACAGCCGCCATAGTAGCGGCGGCCCGGATAGCCCTCGGCATATTTGTTGGTCATCACCGAGCCCTGCGCTTCCAGCACGGCGCGGCTGACGATGTTTTCCGAGGCGATCAGTTCGATCTCCTGCTGCTGGCGGCGCAGTTCCTTGCCGATCGCATCGGCGATCCCGGCATCGCGGGCCGTCAGATCCTGGCTGAAAAAGGCATCGGCAAAGGCGGTGGCGGCGGCGCTGTCCTGCGACATGGGCGTGTCCTCGGCGTGGGTTTGGCTCCGAAAGCGGCGCAATACCATGGCGCCCCGCCCCTGTCATGTCCCGCACGGACATCGGCTGCCGTCATGTGAACAATTGCCGCGCCAATGAAAAAGGGGCCCGCGGGCCCCTCGATCGGTTTCGTGCTTCGGCTGCGCGCCGTCAGAGTGCGGTGGACGACAATTGCAGCGCGTCCACACCGTCGCGATTGTAGATGTCGTCGCGGAAATGGACGAGCCGGTCTTCGGACGCCCATGCCGAAATGTAGACGAAATAGACCGGCACCTGAACCTCGATCGGGATTTCGGTGTTCACACCCGATTCGACCACCTGTTCAAGCTGGCGGCGATCCCAGCCCGGCGTCGATTCCAGCAGCCACAGGGTCAGTTCCTGAATGTTGTGCACGCGCACGCAACCCGAGGATTCAAACCGCATGAACTTGCCGAACAGGCTCTGCTGCGGCGTGTCGTGCATGTAGACGGCATGCGGATTGTGGAAATTGATCTTGGTCGACGACATCGCGTTGATGAGCCCGGGATCCTGGCGGAAGCGCAGTTCCACGGCCTCTTCGGTCGACCAGTTGACCGCTTCCGGCGGCACCTCGTTGCCCTGACCGTCGAACAGGCGGATCTTGTTGCGTGTCAGATAGGTGGGGTCCTGACGCATCAGCGGAATGATATCCTTGCGGATGATCGACTTGGGTGCGGTCCAATAGGGATTGAGGATGACCTCATGGATACGCGAGGACAGGATCGGCGTCTGCCGGTCGGTCTTGCCGACGATCGCCTTGTGGCGCAGTGCGACACGGTCGTTTTCGACCGCTTCGATCGAGGCCGCCGGAATGTTCACCATGACGTAGCGGTCGCCCAGATAGCCGGACATGGAACGCAGGCGCACCAGATTGGTCTCGAGCTGGCCGAGCCTGACCGGGGCACTCACATTGAGCGCGGCGAGCGTGTAATTGCCGACAACGCCGTCGGCGGTCATGCCATGGCGGGCCTGGAAGCGCTTGAGCGCGCCGTCAAGGAAGGTGTCGAACGTGGCGCTGTCGCCCGCATTGCGCGGCAGATCGCCGGACACGATCAGGCGCCGGCGCAGTTCGCGCACCGAATTGTCCTGAACGCCGACCTTCAGAGCTTTGGTCGCGTTGACGCGGGGCCAGCCGCCGGCGGCGACGATGCGCTGGTAGTCGCCGATCGCCCCTTCGACGTGGAATGCGGTTTCCTGGCTGAGGATCGGAACGCGCGTGTTGGCCACCCGGCTGACGCGTGTACCAGCCGCATCGAACTGGTCGTCCCAGTTGCCGCGTTCGGAAGACTGCAAAATCTCCATGATCGAGGACTGGGCGGCCGCAGCGCCCGCCGTTGCCGCCAATGCGCCAGCGGCGCCGGATGCGCGCAAAAATCCGCGCCTCGTCGTCGATTTAAATCCGTTCATGCCCAACCCGCGTAATTGTCTCTGTCGCCTCAAGGGTTCGCCTCGCGCCAGAGTTTTAGCCCCGCCCGCTTAACAAACAGGAAACCATGTAGGTCGGTTCCCTACAGTCTGAAAGGTCCATTCGATGGATGCCTCCCTGACCATAACGCTTGCAATAAGCTGTTTGGCTTTCACAGGAATATGGCTGATTAATGTCATGACCGAGGATGCCGGGGTCATCGACTATTACTGGGGACCGGGATTTTCCGTCATCGCGCTGGTGCATGCCGCCATGCACGGCGTCTCGACGTCCTATCAGTGGATCATTCTGGCTGCGGTCGTCATCTGGTCGGCGCGGCTGGCCGGTCACCTCGTCCACCGCCACCACGGCGCGGTACGCGAGGACGGCCGGTATCGCGCGATGCGCGAAAGCGGCGGGCCGAGCTGGTGGTGGGCCAGCCTGTTCAAGGTGTTCCTGCTGCAGGCGGTGCTGTTGTGGCTGATTGCCGCGCCGCTGCACGTGGCGTTTCGCGCCGGTGGCGCCGAAACAGTGTCCGCGGGGCTGTTCTGGGCCGGCATGGCGGTGTTCGCGCTGGGGTTCGCCATCGAATGGATCGCCGATATCCAACTGGCGAACGGCAAGAGGGCGCTTGGCTCGACGGCACCGGAAACCGGCATCGTGCGGAATGGACTCTGGGGTATCAGCCGCCACCCCAACTATGTCGGCGAGATCATCCTGTGGTGGGGTCTCGGCATCGCCGCGTTCGCCGTGTCGGGCAGTCTCATTGCCCTTACCGGCCCGGCGATCCTGACGGCGGTGATGGCCGGCGTGTCCATGCCCCTGACCGAGCAGCACATGCTGCGCAGCCGACCGGGCTATGCGGCCTACATGGAACGGGTGCCGGCACTGATCGGCCGGCCGCGGCGCGCGCGCGGAAGGCAGAAACTGCCTGCCGAGTGATTTCGTTTCACAAGACGGCAAAGGCCGGGCACGAAACCCGGCCTTTTCCTTGCGCCCCGACAGTCTTGCGCCTCAAAGGCGGTAGAGGATCGTGTCGTTCCAGAAGCGGTCGAGGCGTTGCATGGCCCGGTTCATGCGGTTGAACTCGTCAGCATCGATGCCGCCCACCGCTTCGATCGAGACGATGTGACGTTCGTAAAGATCAGCGACCGCGTCGGCTACTTCGCGCCCCTTCTCGGTCAGCGAGATACGCACCGAGCGCTTGTCGGCCTTGGATTTCTTGTGGTGGATGAACCCGTCCTGCGCCAGCTTCTTGACGTTGTAGGACACGTTCGAGCCCAGATAGTAGCCGCGGGACCGCAGTTCGCCGGCCGTCAGTTCGCTGTCGCCAATGTTGAACAGCAAAATGGCCTGAACGGCGTTGATGTCGTCGCGGCCCGAACGGTCGAACTCGTCCTTGACGACATCCTGAAGACGCCGGTGCAGCCTTTCCACAAGCTGCAGCGTCTCGTGATAAAGACGCCTGAGGGAATCGGCGTCCGATTCCACGCGCGGTTGGCCCACAATATTGGACTGGTTGATCATGACTGCCTCACAGGTTTGGTCGGCGATGTTTCCCGCCTTTGATGTGGGCAACCTACGCAATGCCGCTAAAATGCTCATTAATTTGGAGCGTTAACGCAGTGTTGCGGCGGCGCAAAACGGCTTTGTCCTTAACGGAGAGTCAAGTCGTGCGCTTGCTTTGGAGCGTTTCGGGACCGGGCCTGAACCCTTCAATGGGCGGCCAGACGCGCCGCCCGCCGTTCGATCAGCGTGACTCCGGCCATCAGGATCAGAACGACAAGGCCGATCATGTTGATGCTGGCGATACCCGCCCGCTCGGAAAAGATGTCTGAAAGGAACATGTAGGCGCCGATCTCGGCGGTCGCCGCCAGAACCCACAACACCACACCCCAGCGCGTGGTCAGCCAAAGACCCAGCGCGGCGGCCGGCATCAGGACCGCCAGCGTCGTGAATACGATGCGTACGGGCAGCGCCAGGAGATCGAAACGCCAGGCGCCGTCCCCGGCGATCCCCGTCAGCCCGGCCCAGTAGACCAGGCCGGAGATCAGAGCGTAGAGCGCCAAAATGCGCAGGAAAAAGCCGAAGACGCGCTCGACCGCGCCCTTTCGCGGCTGCTGCAATCCCGTCTCGGCAATGACCATGGAGCGCCACCCGTTCGGCCCGACATCTGACGGACAATTGCCTAACGTAATGGTTTGCGAAAGGCAAAGCGGGTTGTAAACCGCGAACACGCCAGACGTCCAAACGGGGGAGTTGAACAGCGATGAGCGGAACCGGGCCCAAACGCAGCGTTGACGAGATCACCGGCGGCCGGCGCCTGCGCCGGATGCGCAAGGCCGACTGGGCGCGCCGGCTCGTTCGCGAGACCCGCCTTGGCGTCGACGATCTGATCTGGCCGATCTTCATCATGGAAGGCGAGGATACGGCCGAGGCCATCGGCGCCATGCCCGGTGTCGAACGGCTGACACTTGACCGTGCTGTCGCCGCCGCCGAAGAGGCGCACAAGCTGGGCATTCCGGCCATCGCGACCTTTGCCAACATCCCCATGGACCGCAAGGACCAGACCGGAAGCCACGCGCTGGATGCCGACAACATCATCAACCGCGTGACGGCGGCCATCAAGCAGGCGGTGCCCGGCATCGGCATCATCACCGATCCGGCGCTCGATCCGTTCACCGACCACGGCCATGACGGCGTGCTGCGCGACGGCATCATCGTCAATGACGAGACCGTCGACATCATCGCCCGTGCGGCCGTCAAGCAGGCGGACGCCGGCGCCGATATCATCGCGCCCTCGGACATGATGGACGGACGGATCGGCGCGATCCGCGACGCGCTGGATGCGGCCGGGCACCAGGATGTGGCGATCATGTCCTATACGGCCAAGTTCGCCTCGGCCTGCTACGGCCCCTATCGCGAGGCGATCGGCACCGGCGGACTGCTGAAGGGCGACAAGAAGACCTATTATGTCGACCCGGCCAATACGGACGAGGCACTGCGCGAAGCCGAGCAGGATCTTGTCGAGGGCGCCGACATGCTGATGGTCAAGCCCGCCCTGCCCTATCTGGACGTGTGCTGGCGGATCAAGACAGAGCTGCGTGCGCCCGTCTATGCCTACCAGGTTTCGGGCGAATACGCGATGATCGAGGCGGCCGCCGCCAATGGCTGGATCGACGGCGAACGGGTGATGATGGAAAAGCTCGCCGCCTTCAAGCGGGCCGGCTGCGACGGCATCCTGACCTATTTCGCGCCGCGGGTCGCCCGCATCTTGAACCAATGAAGGGCCATCGCTTGAAGCGGGCGATGCGCACCGCCATGTTAAGACCATGACACAGACGGACACGATCATTTCAACGGCTCCGGCCGGTTTCGACGATTGGCGGCTTTTCGAGGGCGTCCGGACGCGGCGTGTTCTGGCGTTCGCGGTCGATTATGCGCTGGTCATTCTGCTTGTGGCGCTCGCTGTGCCTGTGGTCGGACTTCTCGGCGTCGTCACGTTCGGCATCGCCTGGCTGCTCTATGCGGTCCTCGCCCCGCTGGTCGCCCTTTCCTACATCGCATGGACGGTCGGCGGTCCCGAACAGGCCACGCTCGGCATGCGTATGGCCGGCATCCGGCTGGTGCGCTATGACGGCCAGCCGATCGACTGGATGACGGCGATCGTCCACGCGGTGCTGTTCTGGGCAGCCAATGTGATTCTGACGCCCTTTATCGTGCTGGTGGCCCTGTTCACCCGCCACAAGCGGCTGCTGCACGATCTGGCGCTCGGCACGACCGTGGTGCGCACGGAACGATTTCTGGCCGTTGCGTAGCGGCGGTTTTTTGGTAGCTTGAGCGGACGCGCCGCCGCGCCTCCGCGATCCGGCGCAACCGACGCGTTTTCGACAGCGGCTGTTGCGGGTGATGACGAAACACAGCGCCAAAGCGCCCCAGTTCTTTTTGACGTCGCCGGCGCCGTGCCCCTATCTGGACGGGCAGTTCGAGCGCAAGGTTTTCACCCATCTGGTGGGTGAAAAGGCCTCCGAAATGAACGATCTTCTGACGCTGGGCGGCTTCCGCCGCAGCCAGAACATCGCCTATCGTCCGGCCTGCGAAACGTGCCGCGCCTGCATCTCGGTGCGCATTCTGGCCGACGAGTTCCGGCCGACCCGCTCGATGCAGCGCATCAACCGGCGCAATCGCGATCTGATCGGCACCGAATACACCGCCGAACCATCCAGCGAGCAATATTCGCTGTTCCGGCGCTATCTCGACGCGCGCCATTCGGGCGGCGGCATGAGCGACATGACCGTGCTCGACTATGCGATGATGGTCGAGGACACGCATGTCAAATCGCGCGTCATCGAATATCGCAGGCGCGGCGCGGACAGTTTCGTCACCGGACAGGGCGAAGGGCCGCTGGTCGGCGTTGCCCTGTCGGACATGATGAGCGACGGCTATTCGATGGTCTATTCGTTCTTCGACCCGGACGAGGACCACCGGTCGCTCGGCACATGGATGATCCTCGACCATATCGAGCGGGCCCGAAAGCAGGGACTCGCCCATGTCTATCTGGGCTATTGGGTCGCCGGATCGCGGAAGATGGAATATAAGACGCGCTTTCTGCCCCAGGAGCACCTGACCGGCAATGGCTGGGAACGCCATGAGGGCTGACGCGGCTTGACACCTTGACGGGCTGCCGCGCAACTGGCCCGATGACCCGGCACGCCAAAGGATTGCTGCTGACCGCCATCGGCGGCGTCGCGCTGAGCTTCGACATTCCGATGATCAAGCTGGGCGGGGGCGACGCCTGGTCGGCGATGGCGGTGCGCGCGGGCAGTGCCTTCATCGCCGCGCTCCTGATCAAGCAGATCGCCCAATGGCTGACCGGCCGCACGATCACGCTGCTGCCGGGCCGTATAGGCGTGGTCATCGCGGCGCTCTACGGGCTGACCGTCGTCGCCTTCGTGATCGCGGTCAAGAACACGAGCGCGGCCAATGTCGCCTTCATCATCGCGTTCACGCCGGCGTTCACCGCAATGACGGCGTGGACGTTCCTGGGCGAACGGCCGTCGCGCGCGACGCTTCTGACGATCGCGGTCATGGTCCTGGCGGTGGGCATCATTGTCTCGGACGGTTTGCAGGCCGGCAGCCTTTTCGGCGATGCGTGCGCGATGGCCGCCGCGCTGCTCATCGCCGCCGTGATCACGCTGTCGCGCGCCGCCAAGGCCGATGTCGGCTTTGCGCCGATGATCGGCGGCATCGTGCCGACGGTCCTGGGACTGGCGGTGCTCGGCTGGCTCGGCGAGCCGGTGCGCGTCGACAATGCGGCCTGGCATGTCTTCAACGGCATGGTGCTGCTGCCGATCGCCTATTGGTGCCTGGCGACGGGGCCGAGATACATCTCCGCGCCCGAGGTGAGCATGTTCTATCTGCTCGAAACCGTGCTGGCGCCGGTCTGGGTCTGGCTGATCTTCTCCGAAGCGCCGCGCCCGGCCGTGCTGATCGGCGGCGCCCTTCTGATCGGAGCGCTGGGCGCGCATGCGCTGTGGCAATTGCGGGTCCATGGACGGCGGGTTCAGCCGTCGGCGAAGTCACCGTGAACATAAAGCAGCGGCGCGTCCGGCGCGGCTGCAAATGACAGCACCCGGCCGACCAGAACATCGTGATCGCCGGCGCTCAATACGTGCTCGATTGCGCAGTCGAACCAGGCAATGGCATCGGCAATGCGCGGCCGGCCGCTCGGCAGCCTTTCCGAGCCGACACCATCGAACCGTTCCTGCGGCAGCCCGCGGGTGAAGCGCTCGGCAAGGTCGCGCTGCCCGGCGCCGAGCACCGAGATCGTGTAGCCGCCGCTTTCCAGGAACGCCGCGCGGCTGGCGCTCTGCTTCCTGATCGACCAGAGCACCATCGCCGGATCGAGCGAGACCGTGTTGAACGAGTTGCACGTCATGCCGTGGTCGGCGCCTTCGTGGTGGGTCGCGGCGATGGTGACGCCGGTGGCGAAACAGCCCATCGCCCGCTTGAGCTCGGCCGTCTCGAGCGCGGTCAGGTTGAGGTGGGCATCGGCGTTCATCGGCTTTCCTCTCAAGGGACTTCCTTGCCCTGGGCCAGGGTCCACAGCTCGAACCAGGTTTCGCGATCGAGCGTGACCTTGAGCGCATCGGCAATGTTGGCGATGCGCTTGAGCGAATTCGTGCCCACGACCGGCATGATCCGCGCGGGATGCGCCATCAGCCAGGCCAGCGCCACGGCCTCGGCCGCAACGCCGAAATCGGCGCCGATTGCGGTCAGCCGCGGCATGGTGCGCTTGCCCACCTCGCTGCCGGGCATGAACAATGCGCCGCCGCCCAGTGGCGACCAGGCCATCAGCGGCATTCCATCCATCTGTGCCTTGGCGACCTGCCCGTCGGTGAAAGCGGACGGGTTCAGCAGACTGATCTCGATCTGGTTGGTCAGAAGCGGGTGCTTCATGGCCGATTGCAGCAGGTCGATGTCCCACGGCATGAAGTTGGAAACACCGACGCCGCACACCTTGCCCTCGTCCACCAGCGCATCGAGCGCGGCGCCCGTCTCGTGATGGTCCATCAGCGGGTCGGGCCGGTGGATCAGCAACATGTCGATGACATCGACGCCGATCCTGGCAAGGGAATTGTCGACCGAATCGCGGATGTGGGCGGCGGAGGTGTCATAGTGCTTGACCCGGCGGCGCGGAAACTTGCCCGGCGACATCAGCATGATGTCGCATTTGGTGACGATCTGCATCTTCTGCTTGAGTGAAGTGTGGCCATGCAGGGCGCGCCCGAAGATGGCCTCACACTCATAGTCGCCATAGATGTCGGCATGATCGAAGGTGGTGATGCCCTGATCGAGACACGCCTCGACCTTTTCGACGACATGGCTCAGCGACTGGTCATGATCGCCGGCCAATCTCCAGACACCGTAGATGAGCCGGCTCATTGGCGGCACGCCATGGCCGAATTCGATGGTCTCCATCAGCGTCTTTCTCCAACCCCCAGCGGCGTGGCGGGCGTTTGCTCGGGCACGCGCCCGTAAACATGGGGCAGCGAGCAGGTTTGCAAGTGCGGCAAGACCTTCTGCCCGAAATTGACGCACTCATCCAGATGCGGATAGCCGGAAAAGATGAAGGCGCGGATGCCCATCTTGCGGTAGCGCTCGATCTTCTCCATCACCTGGTCGGCCGAACCGACAAGCGCTGCGCCGCAGCCCGACCGGGCACGTCCGATCCCGGTCCACAGATACGGCTCGACGAAGCCGAACTCATCGGCATTGTCGCGATTGGCGGCCTGCAGCGACACGCCGTAGGTCTTGGCATCCAGCGCGCGCCCCCGAATCTCGTCGCCCTTGCCGTCATCGAGGCGCGAGACGAGTTCGTCGGCATAATCGCGTGCTTCGGCCTCCGTGTCGCGCACGATCACATGCACGCGCAGGCCGTAATCGAGCACCCTGCCATGGGCCTCGGCGCGCGCATGGACGGTCTTCATGCGCTCGGCGAGCAGTTCCTCGGGCTCGGGCCACATCAGATAGACATCGCAATGGTGGCCGCACAATTCGACCGCATCGGGCGAATAGCCGCCGAAATACAAAAGCGGGCCGCCATTTTGCTGGTAGGGACGCACCGGATCGGTGTTCAGACCCTTGAGCCGGTAGATCTCGCCCTCATAGTCGATCTCGTCGCGGGTCCAGGCCTGCCGCAGGATTTCGACGACTTCGGTGGAGCGGCGATAGCGCAGTTCGCTCGATGCCTCCTCGCCCGGCTGGTTGGACGAGATGACATTCAGCGTCAGCCGGCCCTTCATGACATGGTCGACGGTCGCCACCGCGCGCGCCAGCATCGCCGGATGCACCTCGCCGCAGCGGATCGCCGCCAGCATGTTGATGTTCTCCGTCAGCGGCGCCATCGCCGAGACGAAGCTCCACGTGTCCTGGCCGACCTGATAGGAGGACGGGCACAAAATGTTGCGATAGCCCAGCTCATCCGCGGCGCGCACGATCTCGCTTGTGTGGTCGAACGACGATCGCAGGTCGCCGTCCGGCACCCCCAGAAAACGATAATCGTCCGAACAGATGGGTGCGAACCAGGCGACTTCGGCCGCATCCAGATCGGCGCTCTTTACCGGCACGACGGTCATTGACGATTGCTCCCGACTGACAGTTTCGGCCGCATGAGCGGCACATTTCAAAGACAGCTAACATCCGCGCATATATGTATCAATAGTGAATGAATTGAAGCGGTGACAGCGCTTTTTCAACGTCCTATGGTCGCCGCCAGGGGGGACGCTCAAGTGGCGGAAAAAACGGTCCGGGGCGGCGCGCTACCGCTCTACATCCAGATTTCCGAACTGCTGACCCGCGAGATCGCCGCCGGCATCTGGCCCGACGGGACCCGGCTGCCCACGGAGATCGAACTTGCGGGTAGCCTGGGCGTGGCGGTGGGCACGTTGCGCAAGGCGCTGGCGGAACTCGAAGCCCGCGGACTTCTGGAGCGCCGGCAGGGTTCGGGGACCTATGTGCGGGCCAAGGCCAAAACCGGCGCGATCTACGAATTCTTCCATCTGGAACTGAAGGACGGCGCCGGCTTGCCGACGGCGCGCATCCTGTCGCTCGACAAGATGCCGCATCCGGATTTCGCGCCGCGGCTCGGCGACAGCGCATCGACCGCGGCCTGGCGCGTCCGACGGCTGCGTTTTCTCGGCGAGACACCGGCGGCGCTGGAGGAGATCTGGTTCGATGCGCGCCATGCGGCGAACCTCGATGTCGAGTCAATCAACGAGTCGATGCATCTGTTCTACCGGCAGAATCTGGGTTTCTGGATCGCCCGCGTCGAAGACCGGGTGTCCGTTGCCTCCTGCCCGGACTTCGCGCCGCCGGACAGTCCGTTCCGGCAAGGTGCGCAGCTCGGCCATGTCGAGCGCATTTCATGGGGCAATGCCGGCACGATCGAGGAGTATTCACGCAACTGGTTCGACCCGGACACGGTGGCCTATGTGGCCAGGTGGGTTTGAAACCACCGGTCCAGAAAATCGAAGTACCAAGCCTTGAGCACCGCATCGTGGCGGGCGAACCCGTCATCCTGTTCACTCTTGGACTGCGTTCCCGACCGGCCGATGAGGCCGGCGAACTCGGTTTGCCATTGATCGAGGATCGTCCGCGTCACTTCGGGGTGGAACTGGAACCCGATCGTCGTGTCGCCGGTGCGAAACGCTTGGTTCGGTGTCAGCGCCGGGTTGCCATGGGAAAGCATCGTCGCGCCGGGCGGCACGGTCCAACCCTGCTGATTGCCGCTGAGCGCCATCAGCGGCCCGTCAAAGATGTCGCGACCCGCCGACGTCACGTCCAGCGGGTAGAAGCCCATCGCCATGCGCCCCTCGGGGTTGAAATCGACCGATGCGCCCAGAACATGGGCGATCAGTTGCGAGCCCAGGCAAACGCCGACCAACGGCACCGACTTTGCCATCGCCTGCTCGATCAGGGCGCATTCCGCCGAAAGGTACGGATAGACAGCGAGGTCAGTGACCATTTGCGGGCCGCCCATGATCATCACGCCGGCCTCGTCGCCGGTCAGAACCGGCAGCGTCTCGCCACGCCATGGCTCGACCACGCGCACATCGTGACCGTGGGCGATCAGGTGCCGCCGCCCCGCATCAGGCTCCGCCACGGCCCAGTGCTCGATCACATAGAGAGGTTTTGCAGGCAAGCGAACAGTTCCATCATTGGCTGAACGCTGCGTTGCAGCCAAGCGGCGCTTTCGTCAACGGGATTCGGTTGACGGCCACCTCATCGCCGATGCCTCAACGGGACAGGTTCTGTGCCAGCCAGCTGTGCCAGCCCTCTTCGGTGCCGTTGAAGACGTTCAGATCGATCTGCGTTTCGACGCCGCGGCGCGCCGTGCCGGTTCCCGAATATTGCCAGAAGGCAAAGCCCCGGTTCGGATAACGTTCGCGGGGATGGGCGGCGACCGAGCGCAGCCAGAACGCATGGTCCTTGAACTGACCGCGCAGATTGTCCTCGTAGAAGTCGGGCGTCGTGTAGATGATCGGCTTCTGCCCGTAATGGGCTTCGATGCGTTCGGAGAAGACCCGCATCTTGGCGAGCACGGTCGAGCGCGGGGGCTTGCGCGGACAGGAGCGCTTGTTGCCGTACCATTCCACATCGAGAACCGGCGGCAGCGCACCGGGCTGTTTGGGCACATGGCGGATGAACCAGTCGGCCTGTTCGGCAGCCGAGCGGCACCAGAAAAAGAAATGGTAGGCGCCGGTCGGAATGCCGGCGGCGCGGGCCGCGTCCCAGTTGCGGCGGAACAGCCGGTCGACATGCTTGCCGCCCTCCGTCGCCTTGATGAAGGCGAAGTTGGCGCCCTGGGTGCGCAGGGCCGGCCAGTCGATCTCCTGCTGCCAGTGCGAGACATCGACGCCATGAACAGCGAATTTGTCGGGCGAGGCGCGGCCGAAATTGACCGGCTTGGCATCGCCGAACCGGGGCGCATATATGCGGCGCCGGTTTTCCGGACGTGCGGCGGGTCCGGCCGGGTTTTCGGGACGCGCAAGCGCCACGTCGACCGGTGCAGGCGTCACGCGCGCTTCATCAGCCGCCTCGAAGGCCGGTTCGGAGACCGCAACCGCCGACGGTGCCAAGGCGGTGGCGGACGGGACCGTTGCGCCAGGGACCGGCGCGCGCGGCGTGATCGAACTCGTCACTTCGCCCGAGGGGCCGGCAAGCTCCAGCGCATCGACGCCCGAGGAGGCCGAACAGCCGGACAGGACCAGAGCGGACAGCACACAAAGACCAGCCGCGACGACAAGACCACGCATGAATGAACACCGGGGTTCGAGGAAAACGACAGCGCGCGCGGCGCGCCGGCCCGCGACGTTAACGGTCAATTACTGCGAAAGAGAAAATTGGATTGGTTAACGGCAGGGGCGCCGCCGAAACTTCCATAGCGACGCCTTATTCGGCGGCGATGCGCGGCATCGGCACCTGGGTCAGCATAGCGCGCAGCGCGGCCGGCTTGAGCGGCTTGTTGAGCAGGTGGACATTGGCGGCCGACGCCTGTTCGCGCAGTTCGCCGGACCGGTCGGCGGTGATCAGGACGGCGGTGATCGCATCGCCATAGCGCGCGCGCATGTCGGCGATCACCTCCATGCCGGTGCCGTCATCGAGATGATAGTCGGCGATGATGACATGCGGGTCGGCGCCATGATCGTTCAGGGCTCTGGCCAGCATGTCGCGGCGCGGTGCGGCGATCACCGTCGCGCCCCAGCCCGTCAGCAGCACGCTCATGCCCGACAGGATGGTTTCCTCATTGTCGATGCAGGCGATCGTCAGGCCGGTCAACAGCGCGCGACGGGCCTGCGCCGGCGCGGGTTTCGCCGTTACCGCAGGCGCGGCGGCATCGACGACCGGGACCGGGACCTTGAAGGCCGTGCCCGCGCCAGGGATCGATTCCAGCGTCACCTCGAGGCTCAACACGCGCGAGATACGGTCGACGATCGACAGGCCGAGCCCCAGCCCGCTGGCGATGCGCGCACCGTCCGACAGGCGCTGGAACTCCTCGAACACCCGCGTCGCCTTGTCTGGCGCAATGCCGATGCCGGTGTCGTAGACACAGATGACCGCGTCATGGCTGCGCCGGCGCACGCCGATCAAGACGCGGCCCTCATGGGTGTATTTGATCGCGTTGGAGACCAGGTTCTGCAACAGCCGGCGCAGCAGGTTGCGATCGGTCTCGATGATGGCGCCGGTGCGCACCACCGTCAGCTCCAGCCCCTTTTCCTTGGCCATCAGCGCGAAGTCCGACTGCACCTGCTGGAGCAGGTCGGCGACCGGGAACCGCGTCGGATTGGGCGTCAGCGCGCCCGCATCAAGCCGCGAAATGTCGAGAACCGCGCCGATAATGTGCTCGACCGATTCCAGCGCCGTGTCGATCTTGTGGGCGATCTCGCGGTTGGTGCTGTCGCCCTGCCCGCCCATCCGTTCGACCAGCGACGAGGTGTAGAGCCGGGCCGCGTTCAGCGGCTGGGAGATGTCGTGTCCGGCGGCGGCAAGGAACCGCGTCTTGCCGATATTGGCTTCTTCGGCGCTGCGCTGGGCGACTGCCAGTTCCTCGTTGACGCGGGTCAGTTCGGCGGTGCGCGCCCGCACCCGCATTTCCAGGCTTTCCTTGGTGCGTTTGAGCGCCTCGTCCGCCTCCACCCGGCCGGTGATGTCGGTATAGGTGATCACCAGCCCGCCATCGGGCATCGGGTTGGAGCGGATTTCGAGAATGCGGCCGCTGCGCGCCAGCGCCAGCTGCCAGGCCCTGCGGAACCGGGTGACGTTCTCGACCACCTCGCGTTCGGTCTCGGCATCGATCTGACCGGCCTCGACCAGCATGCCGGTGATCGACTTGAGCGGCATGCCGAAATTGCCCATTTCGGGCGGCAGTCCGAGCAGCCTGCGGAACTGGCCGTTCCAGTTGGTCAGCCGGTACTCGTTGTTGAACACCGATATGCCCTGATCCATCTGGTCCAGCGCCTTGTGCAGAAGGTCGCGGTTCTGCTGGAGCGCTTCGGACGCATCATCGAGAAGCCGCACGGTCTCGCGCGACGACGCGCCGTCCTTTTCGAACAGCAGCGACAGGACGAGCCGTGCCGACGAGGAGCCGATGGCGCTCGCCAGCACCTGTTCGGCATAGCGGACGACCGATATGTCGGTCGTGTCCGATCCGACCAGCTTTCGCCCCTCGCGCAGTTCGAACGCCTCGAAGGCGCGCTCCATGCGCGCGGTGCTGACATAGCGGGCGATCGACTCCTTCAGTTCGTCGATCGTCGTCGTCGTACGGAACCGCTTGAGCCCGATCGACTGCTGCGCCTCGCGTGGCACGAAGGTGACCGCCTGGATGCGTTCGAGCGGCGTCGGCGTGCGCGACAGCGAGCCGCCGACCAGAAGCGCGATGTTCACCGCCAGCGACCAGAACACGCCATGCACGAGCGGTTCGAACTGGACGCCGAACAATTGGCTCGGCCGAAGCATGGCGATGCCGAACAGGCCTTCGCGCACGATCGCCGCGTCGGCCCCGGCAAGATTGGGCACCAGCAGCGTGTAGGCCCAGACCAGAAAACCGCCGAGCATGCCAAGGAACGCGCCGCGCGCATTGGCGCCCCGCCAGATCAGGCCGATCAGGAAGGCCGGCGCGAACTGGGCGATGGCGGCGAAAGACAAAAGGCCGATCGAGGCGAGTTGGGCGGTGTGGTCGGTCTGCCGGTAATAGGCGAAGGCGGCCAGGATGATCAGCGCCATGGCGATGCGGCGGATGTTCAGGATGATGCGCGACCAGTCGCCCGCCGCCGTGCGCGCGGCCGCGTTGAAGCGCCACAACAGGGCCGGCAGCACAAGATCGTTGGAGACCATGATGGCCAGCGCGACCGAGGCAACGATCACCATGGCCGTGGCCGCCGAAAGCCCGCCGATAAAGGTGATCAGCGCCAGCCAGTCCTGATCGGCGGCGAGCGGAAGCGCCAGAAGATACATGTCGGCGGGCACGTCGGGCTCCAGATTGATCAGACCCGAAACGGCAATCGGCATGACCAGCAGGTTGATGGCGATCAGATAGGCAGGGAACAGCCAGAGGGCACGGCGAAGCTCGACATCGGACCGGTGTTCGACGACCGTCACGTGGAACTGGCGCGGCAGCATGAGGATCGCGCAAGCGCTCAAAAGCGTCATCACCAGCCATGTTTCGCCGGATGTGCCGTTCGAGAGGGAACGCGCGACGGCAGCATTGTCGCCAAACGCCTCGCGCACCGGGCCGAACCCGCCGAACAGGAAGAACAGGATCACCAGCCCGACGCCGACAAAGACAAGCAGCTTGACGATCGATTCAACGGCAATCGCCGTGATCAGCCCGTCCTGGTGCTCGGTGGCATCGGCATGGCGCGTGCCGAACAGGATGGAAAAAGCCAGCAGCGAGATGGCGACCACCAGCGAGACGTCGATCGGCAGGGTCGACGGCGCGCCGATCGAGCCGTCATAATGGCTGACCATCAGCGTGACCGCGTCGCTGACCGCCTTCAGTTGCAGAGCGATGTAGGGGACCGTGCCGATCACCGCGATGCAGGCGGCGAGCGCTGCCACATGCATCGATTTGCCGTAGCGCGCGCCCAGAAAGTCGGCGATCGAGGTAATCCGCTCGGATTTGGACAGATGGACGACCCGCCGGACCAGCCGGTAGCCCAGCGTGAACACGAGGATCGGTCCCAGGTAGATGGCGAAGAACTCAAAGCCGTTGTTTGCGGCGAGGCCGATGGATCCGAAAAACGTCCAGGACGTGCAGTAGACGGCGAGGCTGAACCCGTAGATGAGCGGCCGCGGGCTGCCGACCGGGAGCGCGCGCGCGCGGCGGTCGCCATAGGCGGCAACGGCAAACAAAGTGGCCAGATATCCGAACGCCGCAAGCGCGACCAGCCAGCCCGGCATGCGATACTCCCCGCTTGCGGCATTCAAGCAGAGCCGACCCGGCTTGTCTAACAGGCGGCCGCAACGGTCGGACGATAATGCGTTTCACAATCGGACGCCATGGTGTATGGACCCGCCGGCGCGGGACGGCACTGGTCCGCCGACGCGCACGTTCGAGCAGACCAAAAAAAGGGGGCGCACATGCTCAAGGAATTTCAGGAGTTCATTGCCAAGGGCAATGTCATGGATCTCGCCGTCGGCGTGATCATCGGTGCCGCGTTCGGCGCAATCGTCACGTCGCTGACCGGCGACGTCATCATGCCGATCGTCGGCGCGATTTTCGGCGGGCTGGATTTCTCCAACTACTTCGTCGCGCTCGCGCCGGAAGTAACAGCCACATCGCTGGAGGCCGCCAAGGAACAGGGCGCCGTGCTCGCCTATGGCGCCTTCATCACGGCGGTGATCAATTTCGTCATCCTGGCCTTCATCATCTTCCTGATGGTGCGCGCCGTGAACAAGATGAAACGCTCGCAGGAAGAAGAAGCCGAAGCGGCACCGCCCGCGCCGGCCGAGGACGTCGTCCTGCTGACCGAGATTCGCGACCTTCTCAAGAAGTGACCGGAACGGCATCGTTTGCTGAAAGCCCTGCCCTGCGCGGGGCTTTTTCATGTCGGCTTGCCGCGAATCGCCCGAGCCGGTAGGCAAAATCCATGTCAAAACCCGTCCAGCCGCCCGGCGGCGATGAACCCGGCCGCGAAATCGAGCCCGTCGATCTGAAGTCGGCGCTTGAGGAGCGTTATCTCGCCTATGCGCTGTCGACGATCATGCACCGGGCCCTGCCCGATGCGCGCGACGGCATGAAGCCGGTCCACCGGCGCATCCTCTACGTGATGCGGCTTTTGAAGCTCGATCCGCAGAGCGCCTATCGCAAGTGCGCCAAGATCGTCGGCGATGTGATGGGCAACTTCCATCCGCATGGCGACCAGGCCATCTATGACGCGCTGGTGCGGCTCGCCCAGGACTTCTCGGTGCGCTACCCGCTGGTCGACGGCCAAGGCAATTTCGGCAATATCGACGGGGACAACGCCGCCGCCTACCGCTACACCGAAGCGCGGATGACGGAGGTCGGCACGCTGCTGCTGGACGGTATCACCGAGGACTCCGTCGATTTCCGTCCCAACTACAATGAGGAAGACGAGGAACCGGTCGTCCTGCCGGGCGCGTTCCCGAACCTTCTGGCCAACGGCTCGTCGGGCATCGCGGTCGGCATGGCGACGGCCATTCCGCCGCACAATGCCGCCGAACTGTGCGAGGCGGCGCTGCACCTGATCAAGTTCCCCAACGCGACGATCGAAAAGCTGGTCGAGTTCGTGCCGGGGCCCGACCTTCCGACCGGCGGCATCATCGTCGAGCCGCGCGACCAGATCCTGGAAGCCTACAGGACCGGGCGCGGGGGCTTTCGGGTGCGCGCACGCTGGCACAAGGAGGAGACCGGGCGCGGCGGCTACCGCATCATCGTCACCGAGATCCCCTACCAGGTCCAGAAGTCGAAGCTGATCGAGAAGATCGCCGAACTGCTGATCGCCCGGAAGGTGCCGCTGCTCGACGATGTGCGCGACGAGAGCGCCGAAGACGTGCGCATCGTGCTCGAACCGAAATCGCGCGCGGTCGATCCGGACCTTTTGATGGAATCGCTGTTCAAGCTGACCGATCTGGAAAGCCGTCAGCCGCTGAATATGAACGTCCTGTCGGGCGGCATCGTGCCCAAGGTGATGAACTTGCGCGACGTGCTGCGCGAATGGCTCGATCACCGGCGCGATGTGCTCATCCGTCGCTCCAGGCACAGGCTGGCCAACATCGAAAAGCGGCTGGAAGTGCTGTCGGGTTTCCTCATCGCCTATCTGAACCTTGACGAGGTGATCCGCATTGTCCGCTTCGAGGACGAGCCGAAGAAGGAACTGATCAAGACGTTCGAGCTGACCGAGGTACAGGCGGACGCGATCCTCAATCTGCGCCTGCGGGCCCTCAACAAGCTCGAGGAGGTCGAGATCCGCAAGGAGTTCGACCAGTTGACCGAGGAAAAGGATCAGATCGAGCGGCTGCTCGCGTCCGAGGACGCCCAGTGGAAGACCGTCGGCTGGGAGATCGGCAAAGTGCGCGACCGGTTCGGCAAGGACACCGAACTGGGGGCGCGCCGGACGGACTTCAGCGAGGCGCAGGAGATCGATCTGCAAGCGGTCCAGCAGGCGATGATCGAAAAGGAACCGGTCACCGTCGTCGTCTCGGACAAGGGCTGGCTGCGGGCGATGAAAGGTCACCTTTCCGACTATGACGGGCTGACCTTCAAGGAAGGCGACCAGCTCAGAACCGCCTTTCCCGCGCACACGACCGACAAGCTGCTGGTCTTCACGACGACCGGCAAGTTCTACACGATCGGCGTCGACAAATTGCCCGGCGGTCGCGGCCATGGCGAACCGATCCGGCTGATGGTCGACATGGACAATGATGCGGACATCGCGACCGCTTTCGTGCACAGGCCGGGGCGCAAATTGCTGGTCGCCTCATCGGCGGGCAACGGTTTCATCGTCGGCGAGAGCGAGGTTTCGGCCAACACCCGCAAGGGCAAGCAGGTCATGAACGTCAAGATGCCGGACGAGGCGGTGCTGTGTCGCTTCGTCGAGGCCGGCGACGGCGCAACGCCGGACCATGTGGCCGTCGTCGGCGAAAACCGCAAGCTTCTGGTCTTCCCGCTCGACCAGGTGCCCGAGATGGGCCGCGGCAAGGGTGTCCGCCTGCAGCGCTACAAGGATGGCGGCATAAAGGACGCCAAGGTGTTCGCCATCGAAGACGGCCTGACCTGGCAGGACAGTTCCGGCCGCACCTTCACGCGGACAAAGGAAGAGCTGTCCGAGTGGATGGGCGTGCGCGCCGGCGCCGGGCGCATGGTGCCCAAGGGCTTTCCGCGCACGGGCACGTTCGGCTGAACCATGCCTTCCCGCTGAAGCCGGTCAGGCCGGTGCGGCACCGCCTTCGTCGCCGCGCAGCATGTCGCTGCCGATCTTCGACAGGCGGATCACGGCCTGCGTGCGGCTGTCGACATTGAGCTTTTGCAGAACCGCGGACACATGCGCCTTGATGGTCGCTTCGGAGACGCCGAGCTCATAGGCGATCTGCTTGTTGAGCAGTCCCTCGGCCAGCATGCCGAGCACGCGCGCCTGTTGCGGCGTAAGCGTTCGGATGCGGCCGATCAGGTCCTCGACCTCGGGATCGTGTTCGCTGCCAAGGTCGATGCCTTCCGGCATCGCGACCCCGCCGTCGATAACGGTCTGGACGCTGGACCGGATGGCCTCTGTGGTGGCCGATTTGGAGATGAAGCCCGAGGCGCCAAGATCGAGCGCGCGGCGTACGGTAGAGGGATCGTCACTCGCCGACACGACAACGACCGGCACTGCCGGATAAGAAGCGCGCACCGCGACCAGAGCCGAGAGCCCGCTGGCGCCGGGCATCGTCAGGTCGAGCAGCAGAAGATCGAGATCGGTCTCCCGGTCCAGGACGGCGATTGCCTCGTTGAAATCACCCGCCTCGATCATCTCGGTGGTTGCCGGGCCGCCATTGATATGGCCCATCAGCGCCGATTTGATCGCATCTCGGAACAATGGATGGTCGTCCGCTATGCAAATTTTCGTTGTCATTACCGCCCTCCCCGAACGACTGCCGCGTTCGTCCAAGGGTCCATGTTCTGACTCGCGCGACAAACGCCGCGTCAATTAGACGTATGGACGGTGCCGCCGTCAAGTCGGCCCGTCAGGGCGCGCGGACGAGCCGGCGGTACAGTTCGGGGAGCCGGACGACGAACCAGATGACGGCCCACACATTGCCCAGAAACGGCAGGGGAACGATCCACAGCACCGCGCGGAAACCCCGCTCGAAGCCGGCGATCACGACCGCCGTCAGGACGAAACCGAGATAGAGATCGGCGAGCGTGACCAGCCCCCATGGATCGGCGGCGATCGCATCGAACGACGCCCAGAAATCGGCGGCGAAAGACGCCCAGACGATCAGTCCGAAAAAGCCGATGCCGAGCCCGGCAATCATCACCCGCAACACACCCATGATCGATCTCCCGATGGCCCGGGCCGCCGGCGGCGCACCCTTCTTGGGATAGCTAGGCGGCGGCCCGCCAAATCAATGGAGCCTCCGGCTGTGCGGATCGAATTTGCCGATCGTTCGCCGGCCAAGACATGCCCTGCGCAAGCAAAGATCAAGGGACATCAAAGAGTTAGCGTCCGCTTACGCTGCGGTACCGGCGCCTGGGCGGCTGCTGCGCGGCGAGCGTCGAAATCCCTTTAATTGTCCAGCAGGCGGGCCACCTTGTTGCAATAGCGCTGGGAGACCGGATTCATCCGCCGCGCCGCATGACCGGCATTGTAGCGCAGGATCGTGCCGCAGGTGGAGCCGCCGGCAAGGTCGTGCGCGCCGCCGAGATATTTCATGCCGTAGCGGATATTGGTTTCGGGGTCATAGAGCCCCTTGGCCGAACCGGTGTAGCCGAGCATGCGCGCCGTGCCGAGGCGGATTTGCATCAGGCCGATCTCGCCGGCCGCGCCGCGCGCGTTCGGTCGGTAGCTGCTTTCCGAATAGACCACCGCATGGGCCAGATCGACGGGCACGTCGTTGGCCGCCGCATGCGTGGCGATCAGCGCGGCGAAGGGGCGATCGTCAGCCACGGCCGCGGTGACCGGATTGTCTGCGCGCAGCGCCAGCGTGGTCGTCCCGGGCGTCTCGATCGAGGCTGTGCCGGCGGCGCCTTCATCGCCGCTCCCAGATCCGTCGAGCACCGTCGTTGTCTGGCACCCCGAAACGAGCGCGAGCGTCACCATCAGGCCAAAAAGGCCCACGATCTTTGCATTCATGGAAAAAATCCCGTCTATTTCTGTTTGACGGGCGACAGACTTGGCGAATGCGGCACTTGTGCGCCGCAGCAATTCAATCTGCGCGACAGGCGGTAACAATCCGCGCGCCGATGTCCGTCAAGAGAATGACGGATAGAGTCGCAAGAGGCGGTTCAGCGTCTCGATGGTCGACATGTCGGCAATGCCATCGACCTGTGCCGGGCGGTGCCGGCGCTGGAACGCCTCGACCTGGATGCGTGTCGCCTCGCCGAAGACGCCGTCGGCGTTTGCATCAAAGCCGTAGAGCGCCAGCATGGACTGCAGCGCCGCGACAGGCTCACCCGTGTCTCCGGGAGCCAGAAAGCGGCCGCCGCCGACCGGTACCGGCTCGACATGGAGTGCAACGCCGCGCTCGGCCAAGCCATTCCAGGGAAACCGTTCGCCAGGATCGCGCTTGCGGCCCGGCGCCACATCGGAATGGGCGACCACCACATCCCTGCCCATGCCATGGCGTGCCATGATATCTTGGGTCAGCGCGATCACCGCTGCGATCTGAACGCCGGGAAAATCGGGCAGGCCGAAATCGTGGCCGCCATTGACGATCTCGATGCCGACCGATGCCGAATTGACATCGGTGGTGCCCTTCCAGAACGAGCGGCCGGCGTGCCAGGCGCGATCCTGCTCGCGGACCATCTGCACGATGCGGCCATCCTCATGCACGAGGTAGTGGCTGGACACCTCGCTTTCGGGCGCGCACAGCCAGTTCTCCGCCGCCTCGCCGGTTGCCATGCCGGTATAGTGCAGGACGATCAGCGAGGGCCCCGCACGGCCCCGGCGCTCGCCGAAACTGGGCGACGGGCGTACGATGGCACCGGGATGGTCAGGCGCAAACGTCGTCGGCTCCGCGTCCCCGCTCATGCCCGCTTCAACTCCGGTTCGACGACATCCCAGGCCGCATTGATCGCCGCGACGCGCTCATGGGCGATGGCGTGGAACTCGGCCGGCACACCGCGCGCGGCCATCGTGTCGGGATGATTGTCGCGGACCAGTTCGCGATAGCGTTGCCGCGCCTCGTCGAACGGCGTGCCGGGCGCGATGCCCAGAACCCGCCAGGGGTCTGCGTCGCCCGCATCGACATGGCGGGCGCGGATGCGGTCGAACTCGGCGTCGGAAATCGCAAAGATGGCCGCCACGTCGGCAAGGAACTCGAGCTCTTTTTGGTGGATGACGCCATCGGCCTTGGCGATGTGGAACAGGCCGTCGAGAATGTCGCGCAACATCGGGCAATCGGGCTGGCCCGATCCGCACAGGCCGGCCAGTTGGGCGGCATAGCTCTGGTAGCCCGCAACATCCTGCTTGGCGAGATTGTAGAGGCTGGCGACGCGCTTTGCCTCCTCGTCGGGGATCTCGAAGATCTCCCGGAATGCGTCGACCTCCGAGGTGGTGACGACACCGTCGGCCTTGGCCATCTTGGCCGACAGCGCGATCATCGCGACCGAGAACGCAACGCGGGCGCGGGTTTCCGGATCGCCCTCGAAGACGGTGCGCACCTGCTCCACCAGCGCGCCGAGCGCCTGGCCCGCCGTGCCGGAGACGAAGTCGGAGATGCGCACCCAGATCGACATGCCGCCTGATAGTCCAATGGCCGCGCAAATGTAAGGGCGTTGCGCCCCTTCCGGTGTCGTGACACAAGGCCGGCTGGTCTTTGCCCAGGCGGTTTGTCACAGCGATGAGTCAGGACAGAAACGTGCCGCTTGGCTTTGCGCTCGGTCTGGTGGGCATTGTCATCTTCGGCGCGACACTTCCGGCCACCGTCTTTGCGCTCGAAGTCTATGGCCCGCTGTTCATCGCCTCGGCGCGGGCGGTGGTCGCAGGCGTCCTTTCCCTCATCGTTCTGCTTTCCCACGGACGTACGCGGCTCTTCCGGCCGAGTTGGCGCCTGCTCCTGGCCGGCGCGATGGTCACGTTCGGCTTCCCCGCCTTTTCATCGCTCGGCATGGTCAGCGTACCGGCCAGCGATGGCGGCGTGGTTCTGGGCATCCTGCCGCTTGCAACTGCCATGTTCGCAGCGCTCCTGACAGCCGAACGGCCCGGCGCCGCGTTCTGGGCGTGGGCCGTTGCGGGTTCGGTCCTGGTCGTCTGGTTCGTCATCGGCCAGGACGGCGGCGCCGTGCGCGACTTTTCCAATCCGGGCTATCTGTGGCTGTTGGCGTCTGCGATCTCGGCGGCGCTCGGCTATGTCGTCATGGCCGAGCTCTCGAAGTCCATGCCCGGCTGGGAGGTGATCTGCCGCGTGCTGATCGCCTGCCTGCCGTTCAATCTGGCGATCTCCTGGTTCCTGTGGGAGCCCGAATACGCCTTCATCGAAACGGTGCCGGCGCTGGCGCTTGGCTATCACGCCGTCTTTTCGATGTTTCTGGGATTTTTCGCCTGGAATGCGGGGCTTGCCCTTGGCGGGATCGCGCGCGTCGGTCAGATCCAGCTCATGCAGATCTTCGTGACCATCGGCCTGTCGGTCTGGCTTCTGGGCGAGACCGTGACGCTGCGCACGCTCATCTTCGCATGCGCGGTTGCGGCGACCGTGTGGTTCGGCCGCCGCGCCCGAATCGGTTAGTTCTGCGCCGCGCGGCTGAGCGCGATGAGCTGACTGCCCGAGGCGTCGTTCAGCGTCATCGTGTCGCCCTCGACCGAATAAGCGCTCGCCGAGCCCAGCGCCGCAAGGAACGCAGTCTCCGCCGTCATGATCTCGGCCTCGCATGCTTTCCTGGTCGATGCCAGCGGGCCGACCGTCAGGGCGCCGTCCTCGCCGGTCTCATAGCTGCCGGTGAAGGTGTTGCAGCCGCCATTGCCGGAGACGGTGCCGGCATCGAAGGCGACGAACGCCGTGTCGCTGTCGGGCGATACCCAGCGCGTGCCGGCGAGCGGACCGGCCAGACCGGCCGCCGCCAGAGCATTTTGTGCGGTGTCCGCAATGCCTTCCAGCGCTTCGCCAGCCCCTTCGGCGGCATTTTCGAGCATTTGGCCCGCGCCTTCGGCTGTCTCGTTTGCTGCGTCGGCGAGATTGCCGGCGGCGTCGCGGAGCGCGTCACCGGCTTCGCCGGCCATGGCGCCCGCATCTTCGGCTGCCTGCTGAACCGCTTCGCCGGCATCGTCGGCCATTTGCTCGGCCGTGTCGGCGGCATCTTCAGCGGCCTGCGTGGCGTCGTCCGCCAGCCGCGATGCCGTCTCGCTTGCGGATTGGGCCGCCTCGGACGCCGCATCTGCGGCATTCTGCGCGGTTTCCGCAACGGCTTCACCCGTTGCTTCTGCTGCTTCCCGGGTTTCGTTGGCCGCCTGCTCGACGGCGGTTTCGGCGGACGCGCGAGCCGCTTCCTCGTCTTCGCCGCAGGCGGCAAGCGCCAGAAGCGCCAGCACGCTGACCGATGAAATGAGTGCCTTCTTCATGGGATGTCATCCTCTTTTGGACCAGTCATCCGGCAGCAACGCGCCGGGCCGCGATGTGGTTGCGGCCAACTGTGTTCAAAAAATGTGCACTGCAAAACGAGCGGCTGTCGACGACGGAACCCGGACCATCCGCCGGTTGCCGCTGACGACGATTTCCGCCAAGACTGGACGCGAAACGGAGGACCAAGAATGTCTGGGCAGTGGGATTTCTGGATCGATCGCGGCGGCACCTTCACCGATGTGATCGGCCGTGATCCGGGCGGCGCGCTGCATGCCCACAAGCTTCTTTCGGAAAATCCCGAAGCCTATCTCGATGCTGCCGTGCAGGGCATTCGTGATCTCTTGAACCTTGAGCCCGGCGCACCGCTGCCGCCCGGCCTGGTGCGCACGGTGCGGATGGGCACGACGGTCGCCACCAACGCGCTGCTCGAGCGCAAGGGCGACCGGACGCTGTTGCTGATCACCAAGGGTTTCGGCGACGCGCTGCGCATCGCCTACCAGGCGCGGCCGGATATCTTCGCCAAAAAGATCGTGCTGCCCGAGCAGCTCTACGAGAACGTCATCGAAGTGCCCGAACGGGTGCTGGCCGACGGCACGGTCGAGCATGCGCTCGATCCCGAATGGCTGCGGCCGGGGCTGACGGCGGCTCGCGAAGCGGGCATCGATGCCGTCGCCATCGCGTTCATGCATGCCTGGGCGTTTCCGGCGCACGAGCAGGCGGCGGCCGATCTCGCCCGCCAGACGGGCTTTGCGCAGATCTCGGTCAGCCATGAGGTCTCGCCGCTCGCCAAGCTGGTCGGACGCGGCGACACGACCGTCGTGGACGCCTATCTGTCGCCGATCCTGCGCCGCTACGTGGATCAGGTGGCCGGGGAGCTGGGGATCGACGCCGACAAGGCCGAAACCCGCCTGCAGTTCATGATGTCATCGGGCGGGCTGACGGCGGCAGAAACCTTCCAGGGCAAGGATGCGATCCTGTCCGGACCCGCCGGCGGCGTGGTCGGCATGGTCGAGACGGCGCGCGCCGAGGGCTTCGGCAAGGTGATCGGATTCGACATGGGCGGCACGTCGACCGATGTCGCGCATTTCGCCGCCGATTATGAACGCGCGTTCGAAACCGAGGTGGCGGGCGTGCGCATCCGCGCGCCGATGATGGACATCCATACGGTGGCTGCCGGCGGCGGCTCGATCCTAAAATATGAGGATGGGCGGTTTCAGGCCGGGCCGGACAGCGCCGGCGCCAATCCCGGCCCCGCCTGCTACCGCCGCGGCGGCCCGCTGACGGTGACCGACGCCAATGTGATGACCGGCAAGCTCGACCCTGCCTTCTTTCCGGCGATCTTCGGGCCGGGCCGGGACGAGCCGCTGGACGCCGACATCGTGTGCGACAAGTTCGCCGCGCTGGCCGACCTGATCGGCGACGGACGAGCGCCCGAGGAAGTGGCCGAAGGGTTCCTGACGATCGCGGTCGAAAACATGGCCAATGCGATCAAGAAGATCTCCGTGCAGCGCGGCTATGACGTGACCGAATATGCGCTTAACTGCTTCGGCGGCGCCGGCGGGCAGCATGCATGTCTTGTCGCCGATGCGCTGGGCATGGACGCGGTGCTGATCCATCCGCTGTCGGGTTTGCTGTCGGCCTATGGCATCGGCCTGTCGAAGACATCCGCGTCCCGCCAGCATGCACTTGTCAAACCGCTCGAAGAAGCGACGAAACCGGAAATCGAGACTCTTTTGAATCGGTTGGCCACCGAGGTTGAGGGAGAACTCGAATCCCAGGGCGTCGCCCGTGCGGCGATCGCGACCCGTGCGACGTTGCACATCCGCTATGACGGAACCGACACGAGCCTTGAAGTGCCCTATGACGGCACTGATATCGCCGCGGCCCGCGCGGCGTTCGAGTCCGCGCACAAGGCGCAATTCGGCTTCATCAGCCCGGGGCGGGCGATGGTGGTCGAGGCCGTGGGTCTTGAGGGTGAGGATTCGACCGACAACACACCGCCGCTGGATGCGCACGATGCAACCGAGCACCGGCCCGGACCGGCGCAGCAGGGCCGCATGTTCACCGGCGGCGCATGGCGCGAGGCGGGTGTCTACCGGCGCGACAGGGACGGCGCCGGCCCGGGCGCGCGGATCGCCGGGCCCGCGGTGATCGTCGAAGCCAACCAGACGATCATCGTCGAACCGGGCTGGGAAGCGCAGGTGACGGAACGCGACACGGTGGTGATGCGCCGCGTGGAGGCGCGGACGACGGCCGCCCCGGTCGGCACGGACGCCGATCCGGTAATGCTGGAAGTGTTCAACAACCTGTTCATGTCGATCGCCGAACAGATGGGCGTGACGCTGCAGAACACGGCATCGTCGGTCAACATAAAGGAGCGGCTCGACTTCTCCTGCGCGGTGTTCGACGCCTCGGGCGCCCTGGTCGCCAATGCGCCGCATATGCCTGTTCACCTCGGTTCGATGGACCGCTCGGTGGAATCGATCATCCGCCAGAACCCCGACATGCGGCCCGGCGACGTTTATGCGCTCAACGCGCCCTATAATGGCGGGACTCACCTGCCGGACATCACCGTCGTGACGCCGGTGTTCGATGATGCCGGCAAAGACATCCTGTTCTTCGTCGCCTCGCGCGGACACCATGCCGATGTCGGCGGAATGGCGCCGGGGTCGGCGACGCCGCGCGCCACCCATGTCGACGAAGAAGGCGTCCTGATCGATAATTTCAAGCTGGTCGACCGGGGAACGCTGCGCGAGAACGCGTTCATCGATCTGATGACCGACCATGCCTGGCCGGCGCGCAATCCGCAGCAGAACCTTGCCGACATCGTCGCCCAGGTGGCGGCCAACGAAAAGGGTGTCGCCGAACTGCGCCGGATGGTGGACCATTTCACGCTGCCGGTCGTTCAGGCCTATATGAAGCACGTGCAGGACAATGCCGAAGAGAGCGTGCGGCGGGTGATCGACAGGCTCGCCGATTGCGAGGCGACCTATCCGACCGACACCGGCCAGCAGATCGGGGTGCGGATTTCTGTCGACCACGACAAGCGGGAAGCAACCGTCGACTTCACCGGCACGTCGGCGATGGCGAAAAACAACTATAACGCGCCCGAACCGGTGGCGCGGGCGGCGGTGCTGTATGTGTTCCGGCTGATGGTTGAGGCAGGCATTCCCATGAATGCGGGCTGTTTGAAGCCGATCCGGATCGTGATCCCCGACGGGTCGATGCTGAAGCCGGTCTATCCGGCCGCGGTCGTTGCCGGCAATACGGAGACCAGCCAGCATGTCACCAACTGTCTCTTGCAGGCGCTCGGCGCGCTCGCCAACGCGCAGGGCACGATGAACAATCTGACCTATGGCAATGCGCGTCACCAGAATTACGAGACGATCAGTTCGGGCGCGCCGGCCGGCGTGATGAATGACGGCCATGCCTTCGCCGGCGCCTCGGGCGTTCACACGCACATGACCAACACGCGGATGACGGACCCGGAGATTCTCGAAATGCGCTATCCGATCGTCGTCGAGGAGTTCTCGATCCGGCCCGGCTCGGGCGGCAAAGGCGCCTGGCGCGGCGGCGACGGCACACGGCGCGTGTTGCGCTTTCTCGAGGAAATGGAATGCGCCATTGTCTCGTCACACCGGACGGTGCCGCCCAAGGGGCTGGACGGCGGCGGCGACGGGCAGCTGGGCAAGACCGAGATCAGACGCTTGGACGGCACGCTCGAAGAACTCAAGCATGCCGACCAGACATCGGTTTCGGCGGGCGAAGCGGTGATCGTGACGACACCGACGCCAGGCGGTTACGGGGCGGCATGACCCGCCCCGTGAGCGTCAAGACTGACGGTCGCCGAACCACATGCGGCGGAAAAGGCCGTCCTTCCTGATCCATTGGTGCCAGGCGAAGGCAGCGATGTGCAGGACGATCAGCGCCAGCAGAAGATTGCCGATGATAGCGTGCGCATAGCGCGGCGGATAAGCCCAGAAATCGGCTGGCAGCGGATCGCCCGATCCGCCGAAGACGATCGGCGGCAGGCCGGCCAGAACCGAAATACCGATTCCGGAGCCGGCCATCAGGATCACGAAAAGATAGAAGGCCCAATGGGTCCAGACGCCGGCCTTGTCGAGCATCGGGTTGCCGGTGGCGGCGTGGGCGGGTTTGCTGGTGCGCAGCCGGACGAACAGACGAACCAGCATCAGAAGCAGGATCAGGATACCGATCGACATGTGCGCCCGCAGCATGAAGATCTTGTCGGGATCGGAGTTGGGCGTTTCGGCAAGCAGAACGCCCCCGGCGAACAAGGCGACGCCGATCATCAGCGCCAGCAGCCAGTGCAGGGTGACCAAAAAGGGATGATAGCGTGTCGGTTGGGTCGGTGCGGACATGGCAATGGCCTCCGGTCTTTGGTTGGCGTTATTGTGCGGATACGTCAATGTCGGGCCGGATCGCCGCGCGCATGACGAGATTGACGCTGTAGCCGATCAGATATTCGTCCTGATCGAGCACCGAATCGTCATCGATGTCGGCGCGGCGAAAATCCTGCGACAGCGCGAAGCGATGCTCTGACTGGGTCAACTGGCCATCCCCGTTGCGGTCCCACAGGGCGAACAGAATGCGCCGTGCGGTGAAGATCGCCTCGGGCTTGCCTTCTTCCACCGCAGCCTCTTCGAAGCCGACATCCCAGGCGGAAAACTCCGCGCAGTCCACGCGGTCGTCATTGTCATGGTCCATACCGGCAAAGACGCCTTGGCGGAACTTCTCCATGTCGCCCATGTGGACGTAGCCCTTGGCATCCTCGTCGACCGCGTTGAACGAGGTGACCGCCACATCACGACCGGGCGTTCCATCCGCGGCCAGGGCCGGCATGGCCGCGCCGAGCAGTGAAACGGCGATGGCAAGCGAAACTGTCTTCATGGGAACTTCCTTTTGGGGGCGGCCCGCGCCGCCGGGCTTAAAGTCACGGACAGTTCTTATCATGCATTTGCAACTGTTGCAATTGCAAATGTTGTGAGTCTGACGCAATCTGAAAGAACCGGAGTATGGATATCTCGATGCGCGCGCGTCTCAGTCGCGAAAACTCGATGGGATGGATGATACAGCGCTTGGCGCGACGGCTTGACGACGCAATGAATGCGCGGCTGGCCGAACACGGGCTCACCCTACAGCAATTCGCAATCCTGATGACCGTCATCGAGCACGGGCGCATGACCCAGGCCGAGATCGGCCGGCGGTTTGCAATGCCGGCCTACGCCATCAGCCGCGCGATCGACGGGCTTGAGGCGGACGGGCTCCTGGTGCGCGACGCCCATCCCTCCTCACGCCGCGCCCACCAGATCCACGCCACCGAAAAGGCGCTGGATATGGCACCGGCGATGTTCGCGATCGTCAAGGCGGTCAATGCCGACCTGACCGCGGGCCTGGCACCCGATGAGGCCAACCGACTGCGTCAATTGCTTGCCGACGCAATGAACGGCGCGACCCTTTGAGCGATCAGATTTGGTGAACGCAAACTGAACGACCGGTTCAGCGGCGGTTCCGCCCGCCTCTCCTAGACATGGTTAACGCCTCGAAAACGAGCGTCGCAAACCAAAGTCAAAGGAGAACGTCCATGTCCCGCAAACTCATCATCGCAGCATCCGTTGCCATCGCTTCGGCCTTCGCCGCTCCCGCCATGGCCAACGACGTCAGCATCGACCAGTTCGGCTTCGGCAATTCCGCCGGCGGCGGCCAGACCGGCTGGAACAACAAACTCGGCGTCTTCCAGGACGGCGTGTTCAACAACACGATCATCGAGCAATTCGGCTCCAACAACACCGCCGCAACCGGCCAAAGCGGCTGGAACAACAATGCCGAAACCAGCCAGAACGGCCATGGCAATGCCGGCGGCATCGGCCAGTTCGGCGACAACCACAACGCCATCCTGACCCAGGACGGCAACGGCAACGTCGCCGCCGGTGTCCAGGTCGGCAACGGGTGCGACGCCGACGTCACCCAGGCCGGCAGCGGCAATGTCGCCGCCTTCGTCCAGACCTGCCCCTAACGGCACGCAAACGCCCATCGCGAGCGCCGGGGGGAGCGGACCGCTTCCTCCGGCCAACCCGCACCACGAAAGGAGAACGACATGACCGACAAACGTCTCACGGCAGCCGCCGGACTTCTGGCGGCAACGCTGGCCACCGGCTGCTCGGCCATAGCCAGCGACACCGACAATGCCAACGCCGACCCCGTGCGCTGCGAAATCCAGGCCGACGACCAGCGCGGCATGGTGCGCCTTCAGGGCGTCATGCATGCCGATACCGACGTGAACGGCACCTACACGTTCACAGTCAAAAGCGTCGGACGCGGCGGCAGCACCAACATCTCGCAGGGCTCGAGCTTTTATGCCGGCCCCAGCGGACCGACCACGCTCGGCATGGTGATGCTGTCGGCCGGCGGCGCCTATGATGTCGAACTCGACGTCAAGGCGGACGGCCAGCGCTACCGCTGCGCCGAACGGATCGGCGGAGTGATCTGACCGACACCCATCTCGCTCCGTAAACAGGAATGCCCCGCCCCATCGGCGGGGCTGTTTTCGTTTACGGCGGGTTAAAGAACTTGGTTAACGCCCGATGAACGGACGGTTCCAGACCGGTTCAGCCGATGGCCTGCAAGGTGGCTTCAACATCGCAAAACCCATCGGAGGACTATCCCATGACCCGCACCCGCCTTACCGCCCTTGCCGCTGCCGCCGCCATCGCCGCAGGCACCCTCGCCCCGCTGGCGCCGGCCCATGCCGGCGGCTCGGTCTCGATCTCGATTGCGCCGGGCTCGGCCGATGCCGAACATGCCATGCGCGCCGGGCTTGGCCTTTTTGCAATCGCCAACGGCATCAAGAACGGCTCGATCACCCAGAACGGCATCGGCAATGCGGCCGGCCTGATCCAGAACGGTTCGGGCAATCTGGGCATCGTCCATCAGGAAGGTAACGGCCATGAAGGCACGCTGACGCAGAACGGCAACGGCAACGCCCATGGCCTGTTCCAGTTCGGCCAAGGCACGAGCGGCCATGTCAGCCAGTCCGGCGGCCAGACCGGCGCGACGTTCCAGTTCGGCTGGTAGGCCCCTCTTCCGCCAACAGCCGCGCCGCCGCCGACCTCACCTCGGCGGCGGTCCTGCCCCTAGGGGTCCAGCGCGCCGATCACCGCCTCGATCAGATAGGCGACCTTGTAGCGCTGATCGGTCGGCGTCAGCCCCAGCCGGACGACGACCAGATCCTCGGACGGAATGACCGACACGGATTGGCCGTCATGGCCGTTCATGAAAAAGCCGTCGCCGGGCAGGTTCGGATTGTCGCCCTCCATCCAGGCATTGGCAGCGCGAAGCCACACCTGCCCGTTTCCATAGACGCCATCGGACGCCGGATGCGCTGTCACCATCCAGTCGACAAAGCCGACCGGCAGCAGCGACCGTCCGTTCCAGACGCCGCGCTGCAGCATGAACTGGCCGAAACGCGCCCAGTCGCGCGCGGTCGCATAGATGTAGGACGAGCCGACGAATGTGCCCGATGCGTCCATTTCCATCACCGCGCTCGTCATGCCGAGCGGGTCGAACAGCGCCGCATAGGGCCAAAAGACCGCTTCGGCCGGATCGTCGAAACTATCCTGCCACAGGCGCGACAGAAGCACGGTGGTGCCGGAGGAATACTCGAAGACATCGCCGACACCTTCGGGCGAATCATCGTCGCGCGGCTGGCCGGCGACGAAGCCGGCCATGTCGCGCTCCAGATAGAGCATGCGCGTGACGTCGGAGACCGATCCGTAGCCTTCGTTCCATTCAAGGTCCGGCGCCATGCCCATCATGTCCCGCAGCGTGATATCGGCGCGGCCGTCACCGTCCCAGCCCTCGAAGCTGGCGGTCTGTTCCAGGTCCAGCCGTCCCTCGCGGATCGCCCGGCCGATCAGCGCGCCGGTCACGGTTTTTGAAGCCGACCAGCCCAGAAGCGGCGTGTCGGGTGCGAACCCGTCCGCATATCGCTCGCCGATGATCGCACCGCCCTTGACGATCACGATCGCCCGCATGCCCGGGCCCGTCAGCGCCGGATCGTTAAGAACGGCATCGAGTGCCTCGTTCACCGGCAATTCCACCTGGCTGCCGGCTGGCCACATCGAACCGGTGGCGAGCGCCGTGCGATTGGGTGCCGGCCGTTCGATCAGGCGATCCACGCCGCCCTCGGGCACCGACGAACAGCCCTGCCCCGGCCGGCGCACCGCCAACCCGCCGCCGATCAGCCCGAACAGGCCGGTGCGCACGGTGCCAGCCTCTTCGTCCACATCGACGCGCATCAGCCTCAGCAGCGGATGGCCGGGCGCCTGCACATCGACGGTCAGCACCTCCTGCGCATCGCGGCCGGCGAGGAAGACGTTCGAACAGACGATCTTGGCCGCATAGTTGGCGCCGACGCGAATGAGGTCGGGCGGCGCGAAAAACAGATAGCCGAACCCTCCGGCCACGAGCACTGCCACAATCAGAACGAGGGCTTTGAGGATACGCATCGGCGTTGCGCCTTCATTTATGGTTAACGGAGGTTTAACGGTGGTGCCTGCAAGGTCAACTGCGGCGCACAGGCTGGATTTCACCCGGCTGGGCGCTATAAACCGTTTTCGGGGCGACAACCAAACGGACGTTTTCATGACGCGACTGGCCGGGCTCATTTGTGCCGCGATCATGGCCGTTGCAGCCGCTGGCTGCACCAAGGTCGACTATTCCGCGCTCACCCAATCGCTTGATTCCACCTATGCGGCGGCGACGCCGCGCTACGGCGACAGCGATCCGGTGCATGAATGGGAAGGCGGCGCGCCGTTCGGCTTTCCGGTGCACGGGATCGATGTCTCCAAATGGCAGGGTGTGATCGACTGGCCCACGGTGCGCCGGGCGGGCATCGAGTTCGCCTTCATCAAGGCGACCGAAGGCGGCGACATGCTCGACGACGCCTTCATGCGCAACTGGCACGATTCGCGCCGGGCGGGCATGCCGCGCAGCGCCTATCATTTCTATTATTTCTGCACGTCAGCCAGGCGGCAGGCGCGCTGGTTCATCCGCAACGTGCCGCGCGAGCGCGGCGCGCTGCCGCATGTGCTCGATGTCGAGTGGAACCACAAGTCGCCGACCTGCCGGCTGCGTCCGCCGGCCGACACGGTGCGCAGCGAGATGACGATCTTCCTCGACATGCTGGAGCGCCATTACGGCAAGCGGCCGATCATCTATACGACCGTCGATTTCCACCGGGACAATCTGGCCGGACACATGGATGAGGAGGTCTTCTGGCTACGCTCTGTCAAGGCGCATCCGCGCGTGACCTATCCAGGCCGCGACTGGGCGTTCTGGCAATATACGGGCACCGGCCTGGTGCCGGGCGTCAATGGCGACACCGACATCAACGTCTTTGCCGGCAATCGCAACCAGTGGCGCGACTGGCTGGACGTGGCAACGCGCTAACCAGCCGATTACAACCGGTCGAAATCGTCCTTGGCGGTGGGCATCAGCATCACCGCCGTCGCCAGATAGGCAAAGCCGAACGTGACGCCGAAGCTCATGAACAAGAGGGCGATGACAACGGGTTTGGCGTCGGAATGCATGAACATGTCGCCAAGGCCGGAAATGTTCATCCACAGAAGGCTTGCGGCGATCGCCCAACCGATCAACACGCCGATGGCAGAATTTATCACCACGAATCTTATCAGTTTGGGCATGGACGGGCCTGCGATTGCCGAGGATCACTGTCTCGAAACTAGACCTGCCACCGGCCCGGTCAATGCGACATCTTTCACGGATGTCCACACGCGGGAACAAAAGTTTTCCCACAGCGGCAGCAGGCGCGCACGCCCAGCAATTTCGGGCAGTTGTGCCAAATGGAGACAGATTTTTCCCGCTTGTCTGTTGCATTGCAGCAACGATTTGTGTTGCGTGGCCCGTCACAGAACCTACACTAAAGGGGTAATACACGAGGGAGGTCCCGATGGATCTGACACGCTCTTTGAACGTCGTACTTGTGTGTGCAGCCTTTGTCTTTGTCGGCGCGCTGGTATTCGGCGTCCTGTAAATCCACACAATCAAAACAACACGGCCGTACGCGCGATGAAACGCGCGTACGGCCCGTAATCGTCAGAGAGTTTGGGCCGCTTATGTCAGGCGGCCATTGCGTTGCGTGCGCCAGCGGCCTCGGCAATCGCCGCGCGCGCGGCAGCGAGGCTTCCATCGGCATTCTGGACGAGGCGGTCGGCGGCGATCACGGTCACATCCGTGATGCCGATGAAACCGAGCACCTGGCGCACATAGGGCGTTGCGAAATCGACGGGGCTGTCGACCGGTACGCCGCCGCTTGCAACGACGACAAAGGCGCGCTTGCCCTCAAGAAGCCCCTGCGGGCCGTTCTCGGAGTAGCGGAAGGTGCGTCCGGCGCGGGCGACCTGGTCGATCCAGGCCTTGAGCGCAGCGGGCACGGAGAAATTGTAGAGCGGTACGCCTATGACGATCGTGTCGGCGGCTTCGAGTTCGCTGATCAGCGTGTCCGACAGGGCAAGCGCCCGCGCCTGTTCGTCGCTGCGCTCTTCGGCCGGCGTCCAGTTTGCGCCAAGCCATTTCTCGTCGAGTTGCGGGATCGGTTCGGCCAGATCGCGAACGACGATCGTGTGCTCGGAAGTGCCACCGAGCGCATCGATCAGCTCGGCGCTGAGCGCGCGGCTTTGCGAGCCTTCGTTCCGCGCGGACGACTGGACAGAAAGAATATGGGCCATCGTGCTCTGATCTCCGTTAGGCCCGCCGGGTGCGGGCGATGGGCGGAGAGATAGCCACTCTGGCCGTTCACGAAAGATCGGGTTTCAGCAACACAATGTCTGCGAATTGTGAACGGCGCTCAGGCGGCCGCATCGACATGCTCTTCGCGCACGCCGATCAGCCGGCAGACGGCAAAGACGAGATCGGGCCGGTTCATGGTGTAGAAGTGAAAATCGCGCACGCCGCGATCGACGAGATCGAGCACCTGTTCGGCGGCGATGGCCGATGCGATCAACGCATGGGTCTGCGGATCGTTCTCCAGCCCCTCGAACCGCTCGGCCAGCCAGGCCGGAATGTGCGTCTTGCACCTGCCGGCGAAGTTGGAGACCGCGCGGAAATTGTGGATCGGCAGGATACCGGGCACGATCGGCACATAGATGCCGGCGCGCCGCACACGCTCGACGAAGCGCTCATAGCCGTCATTGTCGAAAAAGAACTGGGTGATCGCGCGCGCCGCGCCATTGTCGACCTTGCGCTTGAGCATGTCGATGTCGGTTGCGAAATCGGGGCTTTCTGGGTGCTTTTCGGGATAGGCGGCGACGGAAATGTCGAAGTCGCCGAAAGCCTTGAGGCCGGCCACCAGATGCGCGGCATTCTCGTAACCGCCCGGATGCGGCACGTAGCGAGTGCCCATGCCGGTCTGCGGGTCGCCGCGCAGCGCCACGAAGCGGCGAATGCCCATCGCGGCGAATTCGCGGATGACGGCATCGGTCTCGTCGCGCGTCGATCCCACGCAAGTGATGTGCGCGGCGGCGTCCATGCCGCCCTGCTTTTGCACATGGGCCAGCGTCCGCTGCGTCGGCTCGCGCGTCGAGCCGCCCGCGCCATAGGTCACCGAGACGAAATCGGCGTTGAGCGGGGCGAGCTTCTCGATCGTGTCGGCAAGCGTTGCCGCCATCGCCTCGTTCTTGGGCGGGAAGAATTCGAAAGACACACGGATGTCGTCGTTCAGGGCGACGCGCTGGGTCCTTGAAAAAACACTTCCGGTCATGATGTCGCCGCGGCTTTCACGCCGCCTCCGTTGTGTCCCGAGCGGGACCGTTTTCATCTGCAATGACATAGCGCGGATCGTCGGCCGACCAGATCATCACCGTCAGTTGGCCGTCGCCATCGCTCTTGGCCGACGGCAGCGCCTCGGCACGGATGTTCTCAAGGCCGGCGGTTTCGAACCATGAGGCGACGGTCTCGGTGTCGAAGCCGAGCCGGTGATGCTGATGCTCCTCGCGCAGGAACTCGAGATCGTGCGGCGCGAAATCGATGATCATCAGACGCCCGCCGGGCGCAAGACTGCGCGCGGCCTGGGCCACCGCCGCGGCAGGGTCGTCGAGGAAATGCAGCACCTGATGGATGGTCACCAGATCGAATGCGTCGCGCTCGACGGGCATGTTGAACACATCGCCCATCCGGACCTCGGCATTGACCAGACCCGCCGCATCGAGATTGGCGCGCGCGACGTTGAGCATGTTGCGATTGGTGTCGATCCCGACCGCCGAGCGGAAACGCGGGGCGAACACTTCGAGCATGCGACCGGTGCCCGTGCCGATGTCCAGCATCGCGTTGAACGGCCTGTCACCGGCAAGGCGAACAAGCGCCTGCTCGACCTTGCGCTCGGGCACGTGCAGCGAGCGGATCGAATCCCAGCTTTCGGCATTGGCGGAGAAATAGGCCGACGCTTCGTCGCGGCGGCGGCGCTTGACGTCGGCCAGCCGCTCGGCATCGCGCGCCAGAACGGGATCGGCCGGATCGATGCGCGTCAGTATGTCGGCGGCGAGCGCGCCCTGCGGGCTGTCATGGGCCAGCCGGAACAGCGCCCAGGACCCTTCCTGGCGCCGCCGGATGAGCCGTGCTTCGAGCAGCAGCTTGAGATGCCGCGACACGCGCGGTTGCGACTGGCCGAGGATCGTGGTGAGGTCGGACACGGTCAGATCCGCTTCCGCCAAGAGCTTGAGCATGCGCAGCCGGCTCGGCTCGGCGGCCGACTTGAGATGCTCGACCATCGCATCGACGCCGAACAGGGTTTCATTGTCGTTCGAAAAAGACATAAGCATATGTTTATATCATTTCGGCGACGCCGACAATATGCAAATGCGACATCGCCGGCAAATTGCGTGCCCTGCTCCGCTGCCGGGTCATGCCGATGACGACAAAGCGCCAGGCCGCCGTCTCGCAAGCGCTTGAAAGGCTGGCGCCGCTGATGCCGCTTGAGGACGCGCTGGCGATCAAGGCGCTGGTCGCCCGACCGCACATGCGCGGCCTGCCGGCCCAACGGGCCGTCTGGCTCGCCACCATCACCCATATCAGGCACACGCACAGTGATTATGACGCGTTGCTCGACGAGGGCTATGACAGGGATGCGGCGCGCTTTTTCGTGCTCGACGAGGTCAATGCGGTGCTGCGGCGGTGGCAGGCGACGCGGTTCCTCGATGCGGACGAAGACGGTGTCGGCGCGGACGGATAGGCCGGCTATTGCCGCAGCGCGATCACGCCGGCAATGACGATCAGTGCCATGCCGCATAAAGACCAGATGTCGGGCACTTCAGCGAAGAACAGGAAGCCCCAGACCAGCGCAAAGGCCACATAGCCGAAGTCGAAGGTGCCGATCACGGCAGGCGGCGCGTTCTGATAGGCGATCGCGGCGCCGACGCTGCCGACAAGAATCGCACAGGCAAGAAGCGCCATGGCAGCCCATTCGCCAGCCCCCATGGCGGCCCAGGGCCCCAGCAGGAACCCGTCTCGCGTGTCAACGACCGACAGCCCAATCACCGCCGTGGTGACCAGACCGGCCACGACGAAGGTGACATTCAAAAGCAGGGACAGCATCAGCGGATGGACGGCGCGGCACCGCGTCCGCGTCAGGATCATCGCCAAGGCGTACAATATGGCGGCCACCAGCGGCAGCAGGGCGTACGGGTTGAAGTCGCCCGCGTCGGGGCGCAAAATCAGGAGCACGCCGACAAAGCCCAGAAAGACCGCGCCCCACCCTGCCGCACTGATGCGGTCGCCGATAAAAAGTGCCGAAAACAGCGTGATGAAGATGGGAAGCGTGTAGTAGACCGCCGCTGCCACGGACAGATCGAGCCTCGGCAGCGCCAGATAATAGGCGATCCACATTCCGACCAGCAGGGCACTGCGCACTATGGCCCAGCCCAGCGACGGAGGCAGGGGAAGCGAATCGCGCGCGGTCCACCACAAAAGGCCAACCAGAACCGGCAGCACGATCAGCGAGCGCAGAACGAAGATCTGCCAGATCACGAACTCGCCGCTGGTGAACTTGATCAGCGCATCGCCCAGCGACAGCATCAGCACGGTGAAGACGATGACCGTGACGGCGAAAGGCACCCTGTCGGCCCGCGCCGGGTCTGCCTTCTGTTTCATCCGACGACCTGCCTCTTGGCGCAAGCGGATCAAGGGTCCGCCCGCGCATTGCGATCCCGCCTCAGGTGACTCCCGGCGTCGCTAGACGGGATAAACCCATTGCTCGGGCAGCTGCACGCGGACGCTCTCGCCCATCCGGACCGTACCCGGCTTTTCCACCCAGGCGACGACGCCGCGGCGGCGTTTGGCGATCTTGGGAAAGCCGAGCGCGATATGCTGGTCGCCCTCGCGCCCCACATGGCGGGCGATGGCGTCGCCGGCGATTCGGCACGGGCCGTTCTGCATGTCGATCTTGACCGTCGCGCCGCCCTCGAAGAACAAAAGCGTCGAGGCCGGCAGCATGGACAGCATTGGCACCCCGGCCAGCGTCATGTTGGCGCCGATCCATTCGGGGGCGATCATCGGCAGCTCCATGTCGGCGGCGACCGCTTCCAGCTCGTCGCGGGCGACGATCGACAATTGCCGCTCGTTGCGCATTTCGGTGCCGCGCTCGTACCAGGGTTCGCGACCGCCTGACCCCCGCGTCATGCCGGCGTGCAGATCGCCGGGAACACCCTCGAACGTCAGTTCCAGCGTCTCGACGGGGCTTGTGACGAAATCGTCGCCCGCCGCCTTGAAGAGGCCGTCGACGCGCGCCTCGATGCGCTTGGCGGGGTGGATGTCCGGCATCACCGTGTCCATGGCGAATCTCCCGTTCGAACCGCTGATGCCGATTGGTAGCCGACCCGAAAAGGGCTGTCGACAAGGGCTAGCGTGTCACCCGTGCCAGAAACTGCTCGATGGCGGCGGTCGCACGATCGCCCGGCCGGCCGAGCCGGGCCGCGATGGCGCCGTGAGAATAGGCGGTACCGTGGAAGACGGTCACGTCGGTGCCGCGCCCCTTGAGCAGGTTCGCATAGCCGATCGAGATCGAACGGCGCCGTTCGCCCTGGCTGCGCGAATAAAGGATCAGGTGCGGCGGCAGGCGTCCGTTGCGCTTGGCATGGGTGGCCGGCGACCAGCGAATCCAGTTGGGCGGTTCGTTGGTGAAGGCCGTGCCGAACATCGGACCGATCGAGCCGCGCTTGGTTGCATAGGCCAGAAGATCGTAGGCCTGCACGTCGTTGGGGATTACGCCGCGCAGCCCGTTGGCCTTGCCCTGCGCCGCAACGAGTGCGGACAGATGCGCGCCGGCGGAATGCCCCATGAGGACCACCCGGTTCGGATCGCCATTGTAGCGGCGAATGTTGCGGCGAACCCAGCTTATGGCCGCCTCCACATCGCGCACCTGGCCGTCAATGTCGGTCCGTGGCACCTTGCGGTAGTCGATGGCAACGAAGATGTAGCCGCGCGAGGTCAGCCATTGCGGCATCGAGAAGACCCGCTTGCGGTCCCCCTTCACCCAGCCGCCGCCATGCACGTACAGCACCACCGGATGCTTGCGGGCGAACAGGCCGCGACGCGCATTTTCCGGCACGTGCACGTCGAGCTTGAGCCCTTGCGAGTAGGTCACCCCGTCAATGGTGCGCATCGCGTTTGCCGGCGGCGTGGCCGCCAGGGCCACGACGGCGACAGCCAAGACGGCCACCAGCAAGACCGTAACCGGCCGCAGGGCCGGCATGATGCGTGCGGACAGGAAGATGCTCATCTCAGTAAGTGCGCCCATGGGTTCAACCGTTTTTCCTATAGCTGATTTGCGGCAAGTGTTGGAACCTCCCTGCGGCCCGTGTCACATCACAAAAGACAAGCGGCGCGATGGCTGCCATATTGGTGTTGGATTCGGCCCTTTAGATCGCGTTGACGCATGCCAAGCCTGTGTGTGCTTGTGCACAGCCGGTCCGGATCGGGATCGGATAGGACACACCTCTGGTTCAAATGAAGGATAAACCGATGATCTTTTCCCGCCCGCTGCTGTCCGCATCGGCCATTGCGCTGACAATGACCGCATTCGCGCCGCCGGCCCTTGCCGATATCGACGGTGCCGATGTCTTCGAGCAACTGGCGACGCAGTTTGCGCTGCAGGGCATCAAGCTGGAAGCGGCGGGTGTTCAGACCAATGGTGACGATGTGGCGATTGCCGGCCTGAAGATGCGCGCGACACCGGAGACCGACCCGTTCCCGCTGGGCGACTATGTGCTCGAGAACGTCACCGAGGCAGACGGCGGTTCCTATCTCGTCGACCGGATCGCCATCGCGCCGATCTCGCAGACGACGGACGGCGTGACGGTCGAGTTCGAGGGCGGCGAGATCAATGACTATCTGATTGCCGGCCCGCAAGTGTCCGATCCGATCCTGCGGTCCGGCCTGTTCGAATCGGCCCAAGCGGGCGCGCTGGCCATCTCGGACGCCGAGGGCACGATCTTCTCGATGGAAGGCGCCAGCACGACCATGGACGGGTACGAGCCGGGCGACGTCATGACGTTCGATGCCAATGTGGACGGCATGGTTGCCGACATGACCAAGCTGCCCGAGGCACAGGCCCGCGAAACCATGGCCGCGCTCGGCTACGAGGAACTGCGCGGCACGGTCACTTCGAAGGGATCTTGGGACACCGGCACCGGCCGTCTCGCGCTCGACGAGATGATCTACGACGTCGACGATGCCGCGTCGCTTGAAATGACGTTCGACATTGGCGGCTACACGCCTGAACTGGTCGGCGCGATGCAGCAGATGCAGTTGCAGATGGCCGAGCAGAATTCGGAAGCGATGAACATGGCTATGCTCGGACTGATGCAACAGATCGAGATCAATGCGATCAGCATCGAGATCCGGGACGATTCGCTAACCAACCGCATCCTGGATTTCGTCGGCGAGCAGCAGGGCATGAACCGCGCCAACGTCATCGCCATGGCCAAGGGCGTCCTGCCGATCGGCCTTGCACAGCTGCAGGATCCTGCCTTTGCCGCCGAGGCGACGGCCGCGATCGGGCAGTTCCTCGACGATCCGGGGACGCTGCGTATCGCCGCCGAGCCGACCAGCGCGGTGCCGGTGGCGCAGATCATGGCTGTCGCCATGAGTGCGCCACAAGCGCTGATCTCGACGCTGGCCGTGTCGATCACCGCCAACCGGTAAAGGCGACCGGTGGCCAGGCGGCCTGCCGCCGCCCGGCCCGGGCTCGTGTCCCTGACGGAATTGTTATGAGTCGGCGGGAGCTTTTGCCTGCGGATTGATCCGCAGATTGAGTTCGCGCAGCTGCGCCGGGCTGGCTTCGGCGGGCGCTCCCATCAACAGGTCCTGCGCCTGCTGGTTCATCGGGAACAGCGTCACCTCGCGCAGGTTCCTGGCGCCGACGAGCAGCATGACGATCCTGTCGACACCGGCCGCCATGCCGCCATGGGGCGGCGCGCCATAATGGAACGCCCGGTAAAGGCCGCCGAAGCGCTCCTCGACCACTTTCCCATCGAGACCGGCAATGGCGAACGCCTTGACCATCACCTCGGGCAGATGGTTGCGGATGCCGCCGGAAGCGATCTCGAAACCGTTGCAGACCAGATCATACTGCCATGCCTTGATCGACAGCGGGTCTTCGGTCTCCAGCGCGCCCAGGCCGCCGCGCGGCATGGTGAACGGGTTGTGGCCGAAATCGACGCGCTTTTCGTCCTCGTCCCATTCAAAGAACGGGAAATCGACGATCCAGGCCAGCTCGAACCGGTCGCGGTCGATCAGATCGAGTTCCTCGCCCGCGCGGGTGCGCGCATCGCCGGCAAAGGAGGCGAACTTGCGCGGGTCGCCGGCGGCAAAGAAGCAGGCATCGCCGGCCTTCAGGCCCAATTGCAGCCTGATCGCTTCGGTGCGTTCGGGGCCGATGTTCTTGGCGATCGGACCAGCGCCCACGACCTGACTGTCTTCCTCGCGCCAGAAGATGTAGCCCAGACCCGGCTGCCCCTCGCCCTGCGCCCAGGAGTTCATCCGGTCGCAGAAGGCGCGGCTACCGCCGGTCGGCGCTGGAATCGCCCAGACGGCGCCACGCGCATCGTTGGCCAGAATGTTGGCGAACACCTTGAAACCCGAGCCGCGGAAGTGCTCGGAGACATCCTCCATGGTGATCGGGTTGCGCAGGTCCGGCTTGTCGGTGCCGTATTTCAGCATCGCCTCGTCATGGGGGATGCGGCGGAATTCGGGCGTCACGGGCTTGCCGTCGGCAAACTCCTCGAACACGCCGCGGATCACCGGTTCCATCGCCGCGAACACATCGTCCTGCTCGACAAAGCTCATCTCCAGGTCGAGCTGGTAGAACTCGCCGGGCAGCCGGTCCGCGCGCGGGTCCTCGTCACGGAAGCAGGGGGCAATCTGGAAATAACGGTCGAAGCCCGAGACCATCAGCAGCTGCTTGTAGATCTGCGGCGCCTGCGGCAGCGCGTAGAATTCTCCGGGATGAATGCGCGAGGGGACAAGGAAGTCGCGGGCGCCCTCGGGCGACGAGGCGGTCAGGATCGGCGTCGAAAACTCGGCAAATCCGGCTTCTTCCATGCGCCGGCGCATCGAGGCGATCACCTTGGTGCGCGTCATGATGTTGGCGTGCAGCGTGTCGCGCCTGAGGTCGAGAAAACGGTATTTGAGGCGAATGTCCTCGGGATAGTCCGGTTCGCCGAACACCGGCAGCGGCAGTTCCTCGGCCTTGGACAGCACTTCGAGATCGCGCGCATAGAGCTCGATCCCGCCGGTCGGCAGGTCGTCATTGACGAGATCGGCGGCACGTTCCTTGACCTCGCCGTCGATGCGCAGCACCCATTCGGATCGGACCGTTTCGGCCTTGGCGAAACAGGGGCTGTCGGGGTCGGCGACGATCTGGGTGATGCCGTAATGGTCGCGCAGATCGATGAACAGCACGCCGCCATGGTCGCGCACGCGGTGAACCCAGCCCGCAAGCCGGACGGTCGAGCCGGCGTCGGATTTGCGCAAGGCGCCACAGGTGTGGCTGCGGTAACGGTGCATGACTGGCCTCATTGTGGATCAGGGCTGCGGCGCCCATGCCGCGCGCAATTGCCTGGTCGGGAAAACGGGCGGAAAAGCGCATGCGCGCCCGCTTTTGTCAAGAACCGCCCTTGCCGCGGCGGGCATTTGTTGCTGTACGGGGAAGTCGGCCTTTGCCCGCTCGTCCGGATCGCTCCCCATGTGGCAGCTTCGCCCGCTCATTCCACTTTTCATCGCCGCCGGCATCCTGCTTGCCGGCAACGGCGTCCAGGGCACGGCGATCGCCATTCGCGGCGCGCAGGAGGGCTTTTCCACTTCGCTGATCGGCCTGATGGGCACCGCCTATTTCACCGGTTTTCTTCTGGGCTGCCTCTACATCACGCGGCTTTTGAACGCGGTCGGTCACATCCGCACCTTCGCCGCGCTTGCGGCCATCGCCGCTTCGGGCACGCTTTTCCTGATGATCGTCATCGATCCGGTCGCCTGGATCATCATCCGCTTCATGGTCGGCTTCTGCTTTGCCGGGCTGTTCACGACGATCGAAAGCTGGATCAATTCCGGCGTCGCCAACGAAACGCGCGGGCGGGTCCTCGCCGTCTACCGCATCGTCGACATTTTCGCGGTCACAGGCGCACAGTTCCTGCTGCCGGCACTGGGCGCGGACGGGTTTGTCCTGTTCGCGGTGATGTGCGTGATGATCACGCTGTCGCTGGTGCCGGTTTCGCTGGCCGACCGGTCCAACCCCAAGCCGCCGGCGGAGTTCAAGTTCGATCTCAAGGGCATTTGGACCCTGTCGCCGCTGGCCTGCATCGGCTGCGTGACGATCGGCGCGACCAATGCCGCGTTCCGGCTGATCGGCCCGCTCTATGCGGAGGGAATCGGCCTGTCGATCACCGATGTGGCGATCTTCATGAGCGTCGGCATTGTCGGCGGCGCGGTGCTGCAATATCCGCTTGGCTACCTTTCGGACCGCTACGACCGGCGCGCCGTGCTGATGGTCACGACAGCGGGCGCGGTTGCCGCCGGCCTTTTCCTGTCGCTGGGCGCAGGCACCTCGCCGCTCCTCAACTATCTCGGCATCTTCCTGTTCGGCGCCTTCGCGCTGCCGCTCTATTCACTCTCGGCGGCGCACGCCAACGATCACGCCAAGCCCGGCGAACATGTCATGGTCGCCGCCGGGCTGATGTTCTTCTTCTCGCTGGGCGCCTCGATCGGCCCCTATGCGTCGTCCGCCTTCGTGCAGGCATTCGGCCCCGACGCTCTGTTCACCTATACCAGCGTCGTGCACGGGGCGCTGATCGCCGCAACCATCTGGCGCATGCGGGCGCGCGGGCCGGTGCCCGCCGATGCGCGCGGCCCGTCCTCGTGGCTGCTGCGCACGTCGCCCGTGTTCACGCGGATGGCGCGCGGCAGCAACGGAACCAACAGCGAAAACGGTTCGACAAGCGGCGACACCTCGGCTAAGGACCCGCACCCATGAGGGACACCCATGAATCAGCGCCCGAGCCGATCGGCACGACGGCGGCGCTCGAAGCGGTCTGCGCGCGCATGGCCGCCCACGACTACATCACCATCGACACCGAATTCGTACGCGAGACGACATTCTGGCCGGTCCTCTGCCTGATCCAGGTGGCCAGCGACGACGAGGCCGTGCTGATCGATCCGATGGCCGACGACATCGACCTCGCGCCGCTGTTCGCGCTCCTGGGCGATGAAAGCGTGATCAAGGTGTTTCACGCCGCCCGGCAGGACATCGAGATCTTCGTCAATCTCAGCGGCCATGTCCCGCATCCGATCTTCGACACGCAGGTGGCGGCGATGGTGCTGGGCTTCGGCGATGCGATTGCCTATGACCAGCTCGTCAAGCGCGTTTCTGGCGCCCATATCGACAAGACGTCGCGCTTCACCGACTGGGCGCTGCGGCCATTGAGCGACAAGCAGCTTCATTACGCGCTGGCCGACGTCACCCATCTGCGCGATGTCTACAAGCGCCTGACGGAAATGCTCGAGGAGCGCGGGCGCGCCCATTGGGTGGCCGAGGAAATGGCCGTCCTGACCAGCCCGGACACGTACGACATCAAGCCCGAGGATGCCTGGAGGCGGCTGAAAATGCGCGTGCGCAAGCCCACCGATCTGGCCGTCATGCAGCGGCTGGCGGCCTGGAGAGAGCGCCAGGCGCGCGAGCGCAACGTGCCGCGCAACCGGGTTCTGAAGGACGATGCCATCTACGAGGCGGCGCAGCAGCAGCCGCGCGACGCGCGGGCCCTGTCCCGGCTGCGGACCATCCACAAGGGCATAGAGCGGTCTGCGGCGGGCGCGGCCATTCTCGACGCCGTCGCCGAGGTCGCCGCGCTCGACCGCGAAGACCTGCCGAAGGTTCCGCGTCCACCCAATTCGCCCGAAGGGGCGGGTGCCGCAGCCGATCTTTTGAAAGTTCTGCTCAAGCTGACGGCGGAACAGCACAACGTCGCGCAGCGTGTGATCGCCACCTCCGATCATCTCGACCAGATCGCCTCGCACGGCGAAAACGCGGATGTGCCGGCGATGCACGGCTGGCGGCGGGAACTGTTCGGGTCGGAAGCGCTCAGGCTCCTGTCGGGCGAGATCTCGCTCGGTTTCAGCGACCGGCGGATAACGACCGTCGATCTGACGGCGGATCGCCAATCGCCAGACCCACATTGACGCCTGTCACCTTGCCAAGCTGGGACAGCCGCGCCTCGGGCCGTTCGCCGGCCAGAGCCGCCCGGTTTGCCGGAACGACAAGCTCCATGGTGCCGTCGTCGGTCTTGCGCCAGCGCAGATCGGCGATGACACCGGGCATGGCGGCGGTGAAGAGGTAGGCGACCCGCAGGAAGGCGCCCAGACATTTGGCGCGCTGCCACATGCGTTCCGAGGTCAGCGTCCGGATTTCCGGCGCAAGGCTCTCGTTCTTCAGGCCCTCATAGCGGAAATAGTTGGCAAGGGCGATGAAGGCCCTGCCCTCATGGCTGACCTGAATGAAGCTCGAATAGGCGATGATCGCCAGCGACTGGGCCGAGCGATAGTCGGGATGGGCGCGCCAGCCAATGTCTGCCAGCCGGCATGCGGCATCGCGATAGCGCGCCTCGTCGACGGTCTCATCGATGCCGAAGGCGGCGAAACTGTCGGCAGTCCAGCGCGCCAGTTCCCGGGCGTGGCGCGGCGAGCGCGAGCGCAGCACCGCCAGTTCGTCGGCCGCCTCCAGAAGGCCGTCACGCCGGCGCATGTCCCCGTCGAGCTGGCCGAACAGATAGCCCTCGCGGACGCCAAGCGCCGAAAAGGCGATGGCCGAGGGCTTCATGCGGCGGATGATCTCCAGAAGGACGATCGCGCCGAAAGGCAGCAGCGCCCGGCGCGACGAGGAAATGATGTGAATGCCCTTGAGCTTGTCGAGATCGGCCTCGACAAGCTTGCGAAGGAACTTCTGCGCCTGATCGGGCGTGATCTGATAGCCGTGGGTGACGCGCAGCGGATAGCCGGTTTCCTCCATGTGCAGTTTGGCGATGGCACGCCAGGTGCCGCCGACCGCGTAGAAGACACGGCCCTTGCAGGCGTCGGCCATTTTCGAGCCGGCGATCAGCTTGCGGGCGATCTTCTCGGCCTCGCGCAGATCGCCGCCTGAGGCGTCCTGCAGCCGGATGCCGCCGAGCGGCAGCGTCACGCCGTCGCCGATCGCCTGATCCCTGACATCGACCATCTCGACGCTGCCGCCGCCCAGATCGCCAGCGACGCCGTCGGGCGCGCGAAAGGCGGAGATCACGCCGAAGGCCGAATAGCGCGCTTCCTCGGCACCGGTCAGGATGCGGATTTCGGCGCGCAGGATCGCCTGCGCCCGGCCGATGAAGTCGGGACCGTTTTCCGCTTCGCGCGCGGCGGCGGTCGCCAGCACATGCAACGTCTCGACACGAGCCTGGTCGGCGAGCGCGCGATAGCGGGCGAGGGCCGCAAGCGCCCGTTCGACGGCGTCCTCGTCCATGCGGCCGGTCTGCGCGATGCCGCGCCCGAGCCCGCAGGAGACCTTTTCGTTGAACAGGACCGCCGGCGCGCGGACCATGCCCTCATAGATGACGATGCGAACCGAATTGGAGCCGATATCGACGACGCCGACAGGCGCGCGATTCTTCAGCCGGCCCTGGGCGTCTTCGGTTTCAATCATTGACCAAAGCCCTGTCATTCCGCCCGGTCCAAAACGCGTCAGGCCTTGGTTTGGACCCGTTTGCGGTGCGCGATCAATTGCGGCGCGGAAGATTTCAACGACTTTCCGCGACCCGACAGGCTCGGATTGGTCATGAAATAGGTCTGCGCGTCAAATTCTTCCTCGTCCGCCCCCGGTTCGATCCGGCGCGACCGGCCGTTTTCGAGCACCTCGTAGCTCTGCTGATTGTCGAGCATGTTGGCCAGCATGATCTGGCTGAGCACCTGCTCGTGCACGGTCTCGTTTTCCAGCGGCACCAGCGTTTCCACGCGGCGATCGAGATTGCGCGGCATCAGGTCGGCCGAACCCATGTAGATGATCGCATCCTCGGACGGCAGCGCGTTGCCATTGCCGAAGCAATAGATGCGGCTGTGTTCGAGGAAACGGCCGACGATCGACTTGACGCGAATGTTTTCCGAAAGGCCAGGCACCTGCGGGCGCAGGCAGCAGATGCCGCGCACCACAAGATCGATCTCGACGCCTGCGGCACTGGCCTCGTAGAGTGCGTCGATCAGATGGCCGTCGACCAGCGAGTTCATCTTCATCCAGATGCCGGCCGGCCGGCCCGCGCTCGCATGAGCCGTTTCGGCCTCGATCAGGCCCACCAGCCTGTCGCGCATATGCATGGGCGAGACGGCAAGACGCATGTCCTCGGGCGGGTCGGCATAGGAGGTGATGAAGTTGAAGACCTGCGCCACATCGTGGGCCAGAACCGGATCGCAGGTAAAGTAGGACAGGTCCGTATAGATCTTCGCGGTTATCGGATGATAGTTGCCCGTGCCCAGATGGACATAGGAACGCAGCCCGTTCTCCTCGCGGCGCACGACGAGCGACATCTTGGCGTGGGTCTTCAGTTCGACGAAGCCGAACACGACCTGCACGCCGGCGCGCTCGAGATCGCGCGCCCAGCGGATGTTGGCCTCCTCGTCAAAGCGGGCCTTGAGCTCGACAAGCGCGGTCACCGACTTGCCGGCCTCGGCGGCGTCCATCAGCGCGCGGACGATCGGGCTGTCGTTCGAGGTCCGGTAGAGCGTCTGCTTGATGGCGATGACGTCCGGGTCGGCCGCCGCCTGACGCAGGAACTGGACGACCACGTCGAAGCTCTCATAGGGATGGTGGACGAGGATGTCCTTCTGGCCGATGGCGGCGAGACAATCGCCATTGTGCTCACGGATACGCTCGGGAAAACGCGCGGTGTAAGGCGCGTAGAGCAGATCGTCGCGCGGCACCTTGACGATCTCCGAGACGGTGGTGAGCGCCAGAATGCCGGGCTGAACGGAGACCCGCGCCTCCGGCACGCCCAGTTCATGGGCGACAAACTCCCTCAGGGTTCGCGGCATCTCATGGTCGAACTCGATGCGGATCACCTGGCCGCGGCGCCGGCGCTTGAGCGCGCTCTCGAAGAACCGCACCAGGTCTTCGGCCTCTTCCTCGACCTCCAGATCGCTGTCGCGGATGATGCGGAACGTGCCCTGCCCGCGTATCTCGTAGCCGGGATAAAGCTGGGCGATGTAAAGGCCGACAATGTCCTCAAGCGAGATGAAGCGGAAATTCGGCGCCTCGGTGGGCAGCGCAACGAAGCGCTTGAGCGCCGTCGGCAGGCGCAGAAGCGCGTTCATGACCTTCTTGGTCGTGCGGTTGACCAGTTGCAGCGCGATCGAAAAGCCCAGATTCGGAATGAACGGGAACGGATGCGCCGGGTCGATGGAAAGCGGCGTCAGAACCGGAAAGATCGTCTGCAGGAACTCGTCCTCCAGCCATTCGCGGTCCTCGTCGGTCAGGCTCTCGGCCCGGACGATCGCGATGCCGGCCTGCGCCATCTCCTCGCGCAGTTCGGACAGGACGACCTGCTGTTCGGTCTGAAGGCGGGCGATTTCCTCGAGCACCATGTCGAGCTGGTCTTCCGGCGTGCGTCCGTCGACCGAGCGTTCGGAAACGCCCTCGCGGACCTGACCGGCAAGGCCGGCGACGCGGACCATGAAGAACTCGTCCAGATTGGCCGCCGAGATCGACAGGAACCTGAGGCGTTCGAGCAGCGGCTGACGCTCGTTGCGGGCCTCGTCCAGAACGCGCCAGTTGAACTGCAGCCAGGAAAACTCGCGGTTGATGAAGCGCGAAGGGTCGTCCTGGGCGATCATCGCCACGGGCGACGTCGGTGCGCCGTGCACCTCGCCCTCATTCTCGTAACTGGCGGCGACCTCCTGAAGGTCCGTCTTGTCCATGGCCATTCCCGTGCTGCGGTTTCGCTCCGCCCTAGTCCACAATTACCACGATTTGGTGACAGTGCGAGCGCTTCGGCCGATCATGCTTAAAGGCCCAGCCGGCCCTGATCCTGCTGTGAAATCTCGCGCAGCACTTCGGCGGCCAACGGCCGCGTGATCGACATTTTGCGGGCCAGCGCCACCTCGTCGAGCCGCACCACGATATCGGCGAGTGCCGACAAGGAACGTTCGAGACGCGGCAGCAGATAGGCGACCACCGCCGGATCGACGGCAACCTGCCGGTCGGCGAAGAGCTTGACGGCCACCGCGCGCAACAGATCGTCGTCGGGCAGGCCCAGACTGGCGACGGTGGCGGCGCGGAAGCGCGAGGCGAGGTCGGGTGTCGCCAATACCCAACCGGACGGGGCGGTCTCAGCGGTGATCAGGATCGATCCGCCCGAGCCGCGCACCGCGTTCAGAAGGTGGAAGAAGGCCGCCTCATCCAGCCCGTCCGGTGCCAGCCCGTCGCACAGGACCGGCGTGCCCGCCTGGGCTGCGTCGAGGTCGGCGGCAGAGGGCCGCCGCGGATCGGCCATCGCATGGGCGCCGGACACCGACCGCCAGACAGAGGCAAGATGCGTCTTGCCGCTGCCCGGGCCGCCTGCGACCGCCGCAAAGGGCGATGCCCATTCCGGCCAGCGATCGACCAGCGCCGCCGCGTCGCGATTGGCATCGGTGACGATCAGGTCCTCGCGCGTCAGAGATGGCGCGCGGCCCAGATCAAGCAGCATCTGTCGGTCGGGCATGACGGTCCCATCATCGCGTCCGGGCTATCGGCCCTGATCTTCGGATGACCCCGCATACAGGTCGGAATCCAGATATCGGCCGACGGCAAAGCGCACCAGAACGCCGACTGCGGCGGCGGCCGGAACGGCGATCAGCATGCCGGTAAAGCCCAAAAACGAGCCGAAGGCGAAAAGGGCGAACATCAGCCAGACCGGGTGCAGGCCGACGCTGTCGCCGACCAGCTTGGGCTGCAGAATGTTGCCTTCGACGGCCTGCCCGCCAAAGAAGATGGCCGCGATGACCAGGATCATGATCCAGTCCGGCCAGAACTGCACCAGCGCAACGCCGATCGAAAGCACAAGCCCCACCAGAGAGCCGACATAGGGAATGAAACTGATCAGGCCGGCGAAAAGGCCGATCAGCAGGCCAAAATTGAGGCCGGCGATGGTCAGGGCGATCGCATAGAACAGGCCGAGGATCAGGCAGACGGTTCCCTGCCCGCGAATGAAACCGGCAATCGCCCCATCGACATCGCGGCTGATCGCGCGCACCGTCTCCAGATGGTCGCGCGGGATGCAGGCATCGATGCGCGCGATCATCCGGTCCCAGTCGAGCAGCATGTAGAAGGCGACAACAGGGGTCACCACGAACAGGCCGACAATGTTCAAAAGCGCCATGCCGGACGACCAGATGCCCTGCGCGATGCCGGACAGGAAGCTGGCGCTCTGCGCCAGAAGCTGGTCGACTCCGGCGGGCAGCTGGCCCGATTCAAGATCGAGAAGACCGTTGAGCCAACCCGCGTCGATCGGCAACGCGGCGGCAAGTTCGCGGATGCGGGCGAGGTAGGACGGCAGGCGGTCGATGAACTCGACCAGCTGGCTGGCCAGAACCGGAACGATCACCAGCAAGGCCAGCGCGAACACCAGCACGAACAGCGCCAGGATCAGCGATGTCGCGGCCAGCCGCGACAAGCCGCGGCGCTCGAAGAAGTCAGCGACCGGATCGAGGAAGTAGGCCAGCGCAAGGCCGGCCAGGAACGGCAAAAGGATGGAGCGGAACACGTACAGGAACGCGATCATCACGACGAGCGCACCGACCCAGAAAAACGCCTGGCGGCGCAGCGTGCGCGTTGAGATATGCTCGCTCATCTGCTGTATCCGCCTCGCCCCATATGCCGCACGAACACCACGCCATAGGTGGCAAATGAGGCCAAGGTCAAGGCAGCGGTGGCCCAGACGACCGCCGCGATTGCCGGGCTCGCCGCAATGGAAAAGGCATTGGCGCCCAGCACGAGCGTGATCAGCGCGATCTGTGCGGCCGTGGTCGCCTTGGAGACAAACATCGGGCGGATGGTCAGCGGCTTGCCGCGCCATTGCGCGATCCCGACGCCGGCAAGGATCAGAACATCGCGCAAAACGGCCAGAGCGACGAGCCAGAACGGGACCAGTCCGGCTGCGGCGAGAAGCACGAAGGCGGTGACCAGCAATGCCTTGTCGGCGACCGGATCGAGCCAGGCGCCGAGCACCGAGCCCTGGTTGAACCAGCGCGCGATGATGCCGTCGACCGCATCGGAAAGGCCGGCGGCGGCGAACAGCCAGAATGCAGGCATCCACTGGCCGGTCACCATCAGCCAGCCGAGCAGCGGCACAGCCGCGATCCGAGCCAGCGTTATAGCGTTGGGAACCGTCATCAGGGCCGATGCTGGCGGGTCATGGTGCGTCATGGCTCACATATGGCCGACCGGCGCGGCCATTCCAAGACGGCGGCTGGCCGTTTTTGGCCGCCGGAACGCTCCGATTTTCTGTGGCCGCGGCGGATCGGGCGTGGCATCGCGCGGGCCGATGCCATATGAGCGCGGTCAGACGAACCGCCGATGACGAGAGCAGCCAATGAACGATACGGAAAAGGTCGATGCGCCCAACGGGCTGACCTATGCCGATGCGGGCGTCGACATCGATGCCGGCAATGCGCTGGTCGATGCGATCAAGCCGCTGGTCAAGTCGACCGCGCGGCCGGGCGCGGACGGGGCGATCGGCGGCTTTGGCGGCCTGTTCGACCTGAAAGCCGCAGGGTTCGCCGATCCGGTGCTGGTGGCGGCCAATGACGGCGTCGGCACCAAGCTCAAGCTCGCCATCGAAACCGGCATTCATGACACGGTCGGCATCGATCTGGTGGCCATGTGCGTCAACGATCTGGTGGTTCAGGGCGCCGAGCCGCTGTTCTTTCTGGACTATTTCGCCACCGGCGCCCTCGATGTCGCGCATGGCTCGGCCATTATCAGTGGCATCGCCAAGGGCTGCAAACAGGCCGGATGCGCGCTGATCGGCGGCGAGACCGCGGAAATGCCGGGCATGTATGCCGGCGGCGATTATGATCTGGCCGGCTTTGCCGTGGGCGCAGCCGAGCGCGGCACGCTCTTGCCAAGGCAGGACATGAAGCCGGGCGATGTCGTCCTCGGGCTGGCCTCGGCCGGCGTTCACTCCAACGGCTTTTCGCTTGTCCGCCGGATCGTCGAGATGTCCGGCATCGGGTTGGACGATGCTGCCCCGTTCGACGCCGACCGGACGCTGGGCGCGGCCTTGCTGGAGCCGACGCGCATCTATGTAAAACCGCTTCTGACGGCGATCCGCTCCAGCGGCGCGGTCGCGGCCCTGGCGCATATCACAGGCGGCGGGTTGACCGAGAACCTGCCGCGCGTGCTGCCCGAGACGCTTTCGGCCGAAATCGATCTCGGTGCCATCGCCGTCCCGCCGGTCTTTTCCTGGCTGGCCGGGACAGGCGGCGTGCAGACCGACGAGATGCTGCGCACCTTCAATTGCGGTGTCGGCATGGTGGTCGTGGCCGATGCCGACAAGGCGCCGGCAGTCGCAGCCGCGCTGGCCGATGCGGGCGAGACCGTCATGGAGATTGGCCGGCTGGTGCCCCGCGAGCGCGGACCGGCGGTCGGCTATCGCGGGACCTTGGCCCTGTGAGCCAGGTCGGCAAACGCCGCGTCGCGGTGCTGATCTCCGGGCGCGGATCGAACATGGAAGCGCTGGCCGATGCCTGCGCGGCAGACGACTATCCCGCAACAACCGCCGGCGTTCTTTCTGACCGGGCCGACGCTGGCGGTCTGGCGACAGCCGCGCGGCGCGGCATTGCGACCGCTGCCCTGCCCCGCGCCGATTTTGCCGACAAGGCCGCCCATGAGACGGCCATCGGTGACCAGTTGCGCGCCTGGGACACCGAGTTCGTGTGTCTCGCCGGCTTCATGCGCCTTCTGAGCGCCGACTTCCTGGCGCCATGGCAAGGCCGGATCGTCAACATCCACCCCTCGCTGCTGCCGCGCCACAAGGGGCTCGACACCCATGCCCGCGCGCTGGCGGCGGGCGATTCCGAGCATGGCTGTTCGGTGCACCATGTCACCGCCGGCATGGATGAAGGGCCGGTGATCGCGCAGGCGCGCGTGCCTGTGCTGCCCGGCGACACAGCGGACACGCTGGCCGCGCGGGTTCTGGTCGAGGAGCATCGGCTCTATCCCGAAGCGCTGAAGATGCTGATCGGGCAAACCGCGCGATGAACTACCGGCATGCCTTTCACGCCGGCAATTTCGCCGACATCGTCAAGCACGTCATCCTGTCGCGCGCGCTGACCTATCTGCAGCGCAAGGACAAGCCGATCTTCGTGCTCGACACCCATGCGGGCGTCGGCTCCTACGATCTGGAAAGCGAGCAGGCCGCCAGGACCGGCGAAGCCGACGACGGCATCGGCCGGCTCTGGCCGCTTTTGGCCGACGCGCCGGACGCGGTTGGCGCGCTACTCGCGCCGTTTGCCGATGCCGTGAAATCGCAGAATGCGGGCGATACGCCGCGGTTCTATCCGGGGTCGCCGGCGCTGATCGCCCGTCTGATGCGCCCGCAGGACCGAGCCGTGTTCTGCGAACTACATGCGGACGATCAAGCCGCGCTTGCGGCCCGCTTCGGGCGTGCCAAACGCATACGCGTCAACCACATGGATGGCTGGCAGGCGCTCAGGACGTTGCTTCCGCCGCCCGAGCGGCGCGGGCTTGCCATCATCGATCCGCCATTCGAGGCGCGCGATGAGTTCGACATGATGCTGGACGGGCTCGAGGCGGCCGTGCGCCGCTTTGCCACCGGTACGTTGCTCGCCTGGTATCCGATCAAGCATGAGGCAGCGGTCGCGGCGTTCCGCACAGGTCTCGGCCAGCGCTTCAAGGGCGCGCTGCTCGTCGAAACGGCCGTCGCGGCCCCGGCGGCAGATGCGACGTTTCGCGGCTCGGGCATGGCGATCATCAATCCGCCATACACGCTGGCGTCCGAACTGGAGACGCTGCTGCCGTGGCTGATGGCGCGGCTGGAACGGGAGCCGGGCGCCGGTGCGTGGCGGATCGAACCGTTGAGTTGAGGCAACGGCAACAACAAATCCGTGGTCGGCACGTTGCCGCGCTTGGCCTTGGCGGGCCCGCTTGCTATGCATCGCGCAGGCAAGGCACGGACAGGCAGATGATCAAACTATCGCTGAAATGCGCGGCGCTCGCCGTCGCGCTCGTAATGGCCATGCCACAGGCATCGGCGCACGAACCCTATTATCCGTTGCGCGAGAGCGCCGAATGCGCCGATCCGGCGATGATCAAGAAGATCAAGGCGCGTTTTGCCCATCAGGCGCGGCATGTGCACCATCGCGACGATCTGGCGATCGCCGACATCACTGGCGTCCACCAGCACCGCTACCTGCCACAGGATGCGCATGATGCGCGGCCGATTCCCCGGCGCTACTGCCATGCGACCGCGCACCTGTCGGACGGGCGCGAACGCAAGATCTGGTATCTGATCGAGGGCGGCGCCGGGTTCGCCTCCATCGGTTCGAACGTCGAATTCTGCGTCTCCGGCTTCGATCGCTGGAACGTCTACAATTCGGCCTGCCGCGTTCTGCGCTGAGCCATTATGCGCCCTCTTGCCGTTCTGGTGCTGCTTGCCGCCGCCGTTCTGAGCGCCTGCGACGCGCCGGCTGAGTCCACCGGTTCGCCGACATCGCTTCCGCTCGGCGAGGGTTTCGACTTCTACGTCCTCGCCCTGTCATGGTCACCGGGCTATTGCGCATCGGAAGGCGAGCGCGCCAACAAGCAGCAATGCGGCCAAGGCGCCGATTTCGACTTCATCGTCCATGGCCTGTGGCCGCAGTTCGAGCGCGGATGGCCGGAGTTTTGCGAAACCGGCGAACCGCTGTCGGTGCCACGGGACCGGGCCGAGGCGATGGCCGACATCATGCCGTCGACCGGTTTGGTCCGGCACCAGTGGAAAAAGCACGGCAGCTGCTCGGGTCTGAGCCAGGCCGACTATTTCGCCACCACCCGCGCCGCCCTTGCCAAGATCGCCATTCCCGATGCGTTCCGTGATCGCACGAGGATCGACCGGCTCGAGCCTGAAGACGTCGAACAGGCGTTCCTCAATGCCAATCCGGGCATGCCGGCCGGCTCGGTCGCGGTCACCTGCGACCGGCGGTTCCTGCGCGACGTGCGCATCTGCCTGACGCGCGATCTGGCCGGCTATGCAGCTTGCCCCGAGGTCGATCGCCGCGATTGTCCGTTGCCGACCGTCGTCGTGCCGCCCTCCCAGTGAAAGGAGCCACCATGCCAACTCTTCTTTATTCGCCGGCCTCGCCCTACAGCGCCAAGGTGCGCATGGCCGCGCGGTATCTCGAGATCACGCTCAAGCTCGACATTGCGCTGACGCCGAAGATCATCGCAACCGGCGAAGCGCCGCCCGAACTGACGGGCGCCAACCCGCTGGGCAAGATCCCCACGCTGGTGCTGGACGACGGCGCGGCGATCTTCGACAGCCGGGCGATCATGGGCGAACTGGACCGGATGAGCGGCAACAAGCTCTATCCGAGACCGAAGGACAAGAGGCGCAAGGCCGACATTCTGGAAGCGGCGTCGGACGGTCTGTGCGACGTGCTTTTGGCGCAGGTCTATGAGCGCCGCATGCGGCCCGAGGAAAAGGTTCACACGCCCTGGCTCGACTATCAGGCGCGCAAGGCCGAGCGGACTTTCGACTGGCTTGAGATGGAAGTGCCGGCATTGCGCGGCCGCCTGCATGGCGGGCATTTTGCGCTCGCCGCGGCGCTCGGCTACGCCGATCTGCGCTTTCCCGAGCTGAACTGGCGCCGCGGCCGGCCGCGGCTGCGGCGTTTCATCGCCCGGTTTGCCGAGGCATTTCCGGACTATGAGGTTTTCAAACCGTCCTGAAGCAATGAAAAAGGCCGCGCCCGGTGGACGCGGCCTTTCGGTCGACAAGAGCAGATGATCAGAACTTCAGGCCGATACCGGCGCGGATGGTGTTCTCCTGAAAGCCCGAGGAGACGACCGTGCCGCCCAGATTGAAATTCTTGTCCTGATAGTCGGTGTAGCGGTATTCCAGCCGGCCGAACACATTGTCGGTCAGCATGGCGTCCGCGCCGACACCGGCGGTCCAGCCCAGATGGGTGTTCTCATCGGAGTTCACGCCGGCTGTCACCTTCGCCTGCGTGGCCGCGCCACCGGCGGTCGCGTAGATCATGAACGGGTCGAACGAGTAGCCGACGCGTGCGCGCAGCGAACCGAATACGCCCTGCTCGGCGAGCGCGCCGCCCAGCGTGCCCTGTGCGCCCGAATAGCCAAGATCGGCCTCGGCACCGTAGACGAACGCGCCGTCCTGGAAATTGATGCCTGCGAAAGCGCCGCCCGCGGCGCCGTCGGCATTGATGTCACCAATGGAGGCGTCGAACTGGCCGAAATTGTAGGCGCCGAATGCGCCGGCATAGAAGCCGGACCAGGTGGCGGTGGGCGTGAATTCAACCGGCGGGGCTGCCGGCGGCTCGGGCGGAAGGGCGACGGCATCGGCCGCCATTGCCGCGCCGGCACTCGTCAGGACGGCCAGCGAAACGGCCGCCAGAAGCGTCGATGTCTTTTTCATGTCAGAACTCCAAAACTCTGCGTGGTCCCGGCGGCGCGAGCCGCCCATGGGTGCCCCCAAGCTCCATGACGGGAAATGGCGTGCAATTGCGGCAAAGCCGCATCGCAAATTGGGAGTTTCGGTGACGCAAATGTGGCGGTTCCGCAGCGTTGCATTTGTGCCACAGGCCGGCCGTGCCGATTTTCCGGCCGCGCTGTTTCATTTGCCGGCCAAGCGCATATATAGGCGTCTCCACCTCTCACGCGCGCAGTGATCCCTGACATGCTGTTTGACATCGCCATGCTCGTTGCCGGTCTGGTGCTTCTGGTCTTTGCCGGCGACTATCTGGTCAAGGGCGCGGTCGGGCTGGCAGAAAACCTCGGCATTCCGGCGCTGATCATCGGCTTGACGATCGTCGCCTTCGGCACATCGGCGCCCGAACTGTTCGTCGCGCTGCAATCGGCGCTGACCGGTGTCCCCGATATCGCCACGGGCAATGTGGTCGGCTCGAACATCGCCAATGTGCTGCTGGTGATGGGTCTGCCGGCGCTGTTTTCGCCGATCCATGCCAACCAGCGCGGCCTGTCGCGCAACGTCGCCGTGATGCTGGCATTCACGGTCGCGTTCATGTGGCTGATCAGCGACGGGATGCTCAGCCGACTGGAGGCGATGGGGCTGTTCGGCGGGCTGATCGTCTTCATCGTCGCGCAGGGGATCCGCGCGCGCCAAGCCATTGCCGAGGCCGACGAAGAGGAAGTGCCCGGCGACTATCACGACGAAATCGGCGAGGCTCCGCACAGCCCGGCGATGATCGCGGTGTTCCTGATCGGCGGCATCATCGGCCTGCCGGTCGCGGCCCATTTCACCGTCAGCGGCGCGTCGGGCATCGCCACCGCGTTCGGCGTTTCGGAGGCAGCCATCGGCCTGACGATCGTCGCGATCGGAACGTCGCTGCCGGAGCTGGCCACGACGCTTTCGGCGGCCATGCGCAAGGAAGCGGATGTCGCGCTCGGCAACATCATCGGCTCGAACATCTTCAACCTCGCAGCGATCATGGGCATCACCGGCATGGTCATCGCCGTGCCCGTCTCGCCGGACATCATCATCCGCGACAACTGGGTGATGCTGGCGACCTCGCTGCTGCTGGCGACGATCTGCTTTGCCCGCATCACGACCGGCAAAGTGCTGGGTGCGGCTATGCTTGCGGGCTATCTGGCCTATGTCGTGGTGGTCTTCTAACGACCCTTGCGAGGCTGCCCTTGGCCGAACACGACCACAAAAAGAAAAGACCCGCCGTTCTTGTGACGGGCGGCGCCAGGCGGATCGGCCGCGCCATCGTTGCCGACCTTGCCGCCAACGGCTTCGATGTCGCCATCCATGCCAGCTCCTCGATGGCCGAAGCGCGGTCCCTTGCCGCATCGCTGTCGGCCTTGGGCGGCCGCGCGGTCGCGCTGCAGGCCGACCTGACCGATGCCGCACAGGCCCGCGCGCTTGCCGGACTTGCGGCCGAGGCGCTGGAACGGCCGATCGATATTCTGGTCAACAATGCATCGGTCTTTCTCGATGATGCCGTCGGCGCCGTAGATGACGGCATCTGGGACGCCCATTTCGACCTGCACGTGCGGGCGCCGGTCTTGCTCGCCGGAGCGTTTGCAAAAGCGCTTCCCGGCGACCGTCACGGTCTGGTGGTCAACATGATCGACCAGCGTGTCTGGAAACCGACGCCGCGCTTTTTCTCCTATACGCTGTCGAAATCTGCGCTCTGGACGGCGACGCAAACGATGGCGCAGGCGCTGGCGCCGCGCATCCGCGTCAATGCGATCGGTCCCGGCCCGACGCTGAAGAACCCGCGCCAGAGCGATACCGACTTCGCCGCACAGACCGATTCCGTGCCGCTGGGCCACGGGCCAAACCTCGCCGAGTTCGGCGCGACGATCCGCTATCTGTGGCAGGCGCGCTCTGTGACCGGTCAGATGATCGCGCTCGATGGCGGCCAGCACCTGGCATGGCAGACGCCCGATGCCACCGCCGGAGAATGAGGCGGCGCCTGCAAGGAATTGTCTGCTGACAGGCGCGGACTTGAACCACGCCGCCGACCTGTCCCACATAGATGCCATGGACCAGACCCCGGACACCGATTCCCTGCCCGATGCGGACGCCGCCGTTTCCGGCAAGGCGCTGGCGCGCGATCTGGTCTGGGAACAGCAGACCGCGACCGAAAGCGATCTGGCCGGTCCCGACCTGATCACCGCGCTGGCCAAGCGGCTGCCGAACCGGCCGGGCGTCTATCGCATGTTCAATGCGGGCGGCGACGTTCTTTACGTCGGCAAGGCCAAATCGCTGAAGAACCGGGTGACGAGCTATGCGCGGCTTGGCGGGCACACCAACCGCATCGCGCGGATGATCGCGCAGACCGCGTCGATGGAGTTCGTGACCACACGCAGCGAGACCGAAGCGCTGCTGCTCGAAGCCAATCTGATCAAGCGCCTGAGGCCGCGCTTCAACGTTCTCCTGCGCGACGACAAGAGCTTTCCCTACATCATGCTGACCGCCGACCATACGGCGCCGGGCCTGTTCAAGCATCGCGGCGCGCGCTCGAAAAAGGCCGACTATTTCGGCCCGTTCGCCTCGGCCGGCGCGGTCGGCCGGACCATCAACGCGCTGCAGCGGGCGTTCCTTTTGCGGACCTGCACCGACAGCGTCTATGAGAGCCGGACGCGGCCGTGCCTGCTCTACCAGATCAAGCGCTGCTCGGCGCCCTGCACGGGCGAGATTTCGACGGACGATTATGCCGAGCTGGTCGACGAGGCCAAGGCGTTCCTGTCGGGCAAGAGCCGGGCCGTGCAATCGCAGATGGCGCGCACCATGCAGGAAGCAGCCGAGGACCTCGATTTCGAGCGGGCGGCGGTTTATCGCGACCGGATCGGCGCGCTGACCGCAATCCAGAGCCACCAGGGCATCAACCCGCAAGGCATCGAGGAGGCCGACGTCTTTGCCGTCCACCAGGAGGGCGGCGTCACCTGCGTTCAGGTCTTCTTCTTCCGTACGGGCCAGAACTGGGGCAACCGCGCCTATTTCCCAAAGGCAGATTCGTCCATGGAGCCGGGCGATGTGCTCGGCGCGTTTCTGTCGCAGTTTTACGACGACAAGCCCTGCCCGCGCCTGATCCTGCTGTCGCACGAGATCGCCGAAAGCGCGCTGCTCGAGGAAGCGCTCAATCTGCGGGCGGCGCGCAAGGTGTCGATCCTGGTGCCCAAGCGCGGCGAAAAGCGAGAACTAGTCGGCCATGCCCTGGCCAACGCGAAGGAAGCGCTCGGGCGGCGGCTGGCGGAAACCTCCTCGCAGGCCAAGCTGATGAAGGGGCTCGCCGAAACGTTCGGCCTGGAACGGGTCCCGCGCCGAATCGAGGTCTTCGACAACTCCCACATCATGGGCACGAACGCGGTCGGCGCGATGATCGTTGCCGGCCCGGAGGGGTTCGTGAAGAACCAGTACCGCAAGTTCAACATCCGCTCGGAAGAGCTGACCCCGGGCGACGATTTCGGCATGATGCGCGAGGTGATGGAGCGGCGCTTTTCGCGCCTGGTGAAGGAGCATGGTCCCGAACGGGACGACAACGGCGACGACACGGACGCGGCAGACCCCGGCACGCTGCCGGCCTGGCCGGATCTGTTGCTGATCGATGGCGGCCTCGGCCAGCTCAACGCGGTCAAGGGCATCCTCGACGATCTGGGCATTGCCGAGCAGATCGACCTGATCGGTGTTGCCAAGGGACCCGATCGCGATGCGGGCCGCGAACGGTTCTTCATGCCCGGCCGCAAGGACTTCTCGCTGCCGCCGCGCGATCCGGTGCTCTATTTCACCCAACGGCTGCGCGACGAGGCGCACCGGTTCGCCATCGGCAGCCACCGCGCCCGGCGCAAGAAGGAGATGGTGGCCAACCCGCTCGACGAGATCGGGGGGATCGGGCCGGCGCGCAAGCGGGCGCTGCTGCACCATTTCGGCACCGCCAAGGCGGTCGCGCGCGCCTCGGCGGACGACATCGCCAAGGTCGAGGGCATTTCGGATGCGATCGCAGCCCAGATTTACGCCCATTTCCATGACAGCACCTAGGCATCCGATTTCGGCGCGCTTGACGCTCCGGACGGGCGATGCTGATTAGGACGCCGTGACCACCGAAGCCATGAAGGGCTTTTTTCACCGATGGCGAACACGCCGGCACCCCACACTTTCTCGATCCCGAACCTTCTGACCTATGCGCGGATCATCGCCGTGCCTCTGATGGTGCTGTGCTTTTTCGCCGAGGGCAGCTTTCAGGCGAGCAACGCGGCGCGCTGGTGGGCGCTTGCCATCTTCGTCATCGCCTCGATCACCGATTATCTGGACGGCTATCTGGCACGCAAATGGAAGCAGGGATCGGCCATCGGCAAGATGCTGGATCCGATCGCCGACAAGCTTCTCGTGTCGGTGGCGCTGTTGCTGCTCGCCGCAGAAGGATCGATCGCCGGCTGGTCCCTCTGGGCGGCGATCATCATCCTGTGCCGCGAGATCCTCGTCTCGGGCCTGCGCGAATACCTCGCCGCGGTGAAGGTGTCGGTGCCGGTCAGCCGGCTCGCCAAATGGAAAACCGCCATGCAATTGATTGCCATCGGTTTTCTTCTCGCCGGCCCGGCCGGCGATACGGTCATTCCCCTCGTCTCGGAAACGGGGCTGGTGCTGCTGTGGATTTCCGCGCTGATCACGCTCTATACGGGATGGGATTATTTCCGCTCAGGCATGCGGCACGTGACGGGAGGGTGAAATGAGCCGAAACGTCAAGTTCATCTATTTCGCCTGGGTGCGCGAGCGCATCGGCGTCCAGGAGGAGAGGCTCGACCTGCCGGACGACGTGCGCACCGGCGCCGAGGTCATCACCTGGCTCAAGGGGCTGGGCGAGAATTACGCGCTGGCGCTCGACGATGCGCAGGCGATCCGAATGGCGGTCAACCAGGAGCACATCCACCCGTCAGATACCATCGGCACAGCCCGCGAGATCGCGCTTTTTCCGCCGATGACGGGCGGCTGAACCGGCGATGCGCGCAACGCCCGACATCCGGGTTCAGGCCGATCCCTTCGATGCAGCACGCGAATGCGCGGCGATCAGCGCCGCCAGCAACGGCATCGGGGCGCTGGTCACCTTCACGGGCCTGTGCCGCAACGAGGGCGGACGTCTGGCCGCGCTCGAACTTCAGCACTATGCGGGCATGGCCGAAGCACAGATGCGGCGCATCGCCGACGAGGCGTGCGATCGCTGGCCACTCGACGCGCTCGCCGTGATCCACCGGCACGGGCTGATCCGGCCGGGCGAGGGAATCGTCCTCGTCATCGCCGCTGCCGCGCACCGGCGGGCTGCGTTCGAGGCAGCCGACTTCATGATGGACTATCTGAAGACCAGCGCCCCGTTCTGGAAACGCGAACATCTCGCCGACGGCACCCTTGGCGGCTGGGTCGCGGCAAACGAAGCCGACGACGACGCCACGGCGCGCTGGCAAGGCGCCGCGGATCGCTAGAGCCGACAGTCATTGGCGGAAAGAGCTTGTGCGCCTATGCGCCCAGCGCAAACGAGGCGTGGACGATGGCGATGAAGTGGCACGCCGAAGCGGACAGGACGAAGCCGTGCCAAACCGCGTTCTGGTATTTCAGCCCGTCCCACTGGTGGAAGATCACACCGACCGAATAGATCAGGCCGCCGGCGACGATCAGCCAGGCATCGACGAAGGGAACTGTGGCGAACATCGGCCAGACCAACAGCAGGCTCGCCCAACCCATGGCCAGATAAAGCAGCACTGTGTAGCGATCCAGAATGCCGCCGGAAAACAGCTTGCCCGCCGCACCCAGCAGCGCGGCGGCCCAGATCATCGCCAGCAGCGAATAGGCCAATCCCCCGCCGATCAGGACGACGACCGGGGTGTAGGAACCGGCGATCTTCAGGAAGATGGCGGCCTGGTCGAAACGGCGCAGCAGCGGCCGCGTCTCCGGCCAGGGCGTCATGTGGTAGGCTGCCGAAAAGCAGAACAGGCCAAACACCGTCAGGCCGTAGACGATCAACGCGGAATTCAGCGGCACGGACAGCGTCGTGAAGGCAAAGGCGTAGACGAAGGCGAAGCCGATCAGGCTGGCCGCGACACCCAGAACATGGATGGCGCCATCGGCGATGCGCTCCTCGCGCGCATAGTCCGGATAGTCCGCGCCGCGTGTGGCGACAAACTCGGTATCAGAGGCGACTGCACTCACGTCCATTCCACTTCGCAACTCAACATACTGACGATAACTGAAAAACCTTAGAACGCCCTTAACGGCTTTCCTATGACGTTTTCGTCGCACCCGGCATTGCTGTAGAGCAAGTGCGCACACGCCTTTCGACACGACCGGAGAGACAATGACAGCCGCCGAACCACCGCGCAGCCCATCCGCCTACCCCCATCAGATCACCGAAAGGCTGCGCTTTGGCGACACCGACATGCAGGGCCATGTCAACAATGCCGTGTTTGCGACCCTGTTCGAAAGCGGCCGCGTCGCGTTCCTCTATGATCCCGAACACGGCCTGCCGCCCGAGGGCACCCAGTTCGTCATCGCCGAACTGACCGTCCGATTCGAGCGTGAACTGATGTTCCCCGGAGACGTTCTGGTCGCCAGCGGCGTATCGCGCATCGGCAATACGTCGATGACGCTCGGCCAGGCTCTGTTCGCCGGTGACCAGTGCGTCGCAACCGCCCATAGCGTCATCGTCCTCACCGATCTGAAAACCCGCAAATCGACGCCCCTGCCCGATGCGGCACGGGCGCGTTTCGAGGCGCTGGCCATCGACGCGTGAAAAAGCCGGGCGCTGGAACGCCCGGCCTCAATTGATAGCGCGCGGCTTTCGGTTCAGCCGACGATTTCGGTCTCGGCGAACCAGTAGGCGATTTCCTCGGCGGCCGTTTCCGGCGCGTCGGAGCCGTGCACCGAGTTCTCGCCGATCGAATTGGCGTAGAGCTTGCGGATCGTGCCTTCGGCGGCATCGGCCGGGTTGGTCGCGCCCATCACTTCGCGGTTCTTGGCAATGGCGTTTTCGCCCTCAAGCACCTGAACGACAGTCGGGCCCGACGACATGAAGTCGCACAGTTCGTCGAAGAAGGGGCGCTCCTTGTGGACGGCGTAAAAGCCCTCGGCCTGCCGGCGGCTCATCCAGACGCGCTTGGAGGCGACGACGCGCAGGCCGTTTTCTTCGAAAATCTTGACGATCGCGCCGGTCAGATTGCGCTTGGTGGCGTCCGGCTTGATCATGGAAAAGGTGCGCTCGATGGCCATGGTGGTACCCTTTGTCAGCGTGTTTGGGGGAGGATCGGGAAGGTTGGGCGCCCTATAGCTCCGGCGACCGCCCTTGCCAAGGCTTGCGCGCCCGAAATCGGACGCCATGCAGGACCTTGCAAACACTTGCACACGTCCCGGCGCTCGGGCACATGACGGCCATGCTGCAGATCGCAAACATGACCTACCGGATCGCGGGACGGGCGCTGTTCGAGGGCGCGTCAGCCACCCTGCCCGCCGGCTCCAAGTGCGGCTTTGTCGGTCGCAACGGCACCGGCAAGACGACCCTGTTCCGCCTGATAACCGGCGAGATCGCGCCCGAGAGCGGCGATGTGACCGTGCCCGCGAACCTGCGCATCGGACAGGTCGCGCAGGAAGCGCCGGGCACCGACCGGTCGCTGCTCGAAACGGTCCTTGAAGCCGACACGGAACGGTCAAGCCTGCTTGCGGCCGCCGAAACCGAGACCGATCCGGACGCGATTGCGGCGATCCACACGCGCCTTGCCGACATCAATGCGCATTCGGCCGAAGCGCGCGCCGCCTCGATCCTGGCGGGTCTGGGGTTCGATGCCGAGGCGCAGGCGCGTCCATGCGCCTCGTTCTCTGGCGGGTGGCGGATGCGCGTGGCGCTCGCATCGGTTCTGTTCACCGCGCCGGACCTGCTGCTGCTGGACGAGCCGACAAACTATCTCGATCTCGAAGGCACGCTGTGGCTGGAAAACTACATTCAGCGTTATCCGCATACGGTTTTGATCATCAGCCACGACCGCGATCTTCTGAACAGTTGCGCCAGTTCCATCCTGCATCTCGAACACCGCAAACTGTCGGTCTATCGCGGCAATTACGACCGGTTCGCGCGGACACGCGCCGAAAAGGCGATGCTGTCGGCCAAGATGGCCGAAAAGCAGGCCGCCAAGCGCAAGCACATGCAGGCCTTTGTCGATCGGTTCCGCTACAAGGCATCCAAAGCGCGGCAGGCGCAAAGCCGGCTGAAAGCGCTCGAACGGATGGGCGAGGCGTCGGTTCTGGTGGACGAGCACGTGGCGCCGATCCGCTTTCCGTCGCCGCAGCGGCCGGCGGCATCGCCCATCATCGCTCTTGAAGGCGCAAGCGCCGGATATGAGCCCGGACGGCCGGTACTGAGCCGCCTCAACCTCAGGATCGACCATGACGACCGGATCGCGCTTCTGGGCGCCAACGGCAACGGCAAGTCCACCTTTGCCAAGCTCCTGGCCGGGCGGCTCGATGCGCGGGGCGGCAAAATCACCCGCGCCGACAAGCTGCGCGTCGCCATGTTCGCCCAGCACCAGCTTGATGATCTCGATCCCAAGGCGAGCGCCTATCAGCACTTCCGCGCGCTGTTTCCCGACGAGGCCGAAGCCAACGTGCGGGCGCGCGTTGCCAATTGCGGGCTGACGGCGGCCAAGATGGATACGCCGGCGGCCGAACTTTCGGGCGGCGAACGGGCGCGGCTGACGCTGGCGCTGGCCACCCACGACGCCCCTCACCTTCTGATCCTCGACGAGCCGACCAACCATCTGGACATCGACAGCCGCGCGGCGCTGACCGAGGCGCTCAACGCCTATGAAGGCGCCGTCATGCTGATCAGCCATGACCGCCATCTGGTCGAGACGTCCGCCGACCGGCTGTGGCTGGTCACGGACGGCACGGTCACGCCCTATGAGGGCGACATGGACGAGTATCGCGCACTGATCCTCAAGCGCGACGCGGCGCCGCGCGCCGACAAGGCCGAAACGGGCGGCGGCAAGGAAAAGCGGCGGGAGGCCGCGGCCCGGCGGGCCGAACTGGCGCCGATGCGCAAGCGGATCGGCGAACTGGAAGGGCTTGTCGAGAAGGCCGACAAGGTGATCGCAGCGATCGACGCCGAGTTTCTCAAGCCGGAGGTGGTCGCCGATGGTTCGCGCGTCGCCGAACTGTCCCGCAAGCGTGCAGAGGCCGAGCAGAAGCGGGCGGCGTGGGAAGACAAATGGCTGGCGCTGTCGGCCGACTATGAAGAGATCAGCGCCGGCTAGCTGTCCTCGCCGCGCCCCCACTGCCGCGCCGGCTTTTCAGGTTCGCGCCCGGCCTTGTCGAGCGGGACACGGCGGCCGATGTTCGACGTGCTCGCGCGTGTGTCGTCATTGTCCGTCCTGCCGCCCGCCGGTTTGCGCCGGCGCCGCCCGCCGACCGCCATGATCGCGATGCCGGCGCCCAAGAGCCCGTAGGAGGCCGGCCGCACGCGCGGGTCGGGCGCCGCGATCGCGCCCGTCAGCGTCATGTCGAGAAAGGCGATCATGTCGGCCGGGCGGTCGCCCTCGGCAAAGACAAAGGTGTGGAGCCCGTTGCCGATCCCGCTGTCGATGGTGAGTTGCTGCTCCAGAGCGATGTCGGCGGCGATTTCGCCATCGCTGCGCGGGTCCAGGTCCAACACGGTTGCGGCGACAGAGCCTTGCGGGCCGTTGAGAACCAGCGTCAGGTTCGGCATTTCGGCGCCGCCGGGGGGGACGCGGCCGCGACCGGAAATGTCGATGCGCAGCGGCATGGCGGCCGGCGACAGCGAGACATCGGCGATGGTGCGGAACCCGTCGCGCGCCTCATGGATGCGATAGGTGCCCAGATCGACATTGTGATAGGTGCCGAACCAGACCGGATAGAGAACCAGCCCGGCAAGGCCGGCGAGAAAGGTCGTCAGGCCGATGCGGCGCAAAAACGTCATCGTGCTAGGCCGCCCTTTCCCATCGCCCTTCCGGCGTCTGTTTCCAATAGGCCAGATCGTGGCCCTGCGCCTTCAGCGCTTTCCACTGCCCGCGCGCCTGGCCCACGGCCTCGTCGTCGCGCCCGTCGAACATCACCGCGACGCGTTCGTGCGACGACAGATCGGCGGGCGCCTCGGCGCCGCGCACCAGAAAGCGGATCGCGGCGTCGTTGGGATTGGCATCGGTCGCCGTCACGAAGACGGGATGATCGGATGCCGGCTCGTCGCCGTCACGCCCGTGCGGAAGGAACGAGACCGGTTCATAGCTCCACAAAAGCTGATCGACCGCGTCGCGCGCGCCCTCATCGGGCACCTGGACGATCGCATTCCAGCGGCGCGCCAGCGATTTCTCGACAAGTCCGGGCAAGGCCGCATCGAGCGCCGTTTCGGTCAGGTGATAGAAGGTGATCTCGGTCATCGCACGATCCCGGCTGCGCCGTTCAGCCTTCGCAAGTGTCGCGCACCCAGCGGTCGAGCAGGCGCACGCCGAAGCCCGATCCCCAGGAGCGGTTGAAGTCGTTCGACGGCGAGGACATGGCGGTGCCGGCGACGTCGAGATGCGCCCAAGGCGTGTCGCCGACAAAACGCTTGAGGAACTGCGCAGCCGTGATCGAGCCGGCATTGCGGCCGCCGACATTCTTCATGTCGGCAAACTTGGAGTCGATCATCTTGTCATAGTCGGGGCCCAGCGGCAGGCGCCAGACCTTCTCGCCGCTTTGCGCGCCGGCCCGCGTCAGGCCGTCGGCAACCGCGTCATCATTCGAGAAGAGCCCGGCATGGTGCTGGCCAAGCGCGACCATCACCGCGCCTGTCAGTGTCGCCAGATCGATCATCACGCGCGGTTCGAAGGTCTGGTTGCAATAGGTCAGCACGTCCGCCAGCACCAGGCGGCCCTCCGCGTCCGTGTTGATGACCTCGATCGTCTGGCCCGACATGGAGGTTACGATGTCGCCCGGGCGCTGGGCGTTGCCGTCGGGCATGTTTTCGACAAGGCCGATCATGCCGATCGCATTGACCGCAGCTTTGCGTGCGGCAAGCGCGTGCATCAGGCCGACGACCGCCGCCGCGCCGCCCATGTCCCCCTTCATGTCCTCCATGCCGCCAGCCGGCTTGATGGAAATGCCGCCGGAGTCGAAGACGACACCCTTGCCGACGAAGGCGATCGGCTTGTCCTTCGCCTTGCCGCCGTTCCATTTCATGACCAGCAGGCGCGGCGGACGGACCGACCCCTGTGCCACGCCCAGAAGCGCGCCCATGCCGAGCTTCTTCATCTTCTTTTCATCGAGGATATCGGTCTCGACGCCAAGCGCTTCGAGCGCTTCGCCACGGGCGGCAAATTCCTCGGTGCCGAGAATGTTGGCCGGCTCGTTGACCAGATCGCGCGCCAGCATCACGCCGCGCGCGACGGCTTCGGCATCGCGCCAGGCTGTCTTTGCGGCGGCGGCGTCGGCGCTCTGGATGGTCAGCTTCTGTGCCTTCGGCTTGCCGTTCTGACCGTTCTTGGCCGTCTTGTACTTGTCGAATGTGTAGGCCCGCATGAGATAGCCCTGCGCGAAGCTGGCGACCACCGCCGCATCCATGTCCTCTCCGGCGATCATTGTGACGAGCGGCTCCTTGGCGAGCGCGCCGCGCGCGGCACCGCCCAGCGCGATCCAGCCCGGCTCGGAGGCGTCCTCGAGCTTGCCCTGTCCAATGATGACGATACGGCTGGCGGGGCTGCCCGCCGGCGCCAGCACATCGAGCACGGTCTTGGCCTTGCCGGAGAACTCCGCCAACTCGGCGGCGCGGGCGACCACGCCTTCCCCATCCAGATCGCCGGCAAGCGCGGCGATATCGGCGCCCTCCGGAGCAACCAGCAGCGCCGCACCCTTCTTGATCGGAGCCGGTTTGGAAATGGTGATTGTCGGAAGCATGGACATGGGATGACAAAACCTTGAAATCGGTTGCGGGGGGAAAGCCTTGATTTTGGCGCTGCCCGCGGCGATAGCAAGGACCCGATGGTCTCGCAATGGTTCATTAACCGTCGGATTTTCCGGATTGTTAGCCCTGACGGGCGACATTGGGCCGGAACCGGCGAGCCGCGCAAGCGCGGTCCGGGACGGGGTGCCGACCGGGACCGGCACCCGATTCACGAGCGCGAGACCCGGCGCAAAGGATGGCCGCAGCGTTGACCACCGTCGAGCGTTACATATTCCGCCGCGTCGCCATTGCCGCGCTGAGCGCGTTCACGGCGATCCTGGCGGTGGTGTGGATCACCCAGGCGATCACGCGCATCGATTTCGCGACAGGCTCGGCCGGCTCGATCGGCGCGTTCCTGACGATGATGGTACTGCTGACGCCGCAATTCATCACCCTGACGCTGCCTTTCGGGTTGCTGATCGGCGCGGTGAACGTGCTCAACGCGATGAACGCCGACAGCGAGATGCCGGTGATGGCAGGCTCGGGAATCAGCCGCCTCGCCATCGCCCGTCCGATCGTCATCCTGTCGCTGGTGCTCGGGGCGACGGTGTTCCTGATCAGCCATTTCGTCGAGCCGCGGGCAAACCGGGCAGTGCGTGACGTCGTGATCGACATGCGCACCGACCTTCTGGCGACACTCATCCAGGATGGCCGCTTCACGCAGATCGAGGACGGGCTGACGATCTATGTGGACCGCAAGGAGGCCGGCGGCCGCCTGAACGGCGTGCTGATCGCCGACCGGCGCGACGCGGAGATGCATCTGACCCAGTTTGCCCGACAGGCGCAGGTCGATGAAAGCACGGGCGTCAGCCTTCTGGTGCTGCAGGACGGCCAACTGCACAGGAAAGACGTCAAGACCGGACAGGTCTCGATTATCCGGTTCAGGAGCTATGCGCTGGATCTGGCGCAGTTCGGCAGCGCTGGCGAAGGCATCGACTATTTTCTGCACGAGCGCGAAACCGGTTACCTCTTCGATCCCGACCCGAACGATCCCTGGGTGCAAAGCTGGCCAGGACAGGCACGCGGCGAACTTCATCGCCGGATGACGGAATGGCTCTATCCGGTGCTGTTCGCCCTGGTCGCGCTGGTTGTCGCCGGACAGCCGCGCACGCACCGCTCGGCCAGCATCATGGCCTTGGTGCTGGCGTTCGGAGCCGGGCTCGGCTACCGCTGGGCCAGCTATTTTTCCTACAATGAGATCAAGACCGACGGCACGCTGTTCTGGCTTCTTTATGCGATTCCGATGGCCGGTATCGGCCTGTCCGCGCTGATGTTCCTGCGCGGCTGGGTCATGCAGGTGCCCGATCCGGCCGTGCGGTTGGCCGGGACACTCAATGAACGATGGCAGCGCGTGCGCCGGCGCACCGCGCGCAGGCAGTTGAACGAAGCATGACCGGCGTGGCAGGGCGGACATTTCAGGTCTATGTGTTCATGCGCCTTGTGCGCATGGTGCTCTATTTCTTGGCCGGCATTGCCGCGCTCGCGCTGCTGGTCGATTTTACCGAACTGTCCAACCGCACGGGCGCGCTGGCCGACTATTCCGCCCTCAAGGCGCTTGGCGTGTCGGCCATGCGCGTCCCGTTCATCCTTCAGGTCACGCTTCCGTTCGTCATGCTGTTTGCGACGATCGCCACGCTTATCGCGCTGAACCGCAAATATGAGCTTGTCGTTGCGCGTTCGGCCGGCATGTCTGCCTGGCAGTTCCTGGCGCCGACCTGGGTCGCGGCCCTGTTTGTGGGCCTGGCCGGGGTGCTTGTGCTCAATCCGCTCGCCACAAACGGGTTCTCCCTGGCCCAGGCGATCGAGGGGAGCTGGAAGGGCAGTTCCCAGAACCGGCTCTTCAACACCAAGGAGCCCTGGCTGCGGCAAAGCCGCGATGATGGCGGGGCGATCCTGATTACCGCCAAAACGGTCGCCAACCAGGACATCACGCTCTACGAGGCCGTGTTCATCGAGATTGGCGAGGATGGGCGCGTCGTCGCCCGTCACGACGCGGCCTCCGCGCATCTTGCGGAAGGCGAGTGGGTGATCACCGACGTGACGACCAGCGCGCCGCGGCGGCGGCCCGTCCTTGCCGAACGCATGACGATTCCCACAAGTCTGCATACGGAAGTCGTCCGTCAGGCGCTGGTGCCGCCCGACATGGTGCCGATCTATGCGCTGGGACGCCAGATCGATGCCGCCCGCTCGTTCGGCGTGCCGTCGGCTCCGTTTTCCATGCAATATCATTCGCTTGTCGCGCTGCCGGCACTGATGGTCGCGATGGCGATGATCGCCGCAACCGTCTCACTTCGCTTCGTCCGCTTCGGTCAGTCCGCGGGCATGATTGTGGCTGGTGTCACCGCCGGCTTTCTGCTTTATGTCGTCACGGCGTTGGCGAAGTCGTTCGGCAGCGCAGGCGCAATGCCGCCTGTCGTGGCGGCGTGGCTGCCGGTGGTGGGCGGCATCTTGTTCGGGATCGGATATCTTCTCAATCACGAAGACGGGTAATGCGTAACCGAAGGGCACACATGGCGGACGATCGCCACACCGGATGTCGGCGCGGCTACAGCAGCTCACCGCGCTCAAGACGCCTGTGCGCCGGTGTCGGGCTGGCCGCGCTCGTGGCCGGGCTTGCCATGCCCGCCATCCTGTCCCCCGCATCGGCCCAGACCGGCATCGACCAACTGGCCGCGACCAGCCCGGACGCGCCGATGCTCCTGCAGGCGGACGAACTCGTCTATAACAATGATGCGGGCACGATTTCTGCCGTCGGCGATGTGCGCATCGACTATGACGGCTCGAGGCTTGTCGCCCGCCAGGTGACCTATGTCGAGCAGACCGGCCGGATGGTTGCCATCGGCGATGTCGAGATCCTGCAGCCGGACGGCACGCGTCTGGTGGCCGACGAGATCGACATTACCGATGATTTCCGCGAGGGCTTTTTGAATTCCCTGCGTGTGGTCACGCCCGACAACACACGTTTCGTGGCCGAGAGCGCCGAGCGCCGCGACGGCAATGTGACGGTGTTCAACCAGGGCATCTACACCGCGTGCGAGCCGTGCGAGGAACAGCCGGAAAGGCCGCCGCTCTGGCAAATCAAGTCCCAGCGCACGATCTGGAACGCGGAGGAAAAGACCGTCCGCTTCGAGCATGCACGGTTTGAGTTTTTCGGCGTTCCGATCGCCTATATGCCGGTGTTCACCACCGCCGACCCCACGGTCAAGCGCAAGACCGGCTTCCTCGCACCGAGCTTTCGCTTTGCCGAAGAGCTGGGTTTTGGTGTCCGGGTGCCGTTCTTCGTCAATCTGGCGCCGAACTATGATGTGATGCTGACCGGCACCGGCTATACGCGTCAGGGCTTTCTGGGCGAGGCCGAATTCCGCCACCGGCTGCACAACGGCATCTACAACCTCAAGATCGCCGGTATCCAGCAGCAGCGGACGGACGCGTTCGGCGCCGGCACGGTCGACAATCTCAATCCCGATCGCGGCATGATCGGAACGTCGGGCGCGTTCACGATCAACCCGCGCTGGCAGTTCGGCTGGAACGGCATGCTCCAGACCGACAAGAATTTCGCGCGCACCTACTCGATCAGTGGCTTCAATCAGGGGGTCTTCCGCAACGAGGCGTGGCTGACCGGCCTTTCCGGACAGAACTTCTTCGACGCGCGCGTGATGCATTTCGACGTTCAGGAAAGCACGCTCGATCCGGGGGGGCGCAACACCCAGCAACCCAATGTGCTGCCCAGCACGGACTACAATTACGTGCTGTCGCGCCCGGTGGCCGGCGGGCAGCTATCGTTCAATGTGAACACGCGCGGCATCGTGCGCGAAACCGCCGAGACGCGTCTTGCGGCAGGCCCTGCCAACGACAATTTCGCGACCTTCGGCACAGACGGCAATTCCTGGCGGTTCACCGCCGAGACCGAGTGGAAACGCACCTTCACCGCTCCTGGCGGTTTGCTGGTCACGCCGATCCTGCACGCCCAGGGCGACAGCACAATCCTCGACATCAATGCCGCAGGACCGCTGTCGCAGACCATGGAGACCACCGGAACGGCGCTCGCCGCAAACGGCACCCACTGGCGCGGCATGGCAACCGCCGGCGTCGAAGCGCGGCTGCCGCTTCTGGTGTCCGCGCCCGGCTCCACTCACGTGTTCGAACCGATCGGACAGGTGTTCGTGCGGCCCGATGCGCCCAACAATGTCGTCCTGCCCAACGAGGATGCGCAGAGCCTTGTCTTTGACGGGTCAACGCTGTTCAGGCGCGACAAGTTCTCGGGCTATGACCGGATCGAGGGCGGCATAAGGGCCAATGCCGGCATCCGCTACAGCGGCACGCTGGGTGAGAGCTGGAGCACGACCGGCGTCTTCGGACAATCGTTCCATCTGGCCGGCGACAATCCCTACGACGATGCCGATCTGGTCAATGCGGGCGCCGATTCGGGCCTCGAAACCGACCGGTCCGATTATGTCGCCCATGCCGGCGTCAGGCATGCCAGCGGTTTTGCCGCGAGCGCCGACGTCCGGTTCGACGAGACCGATTTCGATTTGCGCCGTGCCGATGGGGGCATATCCTTCACCAACGCCACGATCGCGCTTGCCGCCAACTACGCGATGATCAAGGCCCAGCCTACCTACGGTTTCAACACGGACCGGCAGGAAATCTCCGGATCGGGATCGCTCAGGTTCGCCGAATACTGGCGGGTGCTGGGTTCGGCGACCTTCGATATCTCGAACAATCGCATGACCAACCGGTCGATCGGGCTTGCCTATGACGATGAGTGCTTCCAATTCGGCCTTTCCTATACCGAAACCGTCGATACGGCCGATGCCGTGGAACGCACCTTCGGCATTACGTTCGCCTTCCGCACGCTCGGCGATTTCGGGATCACGTCGTCCGGTCTCGATTTCTGATTGCCGTCATCGTTTCGCCCCGATAGGGCGTCAGGCACCCGGGCACACTTGTGATCGACGCCGCCGGTCGGATAAGACCGGAACGTTCCGCCAAAGACATTTGCCGAGGCCCGCCATGGTTCAGACCCGTTTCCGATACCGCAACCGCCTGATGGCGTTCGCCGTCGTCCTTGCCGCAGCCGTGGCGCCGCTCGGGCCGGCCGGGACGGCGCTCGGCCCCTCGCCCGCCTTGGCCTCCGAGATCAAGGTCGTGGTCAATGACGAGGTGGTCACGAGCTACGACATCGCCCGCCGCTCCGCTTTTCTTCGGCTGCAACGGCGGCCCGGCAATGTGCGGCAATTGGCAACCGACGAGCTGATCGACGACGCGCTCAAGCGAAGCGCGCTGCGGCGCGCCGGCATCAACATCCCGGACTCGATGGTCAGCAGCGCGTTCGGCAATTTCGCCAGCCGCAACAATATGAGCACCGGCCAGCTTACGCAGGTGCTGAACCAGGCCGGCGTGACGGCCGACCATTTCAAGGAGTTCATCCGGCTGCAGATCGGCTGGGGCCAGCTCGTCCAGTTGCGCGCGCGGTCCGAGAGCCAGATGATGAGCGAACAGGATGTCGTCGCCCGGATGCTGGAGCAAGGCGGCCAGAAGCCGACATCGACCGAATACATCCTCCAACAGGTGATTTTCGTGGTTCCCGAGGCCAATCGCGGCCAGCTTTCCGCCCGCCGCACCGAAGCCAACCGCATGCGCGGCCGCGTCAGCAGTTGCGACCAGACGCTGGCGATGGCGCAAAACCTGCGCGATGTCACCGTGCGCGATCTGGGCCGGATTCTCGAGCTGCAACTGCCGTCCAACTGGGCCGATGACATCAAGGGGCTGCGGGCCGGCCAGACCACCAACATCAAGGACACCGAACGCGGCGTCGAGTTCATCGTCGTCTGCCGGGCGCGGCAGGTCAGCGACGACCGCGTGGCGCAGCTCCAGTTCTCGACCGAAGCACTTGAAGGCGATGGCGGCGATGCCGGCGCCAGCCTGTTGGCGGAACTGCGCGAGAATGCCCGCATCCAGCGCCGCTGAAGCGGTGGTCACGGCCCGCCCATGACGACACCGTCAACGCGTCTGCCGCTGGCCGTCAGCTGTGGCGAGCCGTCCGGTATCGGGCCGGACATCATCCTGACGGCGTGGACGATGCGCGCCGAATCGGACCTGCCGCCCTTCTTCTGCGTTGGCGATCCGGCCCAGCTCGCAGCAAGAGCCCGAATGTTGAATTTCGATGTCCCGGTTACCATCGTCGAACCGGGGCAGGCGATGGCGACATTCGCCGACGCGCTTCCGGTCGTTCCGCTGTCGCACCGGGTGGAGGAGAGGCCGGGAACGCCGCTTACCGGAAATGCCGCCGGCACCATCGAGGCGATCGACCGGGCGGTGGCACTGACCGTTGCCGGTGAGGCATCCGGTGTCGTCACCGCGCCGATCGCCAAGAAACCGCTTTATGATGCGGGTTTCGCCCATCCGGGCCACACCGAATATCTGGCCGAACTGGCGGCATCGCATACCGGAACTCGGGTGCGACCGGTGATGATGATCGCAGGTCCCCGCCTGCGCACCATCCCGGTCACGATCCACATTCCGCTGGCCGATGTGCCGGTTGCGCTGACGACGGATCTGATCGCCGAGACGATCCGCGTTGCCGACGGCGATCTCAAACGCAGATTCGGCATTGCCCGTCCGCGCATCGCGGTCGCCGGGCTCAATCCGCATGCCGGCGAAGACGGCGCGCTTGGCACCGAGGACACGGCCGTCGTCGCGCCGGCGGTCGATCAGGTGCGTGCCGAAGGCGTCGACGCGAGCGGTCCCCTGCCCGCCGACACGATGTTCCACGCCGCGGCGCGCGAGACATATGACGTTGCGGTGTGCATGTATCACGATCAGGCCCTGATCCCGGCCAAGGCGCTCGACTTCGATCTCGGCGTCAACGTCACGCTTGGCCTGCCCTTCATCCGCACATCGCCCGATCATGGCACGGCGTTCGCCATTGCCGGCACCGGCGCGGCGCGGCCCGCCAGCTTCATCGCCGCGCTGACGATGGCGGCGCAGATGGCAGCGAACGGCCGGGCGCCCGCGTGACCGACCGGCTTGCGATCGACGGGCTGCCGCCCCTGCGCGATGTCATCGACGCGCACGGGCTCGCCGCCCGAAAGGCGCTGGGACAGAACTTCCTGCTCGACCTCAATCTGACATCGAAGATCGCGCGGCAGGCGGGCGATCTGTCGAACACATCGGTCATCGAGGTCGGGCCCGGACCGGGCGGGCTGACACGGGCGCTTCTGATGGAAGGCGCGCGTCACGTGATCGCCATCGAACGCGATGCGCGGTGCCTGTCGGCGCTCGCGGAGATCGAAGCGCATTATCCGGGACGGCTGACGGTGATCGAAGGGGACGCGCTGACACAGGATTTTGCCGCGCTGGCCGCCGATGACGGGCCCACGGCGATCGTCGCCAACCTGCCCTACAATGTCGGCACGGCGCTGCTGACGACCTGGCTCGGCGTCGAGCAATGGCCGCCCTTCTACGTATCGATGACATTGATGTTCCAGCGGGAAGTCGCCGAGCGTATCGTCGCGGGCCCGGGCGAAGCGGCCTATGGAAGGCTTGGCGTTCTCGCCGGATGGAGGACCGATGCGGCGATCTGCTTCGACGTGCCGCCGCAGGCGTTCCGGCCGCCGCCGAAGGTGACCTCGTCGGTCGTCCACCTGACGCCAAAATCCGCGCCGATCGCGTGCGATGTCGCCAAGCTTGAAACCGTCACGCGGCATGCGTTCGGGCAACGCCGCAAAATGCTCCGACAAAGCCTGAAGCCCGTCGGCGGCGCGGACCTGCTCGACCGCGCGGGCATCGAGGCGACCCGCCGTGCCGAAACGCTTTCGATCGCCGAATTCTGCGCCCTTGCCAACGCCCTATGAGGCGCTGCCGTCCCGCCAGTCCGACGCCAGAAGGCCCGAGACGAAATCGAACAGCCCCGGACGGCGGTCGCGCCTGAGGCGTTCGGCGCGGACGATCGCGCGCACTGCCTCGAAAGCGCGATCGAGATCGTCATTGACGATCACATAGTCGTATTCGCGCCAATGCTCGATCTCGAGGGCGGCGTTCTTGAGCCGTTGCTCGATCACGTCGGGCCTGTCCTCGGCGCGCCGCATCAGCCGGGCGCGCAGTTCGGCCATCGAGGGCGGCAGGATGAACACCGAGACCACATCGGCGCGCATCTTCTGGGTCATCTGCTTGGCGCCCTGCCAGTCGATGTCGAACAGCATGTCGCGGCCGGCTGCCATGGCCTGCTCGACCGGCGCCCGGGGCGTTGCATAATGATTGCCGTGCACTTCGGCCCATTCGAGCAGATCGTCATCGTCGCGCATGCGCATGAAGGTCCGCTCATCGACGAAGCGATAGTGAACGCCCTCGATCTCGCTGCCCCGGCGCGCGCGGGTGGTGACAGATACAGACAGTTCGAAGCCGGCATCGATCTCCATCAAGTTGCGTGCGATGGTCGACTTGCCCGCACCCGAAGGCGAGGACAGGACGAGCATCAGGCCGCGTCGCGCGATCGGGACGCTCACCGCGTCCGCGTCATCTGTTGTCATGGCTGCCACGGCACCCTCTCCGTCGTGACCGTTTCTTGGTCTATTGCAGGTTTTGCACCTGTTCGCGCAACTGGTCGATCACAGATTTCAGCTCCAGGCCGATGGCGGTCAGGTCCGAAGACGCCGATTTCGAGCACAGCGTGTTGGCTTCGCGGTTGAACTCCTGGGCCAGAAAATCGAGCTTGCGGCCGATCGGGCCACCCTTGGCCAGATGATCGCGCGCGGCCGCGACATGGGCCTTCAGACGGTCGATCTCCTCGGTGACGTCAGCCTTGGCGGCAAGCAGCGCCACTTCGGCGTTCAGACGTTCGGAATCCAGCGTGGAATCGCCGAGAAGCCGCTCGAGCTGTGCCGAAAGGCGCGTTCCGATAGCGTCCGGCTGGCTTTCGGGCTCGTCCGCCGCACGGTCGACCAGCGCCTCGATCGCCGCGATATGGCCGGCAACAAGCGCGGCCATCGCCGCGCCTTCCGATCGGCGGGCGGCGATCAGCCCGTCAAGCGCGGCATCGATCAGCGCGCCGATTTCTTCGCTATCGTCCGGGGCCAGACTTGCGGTGCCGTCCTCGGTCAGCACAACGCCACGCACCTGCAGAACCCCGTCCGTGGTCGGCGGCGCGAGCCCGGTCTCGACCGACAGCGCCATTGCCTGCGCGGCCACATGGCGAAACGCGCCGGCATCGATGGCAAGCGGCACCGTATCGGCAGGCGCCTCGGCGCCGATCGAAACCTGGATGTTGCCGCGCGCTACGCGGCCGGCGATCCGTTTCTTGAGGCCGGGTTCCAGCGCTTCGAGCCCCGGCGGAACACGGAGCTTGATGTCCAGCGAACGGCCATTGACGGAGCGGATGTCGCAATTGACCCGAACGGTGCCGATGGTCCGGTGTGCCGTGGCAAATCCGGTCATCGACTGAATGTCCGCTTCGCTCATCGCTTCCCCCTGCCGGCCGATGCGCGTCTGCCGTGTCAGTTCTGCGTGGCCTCGCCCTCGGCGGGCTGTTCGGCCGCCTCCCGCGCCGCCTCGCGCTCGGCCTCGATCTGCCGCCATCGGCGCACATTGGCGTTGTGTTCGTCAAGCGTCCTGGAAAATGCGTGTCCGCCGGTTCCGTCGGCAACGAAGAACAGGTCTTCCGTTTGCGCCGGGTTGGCGACCGCTTCCAGCGATGCGCGGCCGGGAATCGCGATCGGGCCCGGCGGCAGGCCATCGATCTGATAGGTGTTGTAGGGTGTGGGATTGTCGATGTCGGACTGGTAGATGGGCCGGTCGGCGGGTTTCCCCTCACCGCCGAAAATGCCGTAGATGATCGTCGGGTCGGATTGCAGCCGCATGCCGCGTTCGAGGCGGTTGACGAAGACCCCGGCGACACGCGGGCGCTCCTCGGCAAGCGCGGTCTCCTTTTCCACGATCGATGCCAGGGTGACGAATTCGTTGATGTCGTTCAGCGGCAGATCCGGATCGCGCTTTTCCCAGATCTGCGCAATCAGCCGCTCCTGCTGATCGATCATGCGCGCGATGATGTCGCTGCGTTCGGTGCCGCGCGTGAATTTCTGCGTGTCGGCGATCAGCATACCCTCGGGCGGCATGTCGGAAGGCATGTCACCGGAGAGAAACTCGTTCTCGGCGATCCGCGCGAATGCCTGGGCGACGGTCGTGCCCTCGACGATCGTCAACGGATGCAGGATGGCGACGCCCTGCACCATCGTCTCCATGATGTCCTTCATCGAGGCGCGGGCGGTGATCTCGAACTCGCCGGCCTTGAAGGCGTCCTGGTTGCCGTAGGCGCGCGCGCCCAGCTCGAAAATGCGCGCATTGGTGATCATGCCGCGCCGCTCCAGCCCGTTGGCGATCTGGATGAGCGTGGCACCGGGGCGGACCATATAGGTCGACGAGGCCGCAAGCGGCCCGGGCTGCTCGAAGCGCAGTTTGCCCAGATACAAGGCGCCGCCCAGCGCGACCATCGACATGATGAGCAGCGTGAACAGGAAATTGGCGAAGACGACCACCTGGCTGCGCGCGGCACGGGCGCGCCGGCGCTTTGGCGGCTCGACACCGCCGTCGGGGCGCAGGGCCTGGGCCGGAGAGCGCGGAATGGGCCGCTGACCGGTGTCCGGCGCCACTGGATCGGCGCCCGGCACAGCCGGCTTGCGGCCCCCGCGCCCGAACTTGATCTTGTCACTCACGTCGCTTCCCCTGATGGCGAATGGTGGCGGTTCGCACACTGTCGCTCCGGCTTGGCCGGGTTGGCTTGTCGCTTCGACAGAATGTCATGGTTTGGCGTATCGACGCGCACAATAAAAGCCTTTGTGGCGAAAAACCGGTGGCCCCTTGCGGAACCTTGGCGCTGCGTCAGGCGTCGAAGCGGCGCAGGACCAGCGAGGCGTTGGTGCCGCCAAAGCCGAACGAGTTGGACAGGGCGATATCGACCCGACGCTGGCGTTTTTGATGCGGTACAAGGTCGATCGCGGTGTCCACATCGGGATTGTCGAGATTGATCGTCGGCGGCACGACCTGATCACGGATGGCCAGCGTGCAGAAGATCGCCTCGACCGCGCCAGCCGCGCCCAGAAGATGGCCGATGCACGACTTGGTCGACGACATGGACACCTTGCCCGCCGCATTGCCCAGAACCCGCTCAACGGCACCCAGTTCGATCGTATCGGCCATGGTCGATGTGCCGTGGGCGTTGATGTAGTCGATTTCGGCGGGCGCGATGCCGGCGCGGGCGAGCGCGGAGCGCATGCAGCGTTCGGCGCCCTCGCCATTCTCGGACGGAGCGGTGATGTGATAGGCATCGCCCGAAAGGCCGTAGCCGACCACTTCGGCGTAGATCTTCGCGCCGCGCGCCTTTGCGTGTTCGAGTTCCTCGAGCACGACGACACCGGCGCCCTCGCCCATGACGAACCCGTCGCGGTCGCGGTCATAGGGACGCGAGGCGGCAGCCGGATCATCGTTGCGGCCGGTGGACAGCGCCTTGCAGGCGGCAAAGCCAGCCAGCGAAATCCGGCAGACCGGCGATTCCGTGCCGCCGGCGACCATCACGTCCGCATCGCCCAGCGCGATCAGGCGGCTGGCATCGCCGATGGCATGCGCGCCGGTCGAACAGGCGGTGACGACCGAGTGGTTCGGGCCGCGCAGCTTGTGGCGGATCGAGACATGGCCGCTGACCAGATTGATCAGCCGGCCGGGAATGAAGAAAGGCGAAACGCGGCGCGGACCGCGGTCGCGCAGCACGTATCCGGTCTCGACGATGCCCTCGATGCCGCCAATGCCCGATCCGATCAGGACGCCGGTCGCGATCTGGTCCTCATCGCTTTCGGGATGCCAGTCGGCATCGGCGAGCGCCTGTTCGGCCGCGGCAACGCCATAGACGATGAAATCATCGACCTTGCGCTGCTCCTTGGGCTCCATCCAGTCGTCGGCATTGTAGGTGCCGTCGCTGCCGTCGCCGAACGGCAGACGGCAGGCAATCTGCGCCGGCAGGTCGTCGACCTCGAACTCGGTGACCTTGCGCGCGGCGCTTCGGCCCTCGAGCAGGCGGGCCCATGTGGTTTCGGCGTCCGCCGCGAGCGGCGAAACCATGCCGATCCCGGTGATGACAACACGGCGCATCTGCATCGGAAACGCACCCGGCGCGAACGACCGGGCGTCTGAGGTCAGGCGTTGGCTTTTTCGATGAACTTGACCGCATCGCCCACGGTCAGGATCGTTTCGGCGGCATCATCGGGGATTTCCACGCCGAACTCTTCCTCGAACGCCATCACGAGTTCGACCGTATCGAGGCTGTCGGCGCCCAGATCGTCGATGAAGCTTGCGCCTTCGGTCACCTTGTCTGCGTCAACACCGAGGTGCTCGACGACGATCTTCTTGACCCGCTCTGCAACATCACTCATGTCGGAAATCCTTGATTGGTTCTATTCGGTTCGCTCGTGACTATCCGCACCCGCCAGCCTAATCAAGATGAAAGAGCGGAGCGAAAAGAAGTTTGTGGACGGCCCAAATGCCGGAACGCGCCCTCAGATCATCGCCATGCCGCCATTGACGTGCAGCGTCTGGCCGGTGATGTAAGACGCTTCGTCGGAGGCGAGAAACGCCACTGTCATTGCCACTTCAGCGCCCGTGCCCATGCGCTTCATCGGGATGGCGCCCATAATGGCATCGGTCTGTTTTTCATTGAGTTTTTCGGTCATCGCGCTCTCGATGAAGCCCGGCGCGACGGCATTGACGGTGACATTGCGCGAGGCAATCTCCTGGGCCAGCGACTTGGTGAAGCCGATCAGTCCCGCCTTTGAGGCGCAATAGTTCGCCTGGCCGGCATTGCCGGTGACGCCGACAACCGAGGAGATGTTGACGATGCGACCGTTGCGACGGCGCATCATCGGGTGGGTCAGCGCCCGCGTCAGCCGGAACACAGCCGTCAGGTTGACCTCGATGACCGTGTCCCAGTCGTCGTCGGACATGCGCACGAAGAGCCCGTCACGGGTGATGCCGGCATTGTTGACGAGGATGTCGACGCCTTCCAGGTCCGCCTCGGCCTTCCTGGCCAGATCGTCGACTGCGGCACGATCGGACAGGTTGGCGGGAAAGATTTGCACCCGGCCGCCGAGCTCGCCGGCCAGCGCTTCGAGCCTTTCTTCGCGCGTGCCATGCAGGCCCACGGTCGCGCCCTGGGCATGCAGCGTGCGGGCGATCGCCTCGCCAATGCCCCCGGACGCGCCGGTCACCAGCGCCTTGCGGCCGCTCAGATCGATCATGGCAGTTCCCGTTCCGTTGTTTCGCTCTGGCTCTGGCTCAGGCGTTCTTTTCGAGGAACGCTTCTATATCGGCGGGCGTCGAAATGGCAACGGCATCGACCGAGCGGTCTATGCGGCGCGCCAGCCCGGTCAGCACCTTGCCCGATCCGGCCTCGACCAGATTTGTGACGCCCTGTGCGGCCAGCCATTGCACGGTTTCGCGCCAACGCACCTGCCCGGTGACCTGCTTGACGAGCGTTTCGATGATGGCGTCGGCTCCGGTCACGGGCGCCACCGTCACATTGGCGATGACGGGCACCATCGGCTCGGACACGCGGACATTGGCGAGCGCTTCGGCCATGGCATCGGCGGCCGGCGCCATCAGCGATGAATGAAAGGGCGCCGAGACAGCGAGCAGCTTGGCGAGCTTTGCGCCATTGGCCCTGGCGATGTCGGCAGCAGCCTCGACCGCCTGCCTGCCGCCGGAAATGACGATCTGCCCGCCGCCATTGTCATTGGCGATCTGGCAGGGCCCGTGGGCTGCGGCCTCGTCGCAGGCTGCCTGCACGCCCGCATCATCGAGACCGATGATCGCCGCCATCGCTCCTTCGCCGGCCGGGACGGCGGCCTGCATGGCGTTGCCGCGCACCCGCAGCAGCCGCGCCGCATCGGCGATGGTAAAGGTGCCGGCGGCGGCGTGGGCGGAGTATTCGCCCAACGAGTGTCCGGCGACGAAAGCGGCCTTTTCCCAGACCTTGTAGCCCTGGGCTTCCAGCACGCGGACAACGGCCATCGAGACGGCCATCAGGGCCGGCTGGGCGTTGGCGGTCAGGGTGAGCGAATCGTCCGGCCCTTCCCACATCGTCTTTGAAAGGTTTTCGCCCAGCGCCGCATCCACCTCCTCGAAGACGGCCCGCGCTTCTGCAAACGCATCGGCGAGGTCCTTGCCCATGCCGACGGCCTGTGAGCCCTGACCCGGAAACGTGAAGGCAATTGTCATGATCGGTCCTCGTCAAAAGCGCGCGCTTGGTGCGGGAGAAGGGCTGGAGTGTCAAGGCCAAACGGCCGCGACGCCGCGTCAGGATGCACCGAACAGTTCGCGGAACGCGCCAACCAGCCAGCGATGCAGCGGGTTGGCCGCGTTGCGTCGGTGAATGACCGCCGAGATGACGATCTCGCGCAGCGACAATGGCGGTCGATGGACGATGAGCCCGAAGCGGTGCGCGTAGATGCCGACGAGCCTTTCGGGAAGCGTGGCGACCAGATCGGTGGTCGCCGCCGTCTCGAGCGCCGGCATGAAGAGCGGCACAGCAGCGGCGACATCGCGGCGCCGACCCTGCCCGGCCAGCACATCGTCGACGATGCCTTCCAGATCGCCCGACGGCGAGACGACCAGGTGGCGGCAGGCGCAATAAGTCTCAAGGTCGAGCGCCTGTCCGACAAGCGGATGTCCGGACCGGGCAACCACACGATAGCCCTGACCATAGAGCGACCTCGCTTCAAAACCCGACGGCAGGTCCCAGAAGAAGCCGGCGGCAAGATCGATCTCGCCCTGCGCCAACGCCGCCAGAGCCGCCTTGCGCTCGAGACTGCGGACGGCGACCCGCAAGCCGGGAGCCTTGTCGCTCAGCCGCGCCAGAAGCGGCGGCAGCATGGTCATGATCTCGTTGTCGTTGGCGGCGATACGCACAATGGCTTCGGCGCGCGCCGGTTCGAACGGCGCGGGCGGCTTCAGCGCCTTGTCCAGCGTCTCCACCGCCTCGCGCACCACCGGTTCGAGCGCCAGGGCAACCGATGTCGGCTCCATGCCGTGCGGCTGGCGCAGAAAGAGGGGGTCGCCGAACGCATCGCGCAGGCGCTTGAGCGCATGGCTGATCGCCGACTGCGTCAGCCCCATCTCGCGGGCGACGGAGACCGCCTTGCGGTGGCGCATCATCGACAGGAAGACGAGCAGCAATGTCATGTCGAGGCGGCGTAATGCAATTACATCGATATCAAACATCGATCGATTTCATTTTCATTGAACTGTGTGGCGCTTTATCTCTCCGCACATGGAAAGCCAAGCGGAAACCGGTTCATGACAATCGCGATCATCGGCGCCGGCCATGTCGGCCGCGCGCTTGCAGCGGTGTGGGCGCGTGCCGGTCACGACATCGTTCTCGGCGTCCGGGCCCGTCGATCGACGGACGGCGCGTCCATCGGCGACGCCCCCGGCGTGCGGCGGGAAAACCCCCGCGATGCAGCGCGGGCGGCATCGACAGTGGTGCTCGCCCTGCCCTGGGCTGCGGCTGAAACCGCACTGCCGACGCTCGGAGACCTGAGCGGCAAGACCGTCATCGACTGCATGAACCCGATCGCCCGCACGCCGGACGGCATGGGCCTCGCGGTCGGCCACACAACGTCAGGCGCCGAACAGGTCGCGAACTGGCTGCCGGGCGCCAACATCGTCAAGACGCTGAACCAGGTGGGCGCGGAGATCATTGCCGACACGTCCGGTTTCGCGATGCCGCCCGTCATGTTCATGGCCGGCGACGATGACGGGGCGAAAGCCGTGGTCGCCGGGCTTCTGACCGATCTCGGCTTCGAGCCGCTCGATGCGGGCGATCTGACCAGGGCGCGACTGTTGGAGCCTTATGCGCTGGTCTGGATCAACCAGGCGATCCTGCGCGGCAAGGGCCGCAGCTGGGCCTTCGCCGCCGTCGAGCGGGCCGGCACGTCATGAGCGAGCCCGTCACAGTCATCGCGCGCCGGCGGGTCAAGGCCGACTCCGAGCAGGTTTATGAAGACTGGCTCGAGCGCCTGACGACCGAGGCAAAGGACCTTCCCGGCTATGTCGGCGCCGAGTTCCATCGGCCCGAGGCGGGCGAGCGCGAGTACAGAAGCGTCTTCCGGTTCGACAGTCTGGAAAACCTTGAAGCCTTCGAGCGCTCCGACCTGCGGGCGCGATACCTGGAAGAGATTGCGCCGCATGTGGATGGCGATGCCGCCTGGGACCGGATGACAGGGCTCGAAGTCTGGTTCGACCCCCCGCCAGGCACCGTGGTGCCGCAGCCCTCGCCTCATCGTATGGCGGCGCTCCTGATCGCGGTCGTCTTTGTTCTGGTGCTTGCGCTGAACCTTGTTCTCGACCCGCTCATCGGCGGCTGGCCGCTGGCCTTGCGCCTGCTGCTGACCGTCACGCTTCAGGTGCTGGCGATGACCTACCTGATCATGCCCCGCCTGACCCGCGCACTGGCGCGGTGGATTTATCCCTCGACCCAAACCGTCTCCTGAAAGGACCTTGCGCAATGAGTGCATCCATCGACACACACGGCGAAAAACGCATTCTCATGATCGCCGCCAACCCCGCCACCTCGCCGACCACGGGCTGGCCGGTCGGCTTCTGGTGGGCCGAACTGACCCACCCCTACTGGGTGTTCACCGAGGCCGGCTACACGGTCGACATCGTATCGCCCAAGGGCGGCGACCTTGCCGCCGACGGCTTTTCCGACCCCGAAGATGACAGTCAATACTCGGCCCACGACATCGTCTCGCTGGGCTTCAAGAAATCGCCAGCCCATGCCGCGCTGCTCACGGGCACCAAGTCCATCGCCGATGTGTCGATTGAGGATTATGGCGCGATCTTTCTTGCCGGCGGCCAATCGCCGATGGTCACCATGATCGACGATGGCGACCTGCACGCCTTCGTCGCCAAGGCCCATGAGGCGGACAAGGTGGTGGCCATCGTCTGCCATGCAACCTGCGTACTGCTCAAAACGAAACTGCCGGACGGCTCGCTTCTCGTTGCCGGCAAGACATGGACGGGCTTTGCCGATGCCGAAGAGAAGTTCGCCGACGATTTCGTCGGGCAGAAGATCCAGCCGTTCTGGATCGAGGAGGAGGCCCGGAAACTCGACGGAACCAACTTCGTCGTCAACTCGCCGTTCAAGCCGTTCGCGGTGCGCGACGGCAATCTGATCACCGGCCAGCAGCAATTCTCCGGCGCGGCTGCGGCCGAACTGGTCGTCGACACGCTCGGTCGATAGGCAGGCCGCAACCCCGCCAAGGCAGGGCTTGCAAATGCCGCAATCAGAGCCTTGAGTATCGGTCAGCCAGCCGGAAACCGGCGCGCACCAACACTCAAGGCCCTTTCATGACCGACACCCAATCAACGACCGACATTGGACCCGAAACCTCGGGGGAAACCGCCGTGCTTACGACGTCGGCGCTGTTCACCGCGATCGCCGGCATCATTCTGGTCGATGCGGAAATTCTGGCCGTCGCCGGAGCCGCGGCCTATGCGCTGTCGGCCGCCATCGGCACCGGGCCGGTGGGACTGGCCGTCATCGGCGGACTGGTCGGCCTGCCGACGCTCTGGCTGTGCTGGATGGTGGCGCGGCTGGCGATCGCGGGCGAGCGGGATGCGGCAAACGACGAATGATCGACCCGGCCACGCTGATCGCCTATCTGGCCATTCCGCCTCGCATTCGGGAACAATGGCGACGCCCCTTGCGCGCCGCCGCGGACACACCATCTGATCGTCGACAGGCCAGCCGCCCGGTCCTGTTGGCACGGTGAAACGTGCCTTCTGCGTCGTTGGCGCGGCATGGACCTGATTGTGAACTCCTATCTGCTTGTTGCCGCAGGTCTGGCGGCTTTGTTTGTGGGCGGCGAACTGCTGGTGCGGGGCGCCGTGGCAGCGGCGCTTCGCCTCGGCATCAGCGCGTTTGTGGTCGGCGTGGTGGTGGTCGGCTTCGGCACGTCGATGCCCGAACTGCTGGTGTCCGTGCGCGCGGCACTGGCCGGAACGCCGGCGATCGCGCTGGGCAATGTCATCGGATCGAACATCGCCAACATCCTGCTCATCGCCGGGATCGGCATCGCGATCGCGCCGGTTGCCGCGCTCGACCGGGCAAACCGAACCGACGTGATCGTCATGCTGGTGGCCGGGCTCGCCGCGACCGGGCTGCTGTTCTTCGACACGATCGGACGGGCCATCGGGCTCGGTCTTCTGGTCCTTCTGGCCGTCTATCTGGGAAATGCGGTCCGATCGGACAGCGATGCCGGCGCGGCTACTGAACAGCCGGTGGCCGGATCAGGCGCGGCCGCCGTCCCCGTCATCGCATTGCTGCTTGTCGGCGGACTGGCCCTGCTGTTTGCGGGCGCGGAGATGCTGATCAACGGGGCGACCGCCATCGCGCGTGGCCTCGGCATATCGGAAGCGGTGATCGGGCTGACGATCGTCGCCGTCGGAACGTCCCTGCCCGAGCTTGCGACGACACTGGTCGCCGCCATCCGCCGCCAGGGCGACGTGGCGATCGGCAACGTCATCGGCTCGAACATCTTCAACATCTTCGGCATTCTGGGAGCCACCGCGCTTGTCGTGCCGATCCCGGCAGCCGGTGTGCTCGCGCCCGGCGACGCCCTCATGCTGGGCTTGGCAACGGCAGTTTTCGCCGCGCTCCTGCTGAGCGGCCGGACGATCGGACGGGTCTGGGGCATTGCGTTGCTCGCCACATATGCCGGCTACACGGCCTGGCTGTTCTGGACCTGACGGCAGTCCCCCTCCGCTCGCCGCTTGCCGCGGGCCCGGCCCTCCCATACAGTCTTTTCGGCTGAGCAGGGGGCCCGGGGATGACGATCACGGCAGCCGCACCGACACGCGCGATCACCGGAGGGGCCACGCCCTTCCCGGAGGCAGCGGCCGAAACGGTCGCTGCCAGGCTCGGCCAACGCGTTGCGTCACTCGATGGCACGCCGCATGAGCTGTTCGCCCGCCTCTACCGGTGCTCGACCATACATTGGCTGGATCGTCTGAGCGGCCAGCCGGACGCCGACATCGTCTTCCGCCTGATTCCGCATTTCTTCGCACTGTATGAAGAGCGCGTGGGCGCGGTCATCGCCGGCCGCGGCCCCTGCTCGGCCCACTGGAAGCCCTATTTCGACGCCTGCCGCAGTCCGCACTGGCGGCACCGACCGGCCGATGCATGGCGGATCGTCGTCGCCGGCGTGCACGCCCACACGACCATCGATTTGCGCGACGCGATCGTGCGCACGGTCTCCGACCACCGACTGAGCTATGGCCGGCCGCCGGATCTGGACGTGTTCGAAACGCTGATGTTCGGCTCGGTTTGCGACCGGTCCTTCGCCGCGGCAGCGGTCGCCTTTTGCGATCACAATCGCCGGACCGCAGGGCCGCTCCTGGGCTCGCGCCTTGCGGCGCAAAGCCCGAACGGGCTGATCGCGGTCTGGGGACGATGGCTGCACGCCTGGCGCTGGTCGGCATGGACGGACGCCCGGGCACGCATCGCTTGGGCGCACGGGCCGTCGTGAAGCAGCCTCTCGCGCTTTTCGATGTCCTGGGGTTTCCGGGCGTCTGGGCGTCGCGAAATCCGGTGCGAGCGGCGCTCGTTCTGAGCCTGATCATGCTCGGCGCACTTGCGGTCCTGCCGCAGCTCCGCTTCGACGACAATGTGGTGCGCACGCTGTCATCGGACAGCGCCGTCTCGCGCGACTATCGCGCCCTTTCCGAAGATCTAAGAGGGGCCGAACAGGATATCCTCGTTCTCGCCGAGCATCCGGCCGGCTTTTCGGCGGATGCCTATCGGCAGATGCGCGACCTTGCGCTCGAACTCGAACTGACCGGCCGCGTCAACTACGTCCTGTCGCCGTTCGCGCTGCGCTTTCCGCCCGACCACGAGGCCTATCCCGGCGCGCCGATGGTGCCCGAACCGATCGATCCGGACACGCTGGAGCCCCGGATCGAGGCCTTTTCGGAACTCGCCGGCACGCTGCCGCCGCTGATCAGCCCGGATCGGACCGCTCTGTTGATGGCCGTCGCCATAGACCTGCCCCACGGCAGCCCAGAGACGCGCCCGCTGCTCGCGACGATCGGAGCGCTGACCGATGCGTTCGGTGCGCCCGGCCTTGCCTATACCGTCGCCGGCGAACCGGCGATGGCGGTCGACATCGTCGAAGCGCTGCGTGTCGACCTGATCCGCCTGAACGTGGCCGGGGGCCTCTTGGGTGTCCTGATGTGCTGGGTGATCTTCGGCGATCTGCGCGTTGCGGCGCTGACCGCCGCACCGGCGGCGGCCGGCCTGCTGGTCACGCTCGGGATATTCGCGGCGACGGGACTGCCGATCACCGTGATCACCAATGTCGTGCCGGTCCTGGTGCTGGTGCTCGGCCTTGCCGACAGCGTGCACCTGGTCATGCATCTTCTTGAAGACGCACCGGCGACCACTCCGACCCCTGAGCGCATCGCCGATACCGCCGGCCGTGTCGGTCCCGCCTGCGGGTTGACGGCGATCACCACCGCCGTGGCATTCGCCGCCATCGCCATCGCCGACAGCGAGCCCTTGCGGGAACTGGCGCTGCTCGGCGCGCTGTCGACGATATCGGCCTATCTCGTCGTTCTGGTCGGCTATGCCCTTCTTGCGCGGTTCGTTCCCGCCGGGGCCGCGGCGCGCCTTCGGCGGCGGCGCACGGTCGGCGTGCCGCCCCTGTTCGGCCGGCTCGTCTTCAATCACGGGCGCGTCGTCATCGCTTGCGGCGCCTTCATCGGGCTTGCAGCGACCTTCGCCGTGTCGCTGACCGAACCCTGGTTCACATATCGCGGAAATCTGGCGCAGGACAGCGCCGTCTACCGCGCATCCGATGTCATAGAACGGGATTTTGGCGGGTTCTTCCGTGCCTGGGTCGACTTCGATCTCGAGGCCGAGGGCGGCTGGACAACCGGATCCGGCTGGCGGAGCCTGGTTGCCTCGACCGAGCGCCTTCAGGCCGAAAACCCGCAGCTGGCCGTCATCTCGCTGGCGACATTGGCGGCACAGCTTGGCGTTTCGGGACGGCCGCCGGAACCTGAAGACCTCGCCGACGTTCCCCCGGCACTTCTGCGCCAATTGGCCTCCGAAGACGGACAGACCACGCGCGTGATGGTGCCCATCGGAGACCCGATGCGCGATGAAGCGGCGCTCGCCAGGTTCGACCGGTTCGAACAGAGCGCGCGGGCAAGCGGGGCAGCCCGTGTCAGCGGTCTGCCGGTGCTGATGCGCCACGAACCGCTCGACATCATCCAGCAGTTGTCGATCGGGCTGGTCATGGCGTGCCTTGCCTCCGTGGTGCTGGTCGCGGTCGCGCTTGGCTGGCCGATGCTGGCGATCGCCCTCTTGCTTCCGAACCTGTTGCCGCTGGCGTTGGCCGGCGCGGCGCTGCACCTGATCGACGGCGGACGGATGATACCGACGGCCGCGCTTGCGCTGACCGTCGCATTCGGGATCGCGGTCGACGACTCGATCCACTTCGTCAGCCGGTTCGACCGCGAGCGGCGCGACGGACATGCCATCGACGCTGCCCTGCGCCGATCGCTCGAGGGAACCGGGCGGGCGATGATCGCGACGACGCTGCTGTTGTGTGTCGGCCTGCTGGTCGTTTATCTGAGCGCATTCGCCACGGTCCGGCTGTTCGGAACCATGCTGATCTTTACCTTCATCACGGCGCTGCTGGCCGACCTGGTCTTCCTGCCCGCGCTTCTGCGACAACGATGGTTTCGCCGATGATCCGCCCGGCCCTGCTTGTGCTCCTGATGGTCGGCCTAGCGTGGCCGGCGAAGGCCGAACCCCTTCTGTCGCTTGGCGGCAAGTGGGCGGGTGCGGGATGGGCGAGCCGCGAACCCGGTGCGCCGCGCGAGCGGGTGCGCTGCCGCCTGACCAACCGGGTCGATCACGCTCTTGGGCGCTTGTCGGTTTCGGGCACGTGCGCGGCGCCGGGGCGGCGGTTCGACCTTTCGGGCCGGATGACCGCCGAAGGGGGCAGACTGAGCGGTCGCTGGTCGAACCCGTTCGGCGCGGGGGCCGCCAATGTCTCCGGACGCAGCCGTGGCCAGACGATGACGGTCTCCTTCCGGGGGCGCGATCCGGACACCGGCGAACGCTTCAAGGTACAGATGCGGTGGACAATCGGCGACGATCGCTTCTCGATCACAACCGCAAGCGCGCCCATTGATGGAGAAACCTACCGTGTCGTCGGCGAGATCGGTTTCGCACGGACGGACGGCTGACGGCGCACCTTCCGACGGCCGCCCCCTTGCATGGCGGCCGAAAATCTGTATATCAGCGCCAGCCGGTCAGCCGGGGGCTGAACGGGGGATGGCTCTCCATTGGGGAGCCATTTTGCATCGCACAAGCGCTGCGCCTCCTGAAGATCCCGCTCTCGACCCGTCGAGTTCTTTCGCCTTTCGTGCCGCTGACGCGGATCGGACAGGCCAGGAGGCTTCGCCGCTGACAGGCTGGAATGAAACGAAAGGCAAGGATCAAATGCCACTTTACGAACACGTGTTCCTGGCGCGCCAGGACATCTCATCGAACCAGGTCGAGGAACTCGTCGACCAGTTCAAGGGCGTTCTGTCCGAACTTGGCGGCAGCGTCGACAAGGTGGAAAGCTGGGGGCTGAAATCGCTCCAGTTCCGCATCAAGAAGAACCGCAAGGCGCATTACACGCTGCTCAACGTCAACGCGCCTGCCGCCGCGATCCACGAACTGGAGCGCCAGCAGCGCATTCACGAGGACGTGCTGCGCTACATGACCGTCAAGGTCGACGAACTCGAGGAAGGCCCCTCGGCCATGATGCGCCGCGACGAGCGCCGTGACCGCGACCGGGGTCCGCGCCGCGATGGCGGACCGCGCCGTGACGGCGGGCCGCGAGGCGACAGGGGCGAAGGAGGCCGCAGCTAATGGTCGATATCAATCAACTTCCGACGCGCCGGCCCTTCCACCGCCGCCGCAAGACCTGCCCGTTCTCGGGCGCCAACGCGCCGAAGATCGACTACAAGGACGTCAAGCTGCTGCAGCGCTACGTCTCCGAACGCGGCAAGATCGTGCCCTCGCGCATCACCGCGGTGTCGATGAAGAAGCAGCGCGAACTGGCCAAGGCCATCAAGCGCGCGCGCTTCCTGGGCCTTCTGCCCTACGTGACCAAGTAAGGTCGCCGACCACGCCAACGACATCGTCCCGGGACACGCTCCCGGGATGATGACCGAAGACCATGCCGGGGCGGACCCGGTGCACTGAAAACCGAGTTGGGGCCGGCGCCGGTCCCTAACTGCCGGAGCGCAGGACAGCGACCATGAACGCCAACACGATCGGCATCGGCCTGGTATCGGGCGCGGCAACCGCGCTTTTGTGCCTTGGCGTCGTTTCGGGCTCCGGGCTGTCCGTTATCCTTTATTTCCTGTCCGCCGTGCCGCTGATGGTGGCCACGCTCGGCTGGGGCTTTGCCGCCGGCGTGAGCGGCGCCATCATTTCCGCCCTGCTGATTGCGGCCTTCGCCAACGTGCCGATGGCTGTCTACATCGTCATGACCACGATCCTGCCGGCGACGGCGGCGGGCTACTGGATGAACCTGGCCCGGCCGGCCGAAGAGGTGGGCGGGCCGGCGGGCAAGCTGGCCTGGTATCCCCTGTCCGATGTCGTCGTCCGTCTCGCGGTGATCACGGCGGGCGCCTTCATCGTCGCCGGCGCCTTGATCGGCTACGGGCCGGCGCTGGTCGACGAACTGGTCGGCGAGATGATCGCCCGGCTGCAGGAGGCCAACCCCGAATTCGCCTTCACGCCGGAAGGCCGCGAGAGCTTTCTCGCCTTCATGACCGGGGCGATCCCGTTCATGCAGCCGGCGCTGTGGCTGATGATCCTCATCGGTTCGCTCTATCTGGCGCTGGCGATCACCCGCGCCTCGGGCCGGCTCAGGCGTCCGAAAGACGATTGGCCAGAGGCGCTGCGCCTGCCGCGCGCCGGTGCGATGATCCTCGCCGTGGCGATCGCCGGCAGTTTCGTCTCCGGGCCGCTGGGCCTGGCAGCGACGACCTTTGCCGGCGCGCTGACCGGAGGTTTCACCATGGCCGGTTTTGCCATCTTCCATGCGCGCACGCGCGGCCAGCCCTGGCGCCCCTTTGCGATGATCGTCGTCTATGGCGCCGTGGCGATCACGCTCGTCGCCGCCCTTCCCTTCTTTTTTGCGGGCGTTCTCGCCACGGCCCGCCCCATGCCGGTCTCCCCCGGCGGCGGACCCAATCCGCCGACCGGAACACCACCGGCTTCCACCTGACAGCAGCATTGAACAAAGGACAAAGACCATGAAAGTCATTTTGCTGGAACGCATCGCCAAGCTCGGCGCCATTGGCGACGAAGTCACCGTCAAGGACGGGTTCGCCCGCAACTATCTGCTGCCGACCGGCCGCGCGCTCAGGTCGAACGAAGCCAACCGGGCACGGTTCGAGGCCGAGCGCGAGCATATCGAAGCGCGCAATGCCGAGCGCAAGTCGGCCGCGTCGGAAGTGGCCGAAGGCCTTGACGGCAAGGATTTCGTCGTCGTCCGCTCGGCCGGCGAAACCGGTCAGCTCTACGGTTCGGTCTCGACCCGCGACATCGCCGATTTCCTGACCGAGGAGGGCTTCCGCGTCGGCCGCAACCAGGTCGATCTGAAGCAGCCGATCAAGACGATCGGCCTGCACGAGGTCGATATCGTGCTGCACCCCGAAGTCGAAACCCGGATCACGCTCAATGTCGCCCGTTCGGCCGACGAAGCCGAGCGGCAGGCCGCCGGCGAAGACCTGTCGTCCGCCGAGGCGATCTACGGCGCCAATGAAGACGCGTTCGAATCGCTGGCCGATTTCGACGAGGACGGCGCACCGATCGATTCCGACGCGTTCGAAGAGGGTGCCGCACCCGAGGCCGCGCCTGCCGAGGAAGAAGAACAGGCAACCGCCTGAGGCCGCAGGCGGCGCCCTCGTCCGGTCGCCCGAACAGAACCGAACCCGGTGCCCCGCGCGCCGGGTTTTTTGTATGCTGGGTGCGATTCGCCGCCAGATGATGGTCAAGCGAAAGCTGCTCCGGCGGGCGAAAAAGTCAGCGTCCTGTGAGTCGGTGTGAATCACGGGCGGTTTGCCGAAAGGACGCTTGGCCGCGGCGCGCCACGCGCTATAGATCGGCCTTTCCCAGGTGATGACCTGAAACGAAAGACGACCCGATGGCCGATGCTGCTCTCCAGATGACCTCCGACACGGGCGCGCAGGACGATGGCGCGCTTTACCGGGAGGCACCGGGCAACATCGAGGCCGAACAGGCGCTGCTCGGCGCGATCCTGATCAACAATGACGCGTTCTACCGCGTCTCCGATTTCCTGAAGGCGGAGCATTTCCTCGAGCCTCTGCACCGTCGGATCTTCGCGGTCGCCGGCGAGCAGATCCGCCTGGGCAAGACCTCCAACCCGGTCACCATCAAGACCTTCCTGCCGGCGGACGAAAAGATCGGCGAGATGACCGTCGCGCAGTATCTGGCGCGGCTGGCAGCCGAGGCCGTCACCATCATCAATGCCGAGGATTATGGCCGGGCGATCTACGATCTCGCCATCCGCCGGGCGCTGATCGGCATTGGCGAGGACATGGTCAACATCGCCTATGACGCGCCGGTCGAGATGGCGCCGTCGGACCAGATCGAGGATGCCGAACGGCGGCTGTTCGAACTGGCGGAGACCGGCCGGTACGATGGCGGGTTCGAACCGTTCAACGAGGCGGTGCGCACCGCCATCGACATGGCCAACGCCGCCTTCCAGCGCGAGGGACATCTGTCGGGCATCGCGACCGGGCTGCATTCGCTCGATACGCGCATGGGCGGACTGCAATCGTCGGACCTGATCATCCTTGCCGGGCGGCCCGGGATGGGCAAGACGTCGCTTGCCACCAACATCGCCTTCAACATCGCGCACGCCTTTCGCGGCGAGCAGCAGGCGGACGGCTCGGTCAAGGCCGTCGATGGCGGCGTGGTCGGTTTCTACTCACTCGAGATGAGTTCGGAGCAGCTTGCCACGCGCATCATCTCCGAGCAGACGGAAATCTCCTCGTCCAAAATCCGGCGCGGCGATATCAACGAGGCCGATTTCGAAAAGCTGGTCGGCTGCGCCAACATGATGCAGCGCCTTCCGCTCTATATCGACCAGACGGGCGGCATCTCGATCGCCCAGCTTGCCGCCCGCGCGCGGCGGCTCAAGCGCCAGCGCGGGCTCGACGTGATGATCATCGACTATGTGCAGCTGATGACCGGCTCCTCGGCCAAGGCGAGCCAGAACCGCGTGCAGGAAATCACCGAGATCACAACGGGCCTGAAAGCGCTGGCCAAAGAGCTGAACGTGCCGATCATTGCCCTGTCGCAGCTCTCGCGCCAGGTGGAAAGCCGCGACGACAAGCGCCCGCAGCTGTCGGACCTGCGCGAATCGGGCTCGATCGAGCAGGACGCCGATGTCGTGCTGTTCGTCTATCGCGAGGAATATTACGTCAAGAACCAGGAGCCGCGCCGCTCGCCCGAAGAGATCGCCGCCGACATCAGGACCGAGGAATACCTCGCCTGGGAGGAGAAGATGCGCAAGGTGGAAGGCACGGCCGACGTGATCATCGCCAAGCAGCGGCACGGGCCGACCGGAACGGCGGCGCTCGGCTTCCAAGGCGAGTTCACCCGCTTCTTCGACCTTGCCGACAGCGGCCACCTGCCGGAACGGTTCGAATAGGCGGCTCGCCGCCGCGCCCATCCAGGCCCTTTCCTCAAGATCACGCGAACCGATCCGCCTGTCTTGCCTGCGCCGCCCTGCCGCGCTAGAATGGAACATAAAGCGAACATATGGGAGCGCATCATGACCAATCCGGCACAGAAGATCGGCGAACAGCTTGTCGAACACTGCCGAAAAGGAGACGCCGCATGGTGTCTCGACAATCTCTATGCGAACGACGCCGTATCGGTCGAGGCGGCGGCCAACCCCGAAGGCGGCTCGGCGGTAACCGAGGGGCTGGACGGCATAAGGGGCAAGCACGCCTGGTGGGATGCCAATTTCGAGGTGCATTCGGCCCATGTGGACGGCCCCTTTCCGCATGGCGAGGACCGGTTCGGCGTGATCTTCGAGATGGACACGACCGACAAGAACAGCGGCCAGCGCAGCCAGATGAAGGAACTGGCGGTCTACCATGTCGCCGACGGCAAGATCGTGCGCGAAGAGTTCTTCTATCCAACCGGCGCTTGACGTTTCGCTTTGCGCCGGTGCGTCAACGGTCTATCAGCGCCTGCATGACGGGGCGGACGGACAATGGCGACCTGCGCGGCGGACGGCTGACGATCGATCTTGGTGCGATCGTCGCCAACTGGCGCGATCTCGACCGGCGGTCGCGGCCCGGACGGGCGGCGGCTGTCGTCAAGGCCGACGCCTATGGGCTCGGTGCCGAACATGTCGTTCCGGCGCTCGCCGCCGCGGGATGCGACACATTCTTCGCGGCGATGCCGGACGAAGGGGTGTCGATCCGGCCGCTTGCGCCGGAGGCCCGCATTTTCCTGCTCAATGGCATTCAGCCCGGCGCCACCGATGCGATGATCGCAGACGGGCTCATCCCTGTGCTTGCCAGCTTGCAACAGGTTGAGAGTTGGGCCGCCGGAGGTGACCGTCCGCCATGCGCGCTGCAGATCGACACCGGCATGAACCGGCTGGGCCTGACGGTCGACGAAGCCCTGGCGCTGGCCGGCGACGACGTGCTGCGCTCAAGGCTCGATATCGTCCACGTCATGAGCCATTTTGCCTGCGCCGATATGTCGGACCATCCGATGAACCAGCACCAAATAGAGTCGTTTCAGGCGGTTATGGCGTCTTTTGGAGACATCGAATCCAGCCTCTCCAACTCGGCAGGCGTGCTCACTGGCGGCGCGCACGGCCTTGCGGTCACCCGTCCGGGCATCGCGCTCTACGGTGGGGAGGCCGTCGACGGCATCGCCAATCCGATGCGGCCGGTGGTCACGCTCGAGGCGCGCATCATGCAGGTCCGGTCGGCGGCGGCGGGAGAGACCGTCTCCTATGGCGCGACGCACCGTCTTGCGCGCGACAGCCGTATCGCCATCACCTCGGTCGGCTATGCCGACGGCTATCCCCGCTCGGGGTCGGGCAGCGGCGTACCCCTGCGCGACGCGGTGCCCGAGGGCCTTTGCGGCTTCGTCGGCGGCCATCGCGCACCGGTGCTCGGACGCGTCACCATGGACCTGACCTGTTTCGACGTCACCGGCGTGCCCGACGACGCCCTAGCCGAAGGCTGGATTGAACTGATCGGGCCGAACATTCCGCTCGACGATGTGGCGCGCGCCTGCGGCACGATCGGCTATGAGGTCTTGACCGGCCTCGGTCCACGCTATGCCCGGCACTATCGGCACAAGGAAGAAGACTGACCTTGGCCAAGCCCCGCACACAATTCATCTGCCAGAATTGCGGCACCGTTCACGCCCGCTGGTCGGGCAAGTGCGATGCGTGCGGCGAATGGAACACGATCGTCGAGGAAAACCCCACCGCGGGGATCGGCGGCGGGCCTAACCGCAAGCTGCGCAAGGGGCGCCCCGTTGCGCTGGTGCCGCTCTCCGGAGAAAGCGAAGACGCGCCGCGCATCGTCTCGCGCGTCGGCGAGCTGGATCGGGTGACCGGCGGCGGCATCGTGCGCGGCTCGGCGCTTTTGCTTGGCGGCGATCCGGGCATCGGCAAGTCGACGCTTTTGATGCAGGCCGCAGCCGCCCTCGCCCGCGCCGGCCATTCGGTGATCTATGTGTCGGGCGAGGAGGCGGTGGCGCAGGTGCGCCTGCGCGCCCAGCGGCTCGGCGCGGCCGACAGCGACGTTCAGCTGGCCGCCGAAACCAATGTCGAGGATATCCTCGCGACGCTCGATGCTTCGGAGAAGCGGCCCGATCTCGTTATCCTCGACTCGGTGCAGACGCTGTGGACCGACAGCGTCGAAAGCGCGCCGGGTACGGTGACGCAGGTGCGCGCGTCGGCACAGGCGATGATCCGATATGCCAAATCGACCGGCGCGGCGGTGGTGCTCGTCGGCCATGTCACCAAGGACGGCCAGATCGCCGGCCCGCGCGTCGTCGAACACATGGTCGATGCCGTTCTGCATTTCGAGGGCGATGGCGCACACCAGTATCGCATCCTGCGCGCGATCAAGAACCGGTTCGGGCCGACCGACGAGATCGGCGTCTTCGAGATGGGCCAGAGCGGCCTGCGCCAGGTGCCCAACCCGTCCGAACTGTTCTTGGGCGAGCGGTCGGGCAAGGCGCCGGGCGCGGCGGTGTTCGCGGCCATGGAGGGCACGCGGCCGGTCCTGGTGGAAATCCAGGCGCTGTGCGCGCCGACATCTTTGGGCACGCCGCGCCGCGCCGTGGTGGGCTGGGATTCGGCCCGCCTTGCCATGGTGATCGCCGTGCTGGAGGCCCATTGCGGGGTGCGGCTTGGCCAGCACGATGTCTATCTGAATGTTGCCGGCGGCTATCGGATTTCGGAGCCGGCGGCGGACCTTGCCGTTGCCGCGGCGCTCGTCTCGTCGCTGGCCGGGCTTGCCCTGTCAGCGACAAGCGTCTATTTCGGCGAAATCAGCCTGTCGGGTGCCGTCCGGCCGGTGCCGCATGCCGCAAACCGGCTCAAGGAAGCCGAGAAGCTGGGCTTTGGCGAAGCGGTGCTGCCGCTGGCCGGCGGCGAGGCAGAAACGGCACGCGATGGTTTGCATGAAATGGGAACGCTGATGGACCTTGTCGCGCGCATCGCCGGTGGAAAACAGCTTTCGCGCGAAGCCGACCAGGACCGGCAGGCTTGAGCACACACGCCGAACACGGCAAGACATTGAAGGCCGCTGCTCTGCGCTCACACAAAACACACACGACAGCCCGCAAAGAGACACCAGACCATGCCCATCACGCTTCTTGACGGACTGTTCCTCGGCCTGGTGCTGATTTCGGCCGTGCTCGCCATGGTGCGCGGCTTTTCCCGCGAAGTGCTGTCGATCGGCTCATGGGTTGCCGCCGCGGTGGCCGCCTTCCTGTTCTACCGGACGCTGACACCCTATGTGCAGAATTATGTCGACAACGAACTGATTGCCCAGCTCGTCGCCGCCGGTCTGATCTTCCTGATCGCGCTGATCGTGGTCACGCTGATCACCATGCGCATCGCCGACATGATCATCGACAGCCGGATCGGCCCGCTCGACCGGTCGCTCGGTTTCGTGTTCGGCGCCGCACGGGGCGTGATCGTCGCCGCCGTCGCCATCTGGTTCATCAACTTCTTTGTCGGCGACCAGGAGATTGCCTGGATCGACAACGCCAAATCCAAGCCGTTCCTCGACCAGGTGGCCCAATCGCTGGTCGACCTGCTGCCGGACGATCTGGGAGCGGTCGTGCCCGGCGGCGAAACCGCCGAAACCACCGACACATGACCAATCGCGCCGACAGCGTCGCCGAGGCCGACGAAACGGACGATCATTTCCACGACGAATGCGGCGTGTTCGGCATTTTCGGGCGCGCGGATGCGGCCTCGTTCACGACGCTCGGCCTGCATGCGCTCCAGCATCGCGGCCAGGAAGCGGCGGGCATCGTGTCGTTCGACGGCACGCAGTTCCACGTCGAGCGCCATGTCGGCCTGATCGGCGACAATTTCACCAAGCCGTCGGTGCTGGCGCGTCTGCCCGGCGACCGTTCCATCGGCCATACGCGCTATGCGACGACCGGCGGCGCGGGGCTGCGCAATGTCCAGCCTTTGTTCGCCGAACTGGACGGCGGCGGGTTGGCCATCGCCCATAATGGCAACATCACCAATGCGCTGACCGTGCAGCGCAACCTTCAACGAAAAGGCGCGATCTTCTCATCGACCTCGGACACCGAAACCATTCTGCATCTGGTCGCCACCAGCGAGGAAAAAGATCTGCTCGCCCGCTTCTGCGATGCGGTCGGCCAGCTCGAAGGCGCGTTTTCTCTGGTCGCCCTGTCGTCCAAGAAGATGATCGGCTGCCGCGATACGCTCGGCATAAGGCCGCTCGTTCTGGGCGATCTCGACGGGTCGTGGATCCTCGCCTCGGAGACCTGCGCGCTGGACATCATGGGAGCGCGTCATGTGCGCGACGTCGAGCCGGGTGAAGTCATCGTCATCACCGAAAAAGGCATTGAGAGCCATTTCCCGTGGGGCGAGCAGAAACCGCGCTTCTGCATCTTCGAATATGTCTATTTCTCGCGCCCCGACAGCCGCGTCGAGGGCCGCAACGTCTATGAAGTCCGCAAGCGAATCGGCATGGAGCTGGCGCGAGAGGCACCGGTAGGCGCCGATATCGTCGTGCCGGTTCCCGACAGCGGCGTGCCGGCCGCGGTCGGTTTCGCGCAGGGCGCCGGACTGCCGTTCGAACTCGGTATCATCCGCAACCATTATGTCGGCCGCACCTTCATCCAGCCGACGGACTCGATCCGCCACATGGGCGTCAAGCTCAAGCACAATGCCAACCCGTCCGTGCTCGAAGGGCGCTCGGTGGTCCTCGTCGACGATTCGATCGTGCGCGGCACGACCAGCCAGAAGATCGTGCAGATGGTTCGCGATGCCGGCGCGCGCGAGGTGCATATGCGCATTGCGTCGCCGCCGACCATGTCGTCGTGCTATTATGGCGTCGATACGCCCGAGACGTCCAAACTGCTTGCCTCGCGCATGTCGGTCGCCGAAATGGCGCAGTTCATCCGCGTCGATTCGCTCGAATTCCTGACCATTGACGGGCTCTACCGCGCCGTCGGCGAGGCCGGACGGGATCATGACGCGCCGCGCTTTTGCGATGCCTGCTTCACCGGCGCCTATCCGACACGGCTGCTCGACCATGAGGGGCCGGACAATGTGCGCAAACTGTCGCTTCTGGCCAACCCCAACGCCTGACCCGATCCGGAAAACGCTCCATGACGTCAACGCCAGACCTTACCGGCAAGCTCGCTCTTGTAACGGGTGCCTCGCGCGGCATCGGCTACGAGATCGCTCTGCAGATGGCGGCGGCTGGCGCCCATGTGATCGCCGTCGCGCGGACGGTCGGCGGGCTCGAGGAACTGGACGACAAGATCAAGGCGGCCGGGGGCGAAGCAACGCTGGTGCCGCTCGATCTCAAGGATCTGGAGGCGATCGACCGGTTGGGCGGGGTGATTGCCGAGCGCTGGGGCAAGCTCGACATTCTGGTTGCCAATGCCGGCATCCTGGGCGCGCTGACGCCCGTCGGGCAGATGAAGGCCAAGGATTTCGAAGCGGTCATGACGGTCAACGTCACCGCCACCTGGCGCATGATCCGCTCGGTCGATCCGCTGCTGCGGCTGTCCGAGGCCGGCCGCGCGATCGTCGTGTCGTCGTCGGTCGCCCACAAGGTCAAACCCTATTGGGGTGGCTATGCGACATCGAAGGCTGCCATCGACATGCTGACGCGGGTCTGGGCGGCTGAGAACGCCAAGGGGCCGATGCGCATCAATCTGGTCAATCCCGGCCCGACGCGGACCGCGATGCGGGCTCAGGCCGTGCCCGGCGAAAAGCCCGAAAGCCTGCCGACGCCGGCGCAGACGGCGGCGAAGATCGTGCCGATGGCGGCTACGGATCTGACGCATACGGGCAAGATCTTCGACGTGCCGACCGACATGTGGACCGATGCGGCGCTGCCCACGCCGCTTTGAACCAGCTTCGCCGAGACCACGGTCAGGCGCGATTGACGTCAACTCCCATTGCGCTAACCTGATTGCCTGATGCCGCCGGTCATCACGGGAGGAGCCGACATGGTGTGGGCGCTGGTCGCGATTGCCGTGCTTGCGGCGCTGCTCGGCGGGCTCGCGATGCGAGAAAAAAGCCGTACCGGCGTGAGCATGCGGCAGGCGCTGGCGCTTGCCCTGCCCGCGCTGTCTCATCGGCTCGACACACGGGCCGTCCGCGCGGCGGGCGCGGCCGAAGGGCCGGTGATCTATGCGATTTCCGAGCAGGCCAGGCTCGATGCGGCGCTGTTTCTGGCCGCGCTGCCCGACGATACGCTGCACATTCTCGATCCCGCCTCGGCCGGCCATTGGGCGGTGGAGGCGTGCCGGCCGCTGGCCAAGTCGGTGATCTTCGACAAGGAGCGGATGATCGCCAACCGGCGCCTCGTCAGGCACCTCAAGGGCAAGGGCCGGCTGGCGGTCTATTTTCCCGATGCGGTCGAGCCAGATGCCGACGCGTTTCGCCTCTACCGGGCCGTGGCGCTTCTGGCGCGAAAGACAGGCGCGAAAATCGTGCCGCTGACCGTCCGCAATGCCCGCTTCCTGCGGTCCTCTTTGACGCCGGCCGAAAAAGCGCCGCGCCAATGGTTCCCGCGCCTGACCATGCATACGCTCGCGCCCGCGACGATTGGCGAGATCGTCGCCATGCGCGGAAGGGACATGACGACGCCGGCCAACGCTCTGTTCGACCGCATGGCCGAACTGCGCTTCACATCGATCGACCCTGCGCAGACCCTGTTCGGCGCGCTGGTTCTGGCGGCACGCACCTACGGGCCAAGCCGGGTGATCGTCGAGGACGCGGTCACCGGCGCGCTCGCTTACAAGCGGGTCCTGATCGGCGCGCGCGTGCTCGCAAAGCGGTTCGCCGCCATGTCGGCGCCGGGCGAGGCGATGGGCGTGCTGCTGCCCAACGCAAATGGCGCGGTGGTCACCTTCTTCGCGCTGCAGTCGGCCGGCCGGGTGGCGGCGATGCTGAACTACACCGCCGGACCGGCCAATGTGGTCTCGGCGATCAACACCGCGAAGATCCGCACGGTCCTGTCGTCACGCGCCTTCATCGAAAAGGCGGACCTGCAACCGCTGGTCGTCGCGATCGAGGAAAACGGCACCAAGATCATCTGGCTGGAAGAAATGCGCGAAACGGTCACGCTGCCCGAAAAACTGTCGGCCGCAGCGCTGTGGTCCCGACCGATCGCGGAGACCAGGGCCGGCGAACCGGCGGTGGTGCTGTTCACCTCGGGTACCGAGGGCTCGCCCAAGGGCGTGGTCCTGTCGCACCGCAACCTGGTGGTCAATGCGGCGCAATCGGAAGCGCGCGTTTCCATCTCGGTCGAGGACAGCCTGTTCAACGTGCTGCCGCTGTTCCACTCGTTCGGCCTGACCGGCGGCATGGTGCTGCCGCTGCTCTACGGCGTGCGGCTGTTCCTTTACCCTTCCCCGCTGCACTACAAGCTGATCCCGCAGGTGGCGGCTCGCGTGCAGCCGACCATCATGTTCGGCACGGACACCTTCCTGGCCGGTTATGCGCGCACCGCCAAGGACACCGACTTCGCCTCTCTGCGCTTCGTCGTCGCCGGGGCCGAGGCGGTCAAGCATGAGACCGAGGAGGTCTACAGAAGCCGGTTCGATTGCCATATTCTGGAAGGCTACGGCATGACCGAAGCCTCGCCCGTCGTCGCGGTCAACTCGGCGACACACAGCCGGCTGGGGACCGTCGGACGCGCCCTGCCCGGCATCGCGATCCGGCTCGAACCGGTCGAGGGCATCGAGGGCGGCTTCCGCATGTGGGTGCAGGGCCCGAATGTGATGCTGGGCTATCTGAAAGCAGACCGGCCCGGCGAACTGCAACCGCTCGAAGATGGCTGGTACGACACGGGCGACATCGTCCATATCGACCATGAAGGCTTCATCGAGGTGCGCGGGCGGGCCAAGCGCTTTGCCAAGATCGGCGGCGAGATGGTGTCGCTGGGTGCCGTGGAGATCCTGGTGCAGTCGCTGTGGCCGGCCGACCGGCACGCCGCACTGTCGGTCGCGGACCGGCGCAAGGGCGAAAAGATCGTGCTGGCGACGACCACGCGCGACGCCGACCGGCAGCGCATCGCCGAAAAAACGCAAGCCGAGGGCATGACCAAGCTGATGGTGCCGTCCGACATCGTGCCGATGGACGACATACCGGTGCTCGGCTCGGGCAAGACAGACTATGTGACGACGCAGGAGCGGGTGATGGCGCTGCTCAGGCGGATCAGCCGGGTTGGCTCGGGCCGGAACCGGAAGTCGAATGACGATGCGCCTGACGCCGCCAAAGACGCAGCGAAAACGGCAAAAAAGCCAAATAGGCGAGCGCGGAAAAAGTCAGCGTGAGCCAGGTGAAATTGGCAAGCGCCGCCACATAGAGCACAATCGTCAGGATGAGCGGCATGACGGCGGTGCGCGGAATGCGCGCGCCCAGCGTCTTGCCCGACCAGACGGGCAGGTTCGAGACCATCAGAAAGGCGATGACGATGGTGTAGAGCGAGACCATCGAGGCGGTGAACCAGTCGGGCGAGAACCCCAGAAAGCCCAGATAGACCGGCAGCAGCACGACCAGCGCAGCGCCGGGCGCCGGAACGCCGACGAAATAGCCCTGCTGCCATTTGGGCCGGTTCACGTCGCCGGCCATCACGTTGAAGCGGGCGAGCCGCAGCGTACAGGCGATGACGTACAGGAGCGCCGCGATCCAGCCGAACTGGGCGGCCTCGTCGAGCACGAAGATGTAGAGAACAAGTGCCGGGACGACGCCGAAATTGACCGCATCGGCCAGCGAATCCATTTCGGCGCCGAACCTGGAGGTCCCCTTGACGAGCCGCGCCATGCGCCCGTCCAGACCGTCCAGAACCGCGGCCAGAAGGATCAGCCCGATGGCAGCGTCAAAGCGCTGCTCGAACGCCATGCGCACCGCGGACAGACCGGCGCAGATCGCCAGGACCGTGATGATGTTGGGCAGAACGAAGCGCAGCGGCACTTCCCGCAGGCGCCGCCGTGTCGCCTCATCGCCATTGTCGCGCTCGTTCTTGGGGCCGTCGGGCTCGAACGGCGGAAAGGCATCGTCCATCGACATGTCAGGAGACCCGCGTAACGGGCGCGGGGCGCGGCCGTCCGTAGGCGGCGATGACAGTCTCGCCCGCCACAGCCATCTGTCCGGCGAACACCTGCGGCGTCGCCTCCGGCGGCAGATAGACATCGACGCGCGAGCCAAAGCGGATCAGGCCGATCCGTTCGCCGGCGCCCAGTTCCTCACCCTCCTCGCAGAAGGAGATGATCCGCCGCGCCACCAGCCCGGCCACCTGGACGGCGGCGACGGCGCCGTGCGGGCTGTCGAAGACAAAGCCGTTGCGCTCGTTCTCGCGGCTGGCCTTGTCGAGATCGGCGTTCAGGAACTTGCCGGGCTTATAGGCAAGCGTCGTGACCCGGCCGCGCACGGGTGCCCGGTTCACATGCACCGAAAAGACGTTCATGAAGACCGAGATGCGCGTGCGCTCCGCATCGCCCAGACCGAGTTCGGCAGGCGGCACGGCCGGTCCGATCGCCGAGACGACGCCGTCGGCGGGGCTGACGACGATGTCGTCGTCAAGCGGCGTGACGCGTTGCGGATCTCGAAAAAAATATGCGCACCAGCCGGTCAGCGCCAGGCCGATCCAGAACAGCGGATCCCAGATCAGGCCGAGGACGACGGCGGCTGCGAAGAACGCGCCGACGAAAGGCCAGCCCTCGCGCCGCACGGGGACGAAGGCTTTGGTCACGGTGTCGAGCAGGCTCATGGCGGCATCCGGAATGGGTGTTGTGGCACGGACATATGGCGTGCGGACGGCGCGCGCAAGACGCGCGTGCCGCCCATTGTGTGACGCCTACTCCGCCGGCGCGGCGGGCGCCTTGCGCTCGATGATGCCCAACTCGTCGGCCTCGCGGGCCGCGCGCAAGCGGGCCTCGGCCTCGATCGCCTCGGACTGGCGCGCCCACATCTGCGCATAGAGCCCATCGGGAATGCCCAAAAGGTCGGCATGGCGACCCCTTTCGGCGATCTGTCCGTCGCGCAGCACGATGATCTCGTCGGCGCCGATCACCGTTGAAAGGCGATGCGCGATGACCAGCGTCGTCCGGCCCCTGGAAACCAGATCGAGCGAGGACTGGATCTCCTGTTCGGTGGCCGTGTCGAGCGCCGATGTCGCCTCGTCGAGGATCAGGATCGGCGGCGCCTTGAGGATCGTGCGGGCGATGGCGACGCGCTGCTTTTCGCCGCCCGACAATTTCAGGCCGCGTTCGCCGACCATCGTCCGGAACCCCTGCGGCAATCCCTCGATGAACGGGCCGATCTGCGCCATTTCGGCCGCTTTTTCGACTTCCTCGTCGGTCGCATCGGGGCGGCCGTAGCGGATGTTGTAGGCGATCGTGTCGTTGAAAAGGACCGTGTCCTGGGGAACCATGCCGATCGCCGCGCGCAGCGATTCCTGCGTGACCGCGCGCACATCCTGACCGTCGATCGTCACCGCGCCGTCCTGCACGTCGTAGAAGCGGAAGAGCAGCCGCGAGATGGTCGACTTGCCGGCGCCGGAAGGGCCGACAATGGCCACGGTCTTTCCCGCCGGCACATCGAACGAAATGCCCTTGAGGATCGGCCGGTCGGGGTCATAGGCGAACTGAACGTCCTCGAAGCGGATGGCGCCGTCGGCGATGGCGAGAGGCTGGGCATCGGGGCGGTCGGTCACCTCCGCTTCGACATCGAGCAGATCGAACATCTGCTCGATGTCGGTCAGCCCCTGCCGGATCTCGCGGTAGATGAAGCCGATGAAGTTGAGCGGCACGGAGAGCTGCATCAGCATGGCGTTGATGAAGACGAAGTCGCCGATCGTCTGCTCGCCGGCCTGGACGGCGCGCGCCGACATGGCCATCATCACCAGAAGGCCGATGCCGAAGATAACGCCCTGGCCGAAATTGAGCCAGCCGAGCGACGTCCAGACCTTGGTCGCCGAATGCTCGTAGCCGGCCATGGAGCGGTCGTAGCGTTCGGCCTCCATCCGCTCGTTGCCGAAATATTTCACCGTCTCGAAATTGAGCAGGGAATCGATCGCCTTGGTGTTGGCGTCGGTGTCCGAATTGTTCATGTCGCGCCGGATCTGGATGCGCCAGTCCGACGCGCGCACCGTGAACACCGAATAGGCGGCAACCGTCGCCGCGGTGACCGCGACATACTCCCAGCCATAGGCAAAGCCGAAAACGATCGCGATCAGGCCGAACTCGATGATCGTCGGGGCGGTGTTCAGGATGGTGAAGCGGACGATCGCCTCGATGCCCTTGGTGCCGCGCTCGATGATGCGCGACAGGCCGCCGGTGCGGCGCTCGAGATGAAAGCGCAGCGACAGGGCGTGCATGTGCACGAAGGTCTTGTAGGCCAGTTGGCGCACCGCATGCTGGCCGACACGGGCGAACAGCGCGTCGCGCAACTGGTTGAACGCCACATTGACGATGCGGAAGACATTGTAGGCGACGACCAGCATGATCGGCGCCAAAAGCGCTGCCGGGATCCAGTCGGCCGCCGTCAGTTCGCCATTGAGCGCGTCCGTCGCCCATTTGAAGCCGAAGGGCACCAGCATCAGGACCAGCTTGGCGAGCAGCAGGTAAAGCAGCGCCCACAGGACGCGGGCCTTCAGGTCGGGCCGGCCATCGGGCCACATATAGGGCCACAGGTTGAGGATTGTGCGCAGCGTGGCGCCGCTGTCGGCGGAGACGGTCTTGTCAGACAAAAGGCGTTTCTTTCAAATCGGGTGCAGACATCGTATCGGCCGGCGACAGGCACTCGCCGGAAAAGTCGGAAAGGCGCATACACAGCCCCGCAAGCGCCTCCCTGTCGAGACGGTAATGGGAATGGGGACGGCGGCGGTCGACCTTGACCAGACCGGCCTCGGCCAGGACCTTGAGATGTTGCGAAACGGTGGACTGGGCGAGCGGCAGACGATCGACCACATCCTTGCAGCAGCTCCTTTCCGAGCAGGCAAGCGCGCGCAGGATGGTCAGCCGCACGGGATGGGCCAGTGCAGCAAGCTGCCGCGCCAAGATCTGATCGTCGCGGGCCGGGGCCGGAGCACACTTGGTCATCGCCAATCGACGATAAACGATGAACAGGGCATGCGCCAGCGGATTCTGGCGGGCTCAACCGGACCGTCCGCAGCGAAACGTCAGTTGGTGCTTCGCAATTGCCGGTGCACGTCCTCGGCATCGGCACGCGCCTCGTCCGGCACAGCGAACACCTGGCCCGGCCAGATGCGGTCCGGATCGGATATCTGCTCTTCGTTCGCCAGATAGATGGTCGTGTATTTGACGCCCTGGCCGTAAACCCGCCGCGATATCTGCCACAGCGTGTCGCCGCGGCGGATGATCACCGACTGACCGGTGGGCACCAGTCCGCCGGATATTTCGGCCGGCGCGGTGTCGATTGGCGGCGGCCCCTGCAGCACGCCGAGTGCCTGCGGCACGGCTGTAGAACCTGTCGCACGGTCGGCGGGTTGCGCAGCCTCGTCGCCGGCCGAACCGGATGGCGCATCGAGGCTTGCCGTCTCGTCCGCCGGCTTCTCAGGCGCCAACGCGTCGAAAGGCACGGTGGGCGGCGAGGCAGGCAGGCGCGCCGAGGGCGCGACGGCAATCGCCGCCAGCCGTTCGCCGGCCTGACGCGTGAACGGCACGGAGACGCGCTTGAGCACGTCGCCCGACACCGGATCGATGGCATCGGCGCGGATGATGTAGTCGCCGACCGGCAGGTCACGGCGCACCTGGATCAGGAAGCGCCCGCCGTCGCTGGACGTCGTGTCGCCGAGCAGCATCTCGTTGGCATAAAGCCGCAGGCGCGTTCCGGCGGTTGCCGCGCCCGCCACGAAAAGCTCCGCCCCGTCGATTTCGACGGCCTCGATGCGCAGGTCTGGCGCGGTGCCCGCTGGCTCCGGCGCGGAGACGGCGGCCGGTTCGTCCGTGTCGGGCAAGGCGGCCAGTTCGACCGTAGGCGCGCCTTCGGGTTCCTCCGTTGCACCGGCCGTCTCGCTCTCATCGGTCAAAGGCGTGTCGCTTTCGGCCGCGGCAGCCGTCTCCGGCTCGGGCGTCACGGTCTCGAGCACCGGCGTCTGCGGACCAGGCGTGGTGATCAGCCGCGATGCCTCGCCCGGCGCCTCGACCAGCGCAAGAACCTCGTTGGAGCCGGCTTCGGGGATGGCGACGACGGCGGTTTCTAGCGATGTCACCACAAGCCCGTCGGGCGCGGTCGCCCGCAGCACGATCTGATAGTCGCCGGGGGCCAGCGGCTCGTCGAGCACGGCAGCGAAATCACCCGTGGGGCCGGCGGTCGCCGTCGCGATGGTGCGGCTGCCGGCGATGATCTCCATGGTCGCGCCGGCCGGTCCGGAGCCCGCAATGACCAGCGATCCGTCCGGCTCGGCGCGCAAGAGATCGAAACGGGGCACGACGGCGGCGAGCGTCGCATCGCCATCGTCCCGCATCTCGTCGGGTTGCGTCGCGACATCGGGCAAGATGCTCTGATCGCCAAGCGTCGGCGGTTCGGCCGTCCGGTCGACCATCGCGACCTCGGTGCCCGTTTCGGCGTCCGGTGCGACTTCGTCTGGCGCCGCGTCGGCGACCGGTTGCGTATCGTCTTCGGTGGGGGTGCCGGCATCGCCGGCAGTTTGCGGCGCCGCATGCTCCAAAGGCTCGGTCGCGACGGTTTCAGTGGGCGCGCCGAAGCGCGACTGCCATGCCTGCCGAACATCGTCGAAATCGACGACGGCCGCCGTCGAGGCGATCGCCGTGCCGGCGGTCAGGGCACCAAACAGCCAAAGTCCCGCATAGGGGTGTGCCATCCATGTCACTCCACGACGCACCGGCGCCCGCAAATCGGTGCGCAGAATCTTACGCGTTCAATCTAGGCCGTTTCGCCGGGGGCTGCAAACGCGGGCCCGGCACAGCCCGCTTGACCTTTTCCCGCACCCGCGCCACAGATCGGCGATGACCGACATTCAATCGATTTGCGTTTATTGCGGCTCCTCGCCCGGCACCGACGACGACTACGGCCGGTCGGCCCACCGGCTCGGTGCTGCGATCGCGGCAGCCGGGCTGCGCCTCGTCTATGGCGGCGGCACCAAAGGACTGATGGGCGCGGTTTCGCGCGGCGTGATGGACAATGGCGGCAAGGTCACCGGCATCATTCCGAAGTTCCTGATGCACAAGGAGGCGACCGAAGACGCGCTCGGCACGCTCGACGAACTGATCGTCACCGAAGACATGCATGAGCGCAAACACGCCATGTTCGAGCGGTCCGACGCGTTCGTCACACTGCCCGGCGGTATCGGAACGCTTGAGGAGGTCATCGAGATCATGACCTGGGCGCAGCTCGGCCGGCACACCAAGCCGATCGTACTGGCCAATATGGGCGGCTTCTGGAATCCCCTCACCACGCTGCTCGATCACATGCGCGACAGCGGCTTCATCCACACCGGGCACCGGGTCCGGCCGCTGGTGCTCGATACGGTGGACGAAATCGTGCCCGCCCTGCTGGCCGCGGCCAATGGCGCCAAGGGCGACCCGGCGGTGATCGGCAGGCTTTGACCGCCGCCGGACTTCCATCGTCGCACTGACAGACGGATGTCATCGACGTGTGGTTTTGAGGGCGAACATCATCTTCGGAGCCCGCCATGCCACGCCAACTCGCCCTCGCCCTTCTCGCCGCCGCCGCCACGGGTGCGGCCATCGCCGACGGGTTTGCCGACACACCGGTGCAACTCGGGCCGCGGCCGTTCTTCCTGATCGACAATATGGACGATGGCGCGCTCAAGGAAGCGCTGGCTGCCTGCCAATCGGGGCCCTTCACGCGCTCGAACTGGTCGATCGGCCATCGCGGCGCGCCTTTGATGTTCCCCGAGCACACGGTCGAATCGAACCGGGCCGCCGCGCGCATGGGTGCTGGCATTCTTGAATGCGACGTGACCTTCACGATGGACAAGGAACTGGTCTGCCGCCACGCGCAGAACGATCTGCACACGACCACCAACATTCTGGCCACCGATCTGGCCGCGACGTGCGTGACACCGTTCACCCCGGCGTCGAACGGCCAGCCGGCGAGAGCCGAATGCCGCACGTCGGAGATCACGCTCGACCAGTTCCGCACCCTGACGCCCAAGATGGACGCCGCCAACCGCAGTGCAACCACGGTCGAGGACTATCTGGACGGCACGGCCGGCTGGCGCACGGATCTTTACGCCGCCGATCCCGCAACGCTGATGACGCATGCCGAATCGATCGAACTGTTCGCGTCGCTCGGTGCGAAGTTCACGCCCGAACTGAAGACGCCATCGGTCGAGATGCCGTTCGGCGGGTTCAGCCAGCAGGACTACGCGCAAAAGCTGATCGACGAATACAAGGCCGCCGGAATACCGGCTTCGGAGGTCTGGGCGCAGTCGTTCAATCTCGAGGATGTGCTCTACTGGATCGAGAACGAGCCGGAATTCGGCGCGCAGGCGGTCTATCTGATCGACCATTATGCGATCGAAGGATGGGACCCGATGGACCCGGCCACCTGGCCGCAGACGATGGAAGAACTGAAGGCCATGGGCGTCAACCATGTGGCGCCGCCGACATGGGTTCTCGTCACCGTGGACAGTGATGGCGCCATGGTTCCGTCCGTCTGGGCCGAGGAAGCCAAGGCGGCCGGTCTCGACATCATCGCATGGACCGTCGAGCGCTCGGGGAACCTGCGCCATGGCGGCGGCTGGTACTATCAGTCGGTGGCCGAGGTCACCGACAATGACGGCGACGTCTTCAACCTGCTGCATGTGCTGCACAAGGCTGTCGGCGTGGTCGGCGTCTTCTCGGACTGGCCGGCAACGACCACCTATTACGCCAACTATTTCGGTCTGGAATAGATCAGGCGGCGGGCGGCGAGCGTCCAACGATCCGGGCGGCCGCGCGCGCGCTTTGAAAGAGCGACAGGGTGTAAAGCGCGAGCGCGCCCCAGATGAAGCCGAAGGCGACAAGCTGCCAGAACGAGAACGGCTCGCCGAAGATGAAGATCGCGACCAGGAAGATCAGCGTCGGCGTCAGATACTGCATCACGCCGATCGTCGTGAAGCGCAGCAGTTTGGCACCGTTGGCGTAGAGGATCAGCGGGATCGCAGTGACCGGTCCGGCAAGCAGCAACAGCCAGATGTCGCTCCATCCAGTGAGGCCGAAATGGCCGGTGCCCTGCGCGGTCATCCAGACGATGATGGCAAGGCCGGGCACCGACAGAAGCAGCACTTCGAGCATGAACCCCTGCGAGGCGCCCACCGGCAATGTCTTGCGGAAAAAGGCGTAAAGGCCGAACGAAAAGGCCAGCGTCAGCGACACCCATGGCAGGCCGCCCGCGCGCATTGTCAGGATGGCGACGGCGATGACGGCACAGCCGACCGCCAGCGCCTGCAGCCGGTTAAGCCGTTCGCCGAGAAACACCGTCGCCAGGAGCACATTGACAAGCGGGTTGATGTAATAGCCGAGCGCGGCCTCGACCGTGCGTTCGGCGGCGATGGCCCAGACATAGACGCCCCAATTGATCGAGATGAGCCCGGCGGTCAGCGCCGCCTGCGCAAGGGTTTTCGGATCGCGCAGCGCGGCGCGCAGATCGGCGGTGCGGCGCATCAGGATCAGAAGAAGGCCCGCCACCGGCACAGACCAGATCACGCGATGGGCCACCACTTCCCAGGCCGGCATATGGTCGACCGCCTTCATGTAGAAAGGCAAAAGCCCCCAAAAGAGGAACGCGCCGAGCGCAAAGGCAAAGCCGGCGGCGGGTTCGGTGCCCGAACCGGCGCCAGCCTGCCGGTCAGCGCTCATTCCGCCGCCATCAGGCCGGCGGTGCCCCTGTTCTTCATCAGCTTGAAGGTGATCGAATCCATCAGCGCCTGGAAGGAGGCATCGATGATGTTGTCGGAGACGCCGACCGTCCACCAGCGCCGACCGGTCATGTCGGTGGATTCGATCAGAACGCGGGTGATCGCCTCGGTGCCGCCGTTCAGAATGCGCACCTTGTAGTCGACCAGTTCGAGATCGGCGATCTCGCCCTGGTACTTGCCCAGATCCTTGCGCAGCGCCAGATCGAGCGCGTTGACGGGCCCCTGCCCTTCGGCGACCGACATGCGCTGCTCGCCATCGACCGTCAGCTTGACCACCGCTTCGGACAGCGTGATCAGCGCGCCGCGCGCATTGTGGCGGCGTTCGACCACGCAGCGGAACGAATCCACCTCGAAGAAGTCCGGCACTTCGCCGAGCGTCCTGCGGGCCAGAAGCTCGAAGCTGGCGTCGGCCCCCTCATAGGCATAGCCGTCCGCCTCGCGCTCCTTGACGATGGCAATCAGCGTGTCGAGGCGCGGATCGTCCTTGGCGACGGCGATGCCGCGCCGCTTGAGCTCGTTGATGAAGTTGGACTTGCCGCCCTGGTCGGAGACCATGACACGCCGCATGTTGCCGACGCATTCGGCAGGCACATGCTCATAGGTCTTGGGATCCTTGACCAGGGCCGAAGCGTGAATGCCGGCCTTGGTGGCAAAAGCCGAAGCGCCGACATAGGGCGCCTGCGCATCGGGCGCGCGGTTGAGCAATTCGTCGAAAGAGCGCGACAGGCGCGTCAACCCGATCAGGTTTTCCGCCGAAATGCCGGTCTCGAACCGCTCCGACCAGGCCGGCTTCAGGCCGAGTGTTGCGATCAGCGTGACCAGATTGGCATTGCCGCAGCGTTCGCCGATGCCGTTGAGCGTGCCCTGCACCTGCCGCACCCCCGCATCGATGGCGGCCAGCGAGTTGGCGACCGCCTGACCGGTGTCGTCATGGGCATGGATACCGAGCCGGTCGCCGGGCACGCCGGCGTCGATGACCGCTCGGGTGATGGCGCGAACCTCGTCGGGCTGGGTTCCGCCATTGGTGTCGCACAGGACGATCCAGCGCGCGCCAGCCTCAAGTGCGGCGCGGGCGCAATCCAGCGCATAGTCCGGATTGGCCTTGTAGCCGTCGAAGAAATGCTCGCAATCGACCATCGCCTCGCGCCCGGCAGAGATGGCGGCCGCGACCGAGTCGCGGATCGAGTCCAGATTTTCCTCGAGCGTGCAGCCGAGCGCCACATCGACATGATAGTCCCACGCCTTGGCAACAAAGCAGACCGCGTCCGCCGCAGCGCCCGTCAGCGCGGCAAGGCCGGGGTCGTTTGAGGCCGAGACGCCGGCGCGTTTGGTCATGCCGAAGGCGACGAAAGCGGCGTCGCTGGTTCGCTTGCGCTCGAAAAAGGCCGTGTCGGTGGGGTTGGCGCCGGGATAGCCGCCCTCGACATAGTCGATGCCGAACTCGTCCAGCAGCCGCGCGATGGTGATCTTGTCCTCGACCGAAAAATCGATGGCCGGCGTCTGCTGGCCGTCGCGCAGGGTCGTGTCGAACAGATAGATGCGGCTTTTGCTGGGGGACATCGGTTACGGCTTCTCGCGATGGCTGTTTTTCCAGTTGCGCGTCCTCGCGGCCAAGCCGCTGCGGGCGACGCGTGCGCACAGCGTGGTGTCGAACAGATGGATGCGGCTTTTGCTGGGGGACATCGGTTACGGCTTCTCGCGATGGCTGTTTTTCCAGTTGCGCGTCCTCGCGGCCAAGCCGCTGCGGGCGACGCGTGCCCGCAACGTCGTGTCGAACAGATGGATGCGGTCGCGGGCGGGCATGGATGGCCTCGTTCAGAAAACCCCGGCGTAGTAGAGCACGGCGAGCGTGATCGCAACGACGGCGATACCCTTGGCGATCAGTCCGTAGAGCAGCCATCTGGGCATCTGCGTCTGCGGATTGCGCTCAGCCATGGCCGTGTCTCGGCGGCCAGACATCGGTGTCGTGATCGGGATGCTGCCGGTTTGTTGCGGCGATGTCGCGGACGCGCTGGCCGTCGAGATACTCCTCTTCTTCAGTGGTGCGGCCGTCGCGTTCGACCGCCTCCACAATCCACGGCATCCTCGATTCCACGCCATAGGTCGAAATCGGCGGCACCGATGCTGGATCGTCCAGTGAGCCGAGCGTGATCGTCATGCCGTCAAAGCCGACGGTCTCGAACAGAAGCGGCGTGCCACAATCACGGCAGAAACCGCGCCGCACCGGTCCCGATGAGTGAAACCAGGCCGGTTCGCCCCGGGTGATTTCAAAGGCCGCCCGTTCGACGCTGGCCAACGGCACGAAATAGTTGCCGACCGCCTTCTGGCACATGCGACAATGACACAAATGCGGGTCTTTGAGCGGCAACGTGACGCGGTAGCGCACCGCGCCGCACTGGCATCCGCCGGAGAGCGATTCGCTCATCGTCTGACCTCCCATGTCGTCACGCGTTCGCCGGTGTCCGGGTCCTTGCCGTCCTTGAGCTGGATGCCCCGTTCGAGCAATTCGTCGCGGATGCGGTCGGCTTCGGCCCAGTTCTTGTCGGCAATCAGGGCGAGGCGGGCATCGATGGCCGCCTGCACCGCATCGAGGTCGACGTGGCCGACCGGAACCGCCGGCGGCAGACCGAGCAATTCGAGCGCGTCGCGAAGCGGTTCGCCGGCAAGTCCATTGAGGGCGTGGATCGCGTCGACACTGTTGAGGTCGTCGCTCAGCGCATCGATCACGGCTTGCCGCGTGCCGTTGCTTATGGCTTCGCCGGCCCGCCGCCACAGGCGCGCCAGAAGCGATTCCGCCTCCTCCAGCCGCCGGACCGAAAAATCGATCGGCTCGCGATAATGGGTCATCAGCATGGCGAGGCGCAGCACCTCGCCGGGCCACGCCCGCCCGCCGAACTTCTCCGTCGCCAGCAGTTCATGGACCGTGACGAAGTTGCCGAGCGATTTCGACATCTTCCTGCCCTCGACCTGCAGGAAGCCATTGTGCATCCAGACATTGGCCATGGTCGCCGTCCCATGGGCGCAGCGGCTCTGGGCGATCTCGTTTTCATGATGGGGAAAGACCAGATCGATGCCGCCGCCATGAATGTCGAACACCTCGCCCAGATGGTGGGCGCTCATAACCGAGCATTCGATGTGCCAGCCCGGGCGGCCGCGAATGTGGGTTCCGCCGAAATCGGCATCCCAGCCCGGTTCGTTCGGTCCGCTCTGCTTCCACAGCACGAAATCGGCCGCGTCGCGCTTGTGATCGGCGACGGCGACGCGCGCACCCGCCTTCTGGTCTGCGAGATCGCGGCCCGACAGGGCGCCATAATCCGGCATCGAGCCCACGTCGAACAGCACTTCCGCGCCCTCGTCGCCAGTTGCGACATAGGCATGGCCGCGCGTAATCAGGTCGTTGATCATCGCGATCATGCCGGCGACATGTTCGGTGGCGCGCGGCTCATGGGTCGGCGGCAGGCAGCCGAGCGCCAGCGCGTCGGCCTGGAACTGCGCGGCGGTCTTCTCGGTCACCGCGCGAATCGCCTCGTTCAGCGGCAGTTCAGGATAATCGCGCAGGGCACGCGCGTTGATCTTGTCCTCGACGTCGGTGATGTTGCGCACATAGGAGACGTGCTTTTCGCCATAGACGTGGCGCAGAAGCCGGAACAGCACGTCGAAGACGATGACCGGGCGCGCATTGCCGATATGGGCATAATCGTAGACCGTCGGTCCACACACATAGAGGCGGACATTGTCCGGATCGATCGGCGTGAACGGCGCCTTGGCGCGCGTCAGCGTGTTGTAGAGGCGGATCGTGCTGCCGGCGGTTTCGGCCATCTCAGATTATCCTTCCATGCGCCCTCGCGCGCGCCGCTCTTGCCATGCCGGCGACGGCGATGCCAAGCGCCCAACGGCCCCAAGCGGGCGATTTTTGCTTCCGTACGCCGCCACCCGCGTCGCGAGAGCGATGGACGCCTTGCACGCAATCCGTGGTTGCCATTGGTACAATTGAGACGCTTTTTTTGCCCTCCCCCGAAAAATCCCCTGTTCAAGATCGGCAACGAACGGCTACCATGGGCGCCTCTGCGCAAGGCGGAGCCGGGTATCTCGCGGTGGAGTTTGCGCCCCATCTTCCACTGTGCTCGGCCATTTGCTTCTCACGGACCAGGAGCGGCAAATGGCAGATGCCTGGGGCGCCTGCGCAGAGATCACGCCTTGCGGCTGGCGGTTCAGCCCCCCAGGCTGGCCAGCAGCCCGATGGCGAGCGCCGTCATGATCACCGCAATCAGCACGTCGAGCACGCGCCATGCGCCGGGCTTTGCGAACAATGGCGCCAGAAGCCGCGCGCCATAGCCGAGCGAAAAGAACCAGACGAAACTGGCCGTCATCGCGCCGCCGCCAAATGCCACGCGCGCCGCGCCCTCATACCGTCCCGACAGACTTCCCAGCAACACGACCGTGTCCAGATAGACGTGCGGGTTGAGGAAGGTGAACGCCAGGCACGTTGCAATCGCCGCCTTGAGCGGCAGCGGCTTGCCACCCGGCGCCTCGGCCAGAAGGACTGACGGCCGCAGGGCGCGGCGCAGCGCCAGCGCCGCATAGACGAGAAGGAACGCCGCGCCGCCCAGTGTCACGATGGTGATCAGGGACGGGTTGGCGGCGATCAGCGTACCGAGCCCGGCGACGCCGGCGGCGATCAAAAGCGCGTCGGACAGTGCGCAGATCAGGCACAGGATGAACACATGGCTGCGCATCAGCCCCTGACGCAGGATGAACGCGTTCTGTGCGCCAATCGCGATGATCAGCGTCGCGCCGAGCAGGAATCCGGAGAAAGCGGCGGAAAACATCGGACAGAGGCGCCAGAGAGGTCAGAACAGGCTGGGTTGGCTCTCTTCGCCGCCAGTGTCGGTTTTTGCAACCGTTTTCGCCGCGCCCGGCAGCGCGAAGGCGCGCGGTTCGACCGGCTCCTGAACGTCGGGGCCGGCATTGGCCACCTTGTTGACCTTGTCGGACACCGCGATGGCGTCGAACATCACCTGCGCGTCGGGCGCAAAAAGATCGACAATGTCGGCGGGGCCCTGACCGCGCACATCGAGCCAGCGGTCATGGTGCTCGGGCCGCAGCGCGACCGGCACACGGTGGTGGATATGGGACAGATCGTCGGGCGCGGCCATCGTCATGATCGCGCACGTGTCGATCTCGCTGCCATCCTTTCCGATCCATGTTTCATGCAAGCCCGCAAAGCCGACGGGGCCGCCGTCGCGCGGCCGCACCCAAAAGGCCTGCGACTGGCCGGACGCCTTGTCCCGTGCCCATTCGTAAAAGCCCGATGCGGGAATGATGCAGCGCCGGTGACGCATCGCCGCGCGGAACGAGGCCTTTTCCGCCGCGGTTTCCGAACGGGCATTGATCAGAAGCGGGAAGTCCTCGGGATCCTTGACCCAGGCCGGCAGCAAGCCCCAGCGCATCAGAAGCGCGTTGCGATCGGGCAGGTTCGAGCCCTCCGGACGCGTCTCGGCAGCGGTGACGACCAAAAGGGGCTGCGTTGGCGCGATGTTGTAGCGCGGGGGGAAGTCCTCGACCTCGGCCACCCTGAAATAGCGTTCAACCTCTTCGCGAGCATGGGTCAGAGCAAGGCGGCCGCACATCACCTGTCCCCGTTCATCGCGCGCCGGCCGATCATTGCGCCTGGGCGGCGCGGAACTGGTAGAGGTCGGCCGCGCGCTCGGCGCTGAAGACATCGCCTTGAGCCGACGAAAGCCGGTTGCGCTCAAGCTCGATCTCGAGCTGGATGCGCCGGCGATCTTCCTCCGCTGTCGCGGCGGACAGTTCGCGGATCAGCCTGTCGATTTCCTGCTGGGCCGAGTCGCGTTCTGAGCGGGCGTCATGAACCCGGCGGCCGACGGTGTAGGCCTCGTTGAAGGCCAGCGCCATGTCGGCCGGACAGGCATTGCGGTTGATGCCGCCCGTACGGCCCACATTGAGCCCGTTGGCCGCCGTGCAATAGGTGCGGATACCGCGCTGCCAGCCGGTCTGCCAGCTTGCCGCATCGACCGAGATGCCGTGCTTGGTGCAGGCTTCCTGATGCTGGCCGACATAGGTGACGGGAAACCCGCGCGTGCCGTCGGACTCGCCCAATTGCTGCCAGTCGACCACCTGGCACTGTTCCTCGCTGAGCGTCGCGCAGGACGACAACGCCATCATCGCCGCGCCCAAGACGCCGGCCGCCACCAAGTATCGCATTTGAAACCCCATTTGCCGCCCCGGCGGAGCCTATCGCCAAGAGCGGCAATGTGGCAAATGCCGATCGGTCGAATTGGGGAGCTTTTCACGACAATGGCCGATGCGCGCCATCCAGCGGCCGCCGTTTCGGTGGTGATCCGCGACGAGCAGTCCGGTGCATTCCTGTTGGCGCGGCGCGCCCGTCCGCCTGCCCAGGACCTTTGGGCTTTTCCCGGTGGCCGGGTCCATTGGGGGGAAACGATTCGCCAGGCGGCCATGCGCGAACTGGCCGAGGAAACGGCGCTGACGGCCGATCCCGACAGCCTGAGGGTGGCCGAAGTGGTCGACCTGATCGGCGACGAGAACCTTCAGGGCGCGCCCGAGCACCATTTCGTCCTGACCGTTTTCACCGGAACGGCAACCGGCACGCCGGTGGCCGGCGACGATGCCGCCGAACTGCGCTTCGTCACCGTCGATGAAATGGACGGGCTGGCGATGACGCGAACGACACTTGCGACAGCGAGGCGCCTTGCCGGCCTTTGACCGGCAGCCCACGCAATCGTGACCGGGTGTCATTGGCGCCGAAGGCGGCGGGGCCATAGGCTCTCGGGCATCCCGCACTTGATCGAGGTGCCGCCAATGCCCCGTATCGACCGCTTCGCCGGCCCCATCGCCGCCCTTGCCCTGCTGCTGGTGTCGGGGATGATGATGGCGAGACCCGCCCATGCCGATCCGATCCGCTGGTCTATGGAGGGCTGGAAAACCGACTTCGAAAAGAGTTCCGTCGATCTGGCGCGGATCCTGTCCGGCGGGCCGCCGCGCGACGGCATTCCGTCGATCGACAATCCGGTGTTCGAGTTCGTGCCCGGCCATGACGACCTTGCACCGCAGGAGCCCGTCGTCGGACTGACCATCGACGGAGACGCGCGCGCCTATCCGCTGCGCATCCTGACATGGCACGAGATCGTCAACGATGTGGTCGGCGGCACGCCCGTTGCGGTCACCTATTGCCCCTTGTGCAATTCGGCGCCGGTCTTCGAGCGGACGGTGGACGGCCGGGTGCTCGAATTCGGCACGACGGGAAAGCTCAAGGATTCCAACCTGATCATGTATGACCGGCAGACCGAGACCTGGTGGCAGCAATTCACCGGCGAAGCGATCGTCGGCGAGATGACCGGCGCAGAACTGACCCTGGTTCCGGCACGGCTGCAATCCTGGGCCGAGTTCTCAGAGGAAAACCCGAACGGGCGCGTGCTGGTGCCCAACAATCCGAACATGCGCGATTACGGCCGCAACCCGTACCGCAGCTATGACACGTCACGCCCCTTTCTCTATGACGGTCAGTTGCCCGAGGGCATCGAGCCGATGGAACGCGTGGTCATCGTGCCGCGCGGCGACGAGGAGCCGCTGATCGTGACGATGCAAACCGTCTCTGAGGCCGGCACCTGGCAAGCCGACGGGCTGGATTTCGTATGGACCGCCGGCCGCGCATCGGCGCTGGACACGACGCGGATCGCCGAAGGCCGCGATGTGGGCACGGTTCTGGTCACGCGCGAGGGGAGCGACGTGCCTTATGATGTGACGTTTGCCTTCGTTGCCCATGCCTTTCATCCCGGTGTCACGATCGTCGGCCAGTGATGGCGGCAGAACCTGCAAGCTTGTTTGTGCCCCAATTGGATGCCAGATACCGACGCGACAGGTGAACAGGGGATTGACGATGCTGCGCGCATTGTGTGTCAGCAAACCGGCGGTCGTGGCCGGACTGGCGTGGATGATGGCGCTCGCTCCGGTTGCCGGAAATGCACAGCCGGTGGCCTATGACGAGAAACTGGGCAGGCTGGCCGAAGTTCTCGGCTCGATCCATTATCTGCGCAACCTGTGCACGGAGCCGAGCAATCGCTGGCGTGACGAGATGGAACAATTGCTGTCGGTCGAAAAGCCGGAACCGCTGCGGCGCGCCCAGCTCATCGCGGCCTTCAACAAGGGCTATCGCAGCTTCGACAGCGTCTACACGCGCTGCACCGACCAGGCGCGGCTGTCGGCCGACCGCTATGTCGAGGAAGGGCGGACGCTGGCGCTTGACCTTGCGAGCACCTATGGCGCGCAGTAGCGCGCGATCGTTAACGATTGTACGATCTTCGCAATTACAAACGGGCGGCGTGTGTTAGATAGGGACAGTGCGTACCGGCGGGCTTGTGCCGGAGAAGACGGGAATTGCATCATGGAAACAGAACAGAAGATCGATGCGCTGGACGATGCGATCGCCCTTGAAAAACGGCGTGCCGCCCGCGAGATGCAGTCCGAAATCTGGGCAGATGGCATGCTTGAGGGCATCGAGACCGATATTCTGGCGGACGCTGCCATGGCGACCGCCCTTGAAGAGATCGTCGGCGAAAATGGCGAGGATGCCGCACTGGCGGTGATCGACGACATTCGCCAGCGTCTGGTGGCCGGCGAGTTCACCCGGCTGCGCACGCTGCAATAGGAACCCCTGTACGCGGCGAAAGCCGGGAGACAATGGCTGTGCCGACCGACATCCGCTCCGAGGCAAACCTAGCCGTCCGGGCGACGGTCGCGGCACTGGCTACGATGGCGCTTCTGGCGACCGGTCCGGCTGCGGCCAGCAATGCGCAGGATGTCATCGCACCGCCGCCCTCCGGTGTCATTCCCGTTCCTGCGCCGATGATCGGCGCCGAAGACCCCGACAACCCGCTGGCCGCGCCGCCCGCCATCCCGCGCGGCGGCGATCCGGCGCGCAACCAGGCGGGCGCCAGCGAGACCACGGTCGAATTTTCCGACGACGTATCGCTCCTGCCCGCGCCGGTCAGACGAATGCGCGAACTTATCATGGAGGCGGCCCGGTCGGGCGATCCCGAACGGCTGCGGCCGCTGATCGGCACCGGCGCGGACACGACCCGGCTGTCGCTCGCCGAGGTCGAAGGCGATCCGGTGGACTATTTCAAGTCGATATCGGGCGATTCGGAAGGCCATGAGATGCTGGCCATCCTGCTGGAGGTCTTCGAGGCAGGCTATGCGCGGTTCGATGCTGGCGGCGAGGCCGAACTCTATGTCTGGCCCGATTTCTTCGCCAAACCGCTCGACTCGCTGACGCCCGAGGAGCGGGTAGACCTGTTCAAGCTGGTCACCGCCGGCGACTATGAGGACATGGTCGGCTTCGGCTCCTACATCTTCTTCCGCGCCGGCATCACCCCCGAGGGCCGCTGGCTGTTCTTCGTCGCCGGCGACTGATCAGGGGATCTGGGTCTGGTGATGCTGGACCAGGCTCCAGTCATCGTTTTTTCGGGCATAGGTCGACGTGCACAAGGCCCTGTAGGGCGCGGAGCCGCGGCGGCGCCCTTCGGCGCGATAGGCGAGCACGATGACGCCGCTTGCCGGGCTCGCGGTCGTCTGATCGGTCATGGCGACGAGGTCCCAGCGCGGGACATGCTCCGTCCGTTGCTGTAGCTGGGCGCCCAGCATCATGCCGACGGGTTCGGGAAATGCCATTACGCAGAGGCCGGACATGGCGGCGCTCAGGCGTTCGCGGCACCCGGTCCACAACTGCTTTTCCATCTGCCAGATCGTCTCGCTCATCGTTCTCCCCGGTCCACCGTCGACATCGTCACAAACATGACAGTTCTAGGCGCGGCACCGGGCGGTGGCCACCAACCAAAGGATGAACCGAAAGGAGCGGTCGCCCGACCGTTTCAGACCGGAAGCGCCTCGTTGAACAGCACTTTTTCGCCCTTTGACGGGGTGACGATCTCGCCCTCCCACATGACCCGTTCGCCGCGGACAATCGTGCCGACCGGCCAGCCGGTCACGTCCATGCCGTCGAACGCGGTCCAGCCCGCCTTGGTTCCCGCATCCACATGCCGGATGGTTTCGCTGCGCTTGAGATCGACGATGGTGAAGTCGGCATCATAGCCCTTGGCGATGCGCCCCTTGGTGGCGATGCCGAAGAGGCGCTGCTGGCCGTGCGCGGTCAAGTCGACGAACCGTTCCAGGCTGAGCCGGCCCTTGCTGACATGATCGAGCATGACGGGGACCAGATACTGGACGCCCGGCATGCCCGAGGGCGAGGCCGGATAGGGCTGTTGCTTTTCTTCCAGCGTGTGCGGCGCATGGTCCGAGCCGAGCACGTCGATCACGCCCTGCGCGATGCCCTTCCATATCCCGTCGCGGTGGCGCGCCTCGCGGATCGGCGGGTTCATCTGGATCAGCGTGCCGCGTTCCGCATAGTCGTCGGCGGTGAAGGTCAGATGGTTGGGCAGCGCCTCGCAGGTGGCCACATCCTTGTTCTGCGCGAGGAACTCGATCTCCTCGGCTGTCGAGATATGCAGGACATGGATGCGCGCGCGGTTGTCCCGCGCGATCCGTACGAGCCTTTTGGTGCATTTGAGCGCCGCCTCGACATCGCGCCACACCGGATGCGACGACGGATCGCCCTCGACACGTTCGCCCTCACGGTCGCGCAGCCTGTATTCGTCCTCGGAATGAAAGGCAGCCCGACGGCGCGTGTTGCGCAGGATCGCCGCAACGCCCTCATCGTCCTCGACGAGGAGATCGCCGGTCGACGAGCCCATGAACACCTTGATGCCGGCCGCCCCCGGCAACCGTTCCAGTTCGCCGACGATGCCGGCGTTCTCGTGCGTGCCGCCGACCCAGAAGGCAAAATCGCAGTGCATCCGTCCGGTGGCGCGCGCGATCTTGTCGGCCAGCGCCTCCTCTGTGACGGTCAGCGGGTTGGTGTTGGGCATCTCGAACACGGTCGTCACGCCGCCGAGCACGGCCGCGCGCGAACCGGTCTCCAAGTCCTCCTTGTGCTCGAGGCCAGGCTCGCGGAAATGCACCTGACTGTCGATCACGCCGGGCAGAACGTGCAGGCCGGTGCAGTCGATGACATCGCCGGCTGCGGCGGTATCGATCGTGCCGATGGCCGCGATGCGGCCGTCGGCGATGCCGACATCGCGCACGCCGATGCCGTCATGATTGACCACGGTTCCGCCCTTGAGAACCGTGTCGAACGTCTGTGTCATCTGCCTGTCCCCGCTGTCTTGCCGTTGCCGTGTGATCGGCTTACGTATCGGCCAATCGGTTTGCAAGGAAAGCTGACATGCCGTCTCTGGTTTTGCCCGGCCGGGCCGTGATCGCCGTGACCGGCGAGGACGCCGCGCACCTTCTGCACAATGTGCTGACCTGTGATATCGAGGCGCTTTCGCCGGGCGTGGCGCAGCCCGGCGCGCTGCTGACGCCGCAGGGCAAGGTGATGTTCGACTTCCTCGTCGCGCGTGACGATGACGGCTTCCTGATCGATATCGATGGCGCGCAGGCCGACGCTTTCCTCAAGCGCATGACGCTCTACAAGCTGCGCTCCAAGGCCGATTTTTCCGTGCGCGATGAACAGGTTGTGACCGTTTCCTGGGACGATGAATCGGGCGGTTCGCAGATTGATTCAAGCGTGCACCTGCGTGACCAACGGTTCGCGGCCACCGCCGTGACCCGCGCCATCGTTCCGTCGGGCACGGTGCTGGCGGACGCGGCATCGGAGCGGGACTGGCACCGTGTGCGCATCGACAATGGCGTCGTGGAAAGCGGCACCGACTTCGCGCTGGGCGATGTGTTCGGCCATGACATCTCGCTCGACCAGAATGGCGGGCTCGACTTCAAGAAGGGCTGCTATGTCGGCCAGGAGGTGGTGAGCCGGATGCAGCATCGCGGCACGGCGCGGCGGCGCGTGGTGATCGTATCGGGCGACGCAGCGCTGCCTGCGACCGGGGCGGAGATTACCGCCGGCGGCAAGCCGGCGGGCACGCTGGGTACCGTGGCCGGCGACCGCGCTCTGGCGATCGTCCGTCTCGACCGGATCGGGACAGCGACCGACACGGGCGCACCGGTGCTTGCCGGCGATATTGCGGTGCGCGCGGATCTGCCGCCGGGCGTCAGCTATCAGTGGCCGGCGAGCACGGCGGACACCGGCAATGCCTGACAAGGCCGGCGCTCCGCCGCGCGCCTGGCAGCGCATGCTGTCGGGCCGGCGGCTCGATCTGCTCGACCCCTCGCCGCTCGACATCGAGATCAGCGACATCGCGCACGGGCTCGCGCGCGTGGCGCGCTGGAACGGGCAGACCCGCGGCGATCATGCCTTTTCGGTTGCGCAGCATTGCCTGGCAGTCGAGCAGATCGTGCGCCGGCTGAAACCGGATGCGGACCGGACGCTGCTCTTGATGGCGCTGCTCCACGATGCGCCCGAATATGTCATCGGAGACATGATCTCGCCGTTCAAGCACGTGATGGGCGGCGACTACAAGGCGGTCGAAGGCCGGCTGCACATGGCGATCCATCTGCGCTTTTCCCTGCCAGCCGAAACACCTTCCGCCGCCAGGAAACTGATCAAGCGCGCCGACATGATCGCCGCCTTTCACGAGGCGACGCGGCTCGCCGGTTTCACAATTGCCGAGGCGGGCACCTATTTCGGCCGGCCGCGCACGGTGACGGCCGACGGTTTGCCGCTGACGCCGCAGCCCTCGGCCACCGTCGAGGCCGCCTTTCTGGCGCGGTTCGCCGAACTGGAACAGCCGCCGGCTCGACCCGGCGAAAAGGGGTGAACCATGCCCTATCTGGCCGTCTGTTCGCTTGCCAGAATTGCCGATACGGCACGCCGTCACGCGCCGAGCCACATGCTGACGGTGATCAGCGGCGATCCGCCCGTGCCGCGTCCCGACAGCGTCGCCGCGGTCGATCATCTGCGGCTGAACATGAACGACATCGCCGTCGAGGCGCCGGGCATGATCACGCCTGGCGAAGCGCATGTGCGACAGATCCTGGACTTTGCGCATCGCTGGGACCGGACCGCGCCGATGCTGATCCACTGCTTTGCGGGCGTGTCGCGATCGACGGCCAGCGCCTACATGATCGCGCTGGCGCTCAATCCCGATCTCGATGCGATGATGGCAGCGCGGCTTTTGCGGCTGCGTTCATCGACGGCGACGCCGAACCCGAAACTTGTCGCCATCGCCGACGATGTTCTGGGGCGCGGCGGCGCGATGGTCGACGCAATCCGGTCCATCGGACGCGGCGCGGATTGTTTCGAGGGCGCGCCGTTCGTCTTCCCCGTGTCGGACGATCACGCCGGCCAGTTTTGAAATTTCAACGCATAGGCGTTTTCAAGCCCCGGACGGACATTGCAGCGGTCGACATCGCCTTTGGCCCATTTGCAGACCTTGGGGTCCATCACCTTGCGCCAGAGCGGCGGAATGGCGGCCAGGACGAACGAACCGGGATAGCCGCTGGGCAGATGCGGCAGATCGTCGAAATTGCGCAGCGCCTGATAGGGCCTGAGCGGATTGGCGTGATGGTCCGAATGGCGCTGCAGATGGAACAGCATCAGGTTGGAGACGATGTGGTTGGTGTTCCACGAATGGCGCGGTTCGCACGGCCCGTAGCGCCCGTTCGGCTTGCGGTCGCGCTTGAGGCCGTAATGCTCGACATAGTTGGCCATCGACAGATGGAACCATGCCACCGCATGGCTGATCGCGATGAAGGGCAGGACGATCCAGCCGAGAAACGCGACGAGCAGCGCGGCGACCGCAAGCGCGATGGCGTAGCCCTGCAGGAGATCGTTGCGCCAGTGCCAGAAGGGCAGGCCCTTCTTTTCGAGCCGCTTGCGCTCCAGCGCCCAGCCTTCGGCGACGACGCTGGGGATCTCGCGCGCGGCGAATGCGTAGAGGCTTTCGCCGAGCCGGCCCGACGCACGGTCTTCGGGCGTTGCCACCTGCACGTGATGGCCGCGATTGTGCTCAAGGCAGAAATGGGCATAGCCGCTCAGCGCACACATGATCTTGGCGCCCCACTGGTCGAGACGGTTCGGCTTGTGGCCGAGTTCATGGGCGACCGTCAGCCCTGTGCCGGACGAGGCGCCCGCACCGACGGCGAGCAACAGCCACGCCCAGACCGGCACGGGCTGGGTGGATGCGACGATTGCCGGTACGAGAAAGCTGGCCCAGAAGACCGGCACCGACAAAAACAGCAGCGCCCGGTAATATTGGTCCTCGGACAGCGCGCCGACGACCGCTTCGGGCGGATTGTTGGGGTCGCTTCCGACCACCATGTCGATCAGCGGCGTTGCGACGTAATAGACGAGCACGGGAAGCAGCGCCCAGACCGGATTGCCGGTAGCCCAGAGCGCCAGCGCGCCGATCGCCGGGACTGACGGTGTCAGGACCGAGATGATCCAGAGCCATCGCTTCCGGTCGACATAGCGGATTTCGCCGCCATCATCGGTGGTTGCCACGAAGATCATGCAAACGCATTCCGTTGGTTGACGTTTACGTCAACTGTGCCCGAGAACCGGGGGCGAGTCAAAAGGGGCCTGCCGTCGTTCAATCCCGGTCCAGAACGATGTCGAGGCCCAGATCGAGCGTTGGCGCGGCCATGGTGATCTTCGACGTCGAGATGAAGTCGACGCCGGTCTCGGCAATGGCCGCCACCGTATCCAGATCGACATTGCCAGAGGCTTCCAGCTTGACCTTGCCACCATTGTGGGAGCGGTTGATCGCCACGGCCTGACGCAGCAGATCGGGCGTCATATTGTCGAGCAGCACGATGTCGGGGGCCGCCGGCAGCGCCGCGCGCAACTGGTCGAGCGTGTCGACCTCGATCTCGACCATGACGGTGTGGCCGACATGGGCGCGCGCATTGCGCACGGCCTCGGCCACCCCGCCCGAGACGGCGATATGGTTGTCCTTGATCAGCACCGCGTCATCGAGACCGAACCGGTGGTTGCTGCCGCCACCGCAGCGCACGGCATACTTGGCCAATGTGCGGTGGCCGGGCACGGTCTTGCGCGTGTCGCACACCCTGGCGTGGGTGTGGGCGATGGCGGCGGCAAACCGCGCGGTGTGCGTTGCAATGCCCGACAGCATCATCAGATAGTTGAGCGCGACACGCTCCGCCGACAGGATCACGCGGGCATTGCCGCTGATGGCGGCGACAATGGTGCCCGGCTCGACCGTGTCGCCATCGGCGACATGCGCGACGAGCCGAAGACCGCTTCCGATGGCCGCAAAAGCCGCTTCGGCCAGCGGCAGCCCGGCAATCGTCCCGTGCTCGCGGCTGGCGATGACGGCCCGCGCGGTCATGTCCGGCGCGATCGTCGCATCGGTCGTGATATCGCCGGCCCGGCCGAGGTCTTCGAGGAGCGCCGCGCGCACGGCGTCCTCGACCATCAGGGCGGGCAGGCTGGGGGGATATGATTGTATGTCGGGCATGGCGGTCTCCGGCGGCGGCGCCACGAAGACCCGGCGTCATGGAAATGTCAACGTGCCATGCCAAACAGGCCGCATCCGCTTGCATTCCCCAACCGCCCAAGAGGTTTCCATGGCCGCCCTTTCCGCCACCGTGTCCCGCCGTCTCGTGCTGCGCGCGGGTGCCGCCATCGCCGCCGCTGCCGCCGCACCGCGCGTCGCATTGGCGCAGAACGAGCCTGACGTGACCGCGATCATCCTGTCGGACCTGCACTCGCCCTATAAACGCCTGCCGCAACTGGTGGCGGCCGTGCGCAACCGCGCCGCCGAAGCGGGCGGCAAGGTGATCATCGTCATCAATGGCGACATGTTCGAACGCGGCAATGTGGTGGCGCTGCGCAGCCGCGTCGCGCCGGACCTGCTGGCGCTCGACAAGCTCAGCCAGATCGCGCCGGTCTTCTTCAACATCGGCAATCACGAGACGGCCGTTCTCGAAGACATGGCCATCTTCACGCGCGAGGCAACGGCGCGCGGCGTGCATGTGATGAGCAACATCATCGACGCGCGCACCGGCGAACTGCTGGCGCCGGCGGCCCTTTCGATCGGCGTGCGCGACAAGCGCGTGGCGCTCGCGGGGCTTGCGACCGACAACATCTTCACCTACCGGACGCCGATCCGCCCGACGCTGACCATCCCGCAACCGGTCGCTTGGGCGGAAAGCCTGATGGGCGGGCTGACGCGCGAAGCCGATGCGGCGATCGTTCTCAGCCATGCCGGCGTCGCCGCCGACAAGGCGATGCTCGCCTCCCTTCCCGAGCGCACGCTGCTGATCGGCGGGCACGATCATCTGGATTTCACCCATGCGGAGCCGGGCCTTGCCTATGTGCATCCGGGCTCGTGGGGGAACGGGTTCACCATCGCGTCCATGACCTTCAATGCCCAAGGCGGCGCGGACACGACCTTGGAAAGCGTTGCGGTTGCCGCCGATGACGATCCGGACAGCGACATCGGCAATGCGGTGGTCACCGCCATGAACGAACATCTGACCGACGAGGACCGCGCCATCGTGGGCTCTGTCTCCGAAACGCTCGACCTGCCCAATGCCATCCTGTTCGCGACCGAGGCGGTACGCGCGGCGACCGGCGCGGACATTGCCTTTCTCGGCCACACCACGTTCGGCACGGGGATCGAGGCAGGCGAGATCAGCCGCTACGATTTCAACGCCTATGTCCGGTTCGACGGCGATCTTCGCACCGTGAACATCGGCGGCGAACGGCTGGCGGCGATCATGGAACGGGCCAACCAGCACACGGCGACCGCGCTCGACCAGCGCACGGGCGATTTCGTCCACGCCGCCGAACTCGATATCGACCCGGCCGCCACCTACACCGTCGCCGTCAATGGCTGGACCGCGATCAACCAGACCGCCTATCTGGGCACGGACGATCTGGAGTTCGCCGAAGTGCCGGACCTGAGGCTCAAACAGGTCGTCGCCGACGCGCTGGCGGCCAATGGTGGGTGACCTTTTCACCTCATCCTGAGGTGTGAGGCAATCATCGCCCTCGCCCTTCGAGGCTCGCTACGCTCGCACCTCAGAATGAGGGCGATGATTGCCGAGCCTCGAAGGGCATGGCGAAAAGGTCAACTCTTTAGAAAATCCTCCACCGCCGACTCGGCCTGATCGAGCGTCAGCAGCGTGCGGCGGGCCCAGTTCGGGTCCTGGTCCGGGAAATCGGTGCGGAAATGCCCGCCCCGGCTCTCGGTCCGGTTGAGCGCCGATATGGCGATCAGTTTGGCGGTCGTCAGCACGTTGGCGAACCGCGTGTCGTCCTCGGTCTCGTCTTCCAGCGCCACGATGGCACGCAGCGCCTGGCGCATGCCGGTCGCATCGCGCAAAACGCCCAGATGGGCGCTCATGATGGCGCGCAGCCTTGTCATGCCCGCATGATCGCCTTCGGTGATCGCATCAGGCGCATCGACGGACCTGTCAGCCCAGTCATCTGGTGCCGGATCGCCGCCGTCGGCCTTCAAGGCATCGGCGACGCGCGCGGCGAACACCACCGCCTCCAGAAGCGAATTGGAGGCAAGCCTGTTGGCGCCATGGGCGCCGGTCGAGCTGCACTCGCCGCACGCCCAAAAGCCGGGCAGCGACGTGCGGCCGTCCTCGTCGGTCCAGATGCCGCCCATGAAATAGTGTGCTGCCGGCGTCACCGGGATCAGGTCGGTCGCCGGATCGATGCCCGCGTCGGCGCAATAACCGTGAACGGTCGGGAACTCGCCGGCAAAGTCGTGGATCGCCGTGCGGCAATCGAGAAACGCGCCGCGGCCCGCCTGCACTTCGGCGAAGATGCCGCGCGCCACCTCGTCGCGCGGCGCCAGCTCGGCGTCCGGGTGCAGCGGCACCATGAAACGTTCGCCCGCGCCGTTGACCAGCGTCGCGCCATGGCCGCGCAGCGCCTCGGTCGCCAGCGGTGCGGGGTCCTTGTCGACATCGATTGCGGTGGGGTGGAACTGCACGAACTCCATGTCGGCCATGCGGGCGCCGGCGCGCGCGGCCATGCCGATGCCGCCGCCGCGCGCCTCTGTCGGGTTGGTCGTCACCGCGTAGAGATGGCCAACGCCGCCGGTCGCCATGATGACATCGGATGCGCGGAGGGTTTCGCGTTCGCCCTGCCCCGCCTCGCCGCGCGCGATCACGCCGGTGACGCGGCCAGCATCGGTGACCAGTTCTTCGGCCACATAGCCTTCGAGAACGCGCACATGGGCCGCCTTGCGGATCGCCTCGACCAGCGCCTGCATGATGGCGCGGCCGGCCATGTCGCCCTTGACGCGCACGATGCGCGAATGGCTGTGCGCCGCTTCGCGGCTGACGGCGAGCTGGCCTTCCAGATCGCGGTCGA